GGGGGGCTAAAGGGGACTGACTGGTGAGGTGTAGATGAGGGTGGGGTTGGGAGTTGATCGTGTAGCGAAGATTTATGGCTTGGGGATGGAGGTTATGTTATACTTCATACCACTACTATACCAAGAAATCCATCTCGAAATCTATCTAATTTATCTACAGTACCTTCAGGAACTTCCCGAGCCATAACCAATCCATTCATCCCCTTCCCTTTCCTCCTCCCTTCCCTCTTCCTCTCTAAATCTAAATCCAACCCCAACCAAGCCCTCATTAAAAAAACCCCGTTACTGTAAACAAACCGCATCCCCTTATATATAGAAACCAAGTCTAGTCTATCTGCAATCAACAATCAACATTCTGCAGTCTATCTGTTTACAGGTATATATAACAAACAAATCAAGTACCTAAATGCCCTTCCCTTCCTACTCATACCCATACTTACAACTTACACCCGCCCTCTCCTTTGTAAAACCAATCACCTAATAACTACCCCTCAACCCTTTCGCATTTAGGAAGAAGGAATATAGATCTACGACGACGCCCGATGAGCCTCATACCAAGTCAAAGAGAAAGAAAAACTTCACTAGCTACGCGCTGCATACAACCAATAAAACCATCCTTGGTAAATATTACGTACTGTACTATAGCAAAGGGAATGAAAAAAACACCCCAAGTAGCAAGCAAGTATTATAAGATAGAAGATATCTGATCCCATAAGCCCATCCATAAAAAAAAAACGAATTAAAAGGCTTGGGTCATCAAAAATTCAATTTATCACACTAGACCCTATCAACCACTACACACTACACACAACTACACAAACTCCAAACACCTCCTCTCTTTCTCACACACACCTCCATCTTTCTCTGGTATCCAAAGGCAGTCACCTGCCTTGTATTCTCATCTCCATCTTTCTCTCTCAACATCCCTCCGCTACAGCCGCGTCCTGAAGAATCTCCACAATCGAAACGAAGCTTAACGTACGCCAACTCCCCAGTCATTTGCCTTCGTGTGCCACGGTAGGCCAGAAAATGCACCCGATGAAAAGTTCGACAAGACAAAGAAAAGTGTCCACCACGAAGAACGAGATCTGAAGGAGAGAATAAGGAAAGGATAAAATTCTACAATGAAGTGGTGTTTTCAAGAACCAGCGCGATGCGCCTCAAGGAAATCGTATCCAACGCAGACGATACAGGTGGCTTGCTTCCGAGTCGCAAAACTTGATCGAAACGAAATCAAGAGGACGAGTACGAGATATCATGATCCCCGATCTTTTCCTCCTCGGTATACATGTGGTGAAATACTCGCAGTACTACGAGCTCATGACTCTTGGGCTGGGATCAAGTTCTTTGGCTTTCTTGGCCCACCCTTCAAACTCTTTACCCGCGACAAGAAACCACCTCCAGTCTTTGGCTCAGAAGGACCCTCACCAGTTTGTCGTCTCTCGATTCCAGCAAATCCAACGCGAGGTGGGTTGCTAGGAGCCCTTGATCTCATGTTTCTCTCCGGCTCTACAACGGTGACACTAGCTTCCTTCTTCTGATCGTCGCCCTTGGAGAATTCGTCGAAGAATGGGTTAGATTCATGGATTTTGGATACTCCTGGTGAGACTCCTGGTGATCTCCTGCCCTCGGGACTGGTGAGTCGACCAGAGGAACCATACTCCCTACGTGGTCCATTGATTCCCTTGATTCTTTGCGCCAAAGACTTTTTGCGACTAAGGCCTCCCTCTGGTGCAGCGGCAGTCTCACTCTCGCGTCGCTGCATTGCAGTTCTGGATGCTGGAGCTCCTTCCAAGAAAGTAGAGGTTCCCAAACCCAAGGTCTCCTCTCCATGAATTGGCTCGATTCGAGTAGTAGCACTATGAACATTCACATCTTTGTGGGTCTTTATCATATCGGGTCCGCCGGTACTGTAATCTTTGAATGCCTCCTCGTCGTTATTACCCAAGAAAGTTGCATGATCAGGTCTCTTGTTCAAAGGTCCTCCACCTCCTAGAACATTGTTCAATGAATCCTTAGGGAACGCTTGCATAGGAGCTCTGCTGCTACCTTTTCGGTTTCGGTGGGGGTTGCATGCGTCGAATGGACCGTCGTGATGGAATACTACCCAAAGTCAGAAAAAGGACGTTAACTTTGCGGTTTCGAACGACTTACATCCTGTGCCATATATACTAGTCACATCTAACTTATCAATTACATCCAACTTTCGATCAGGCTTCTTCCCTTTAGAAGAAGATTCTTTGCCATCTTTCTCTCGGTGTCGTCTCTCACGCTCACGTCTTCGTCTTTCAGCCCGTCGTTTTTCGTCTTCGGAATCCAATGCCCTGCCATTCTTAGACATAACTGAAGAATCTGAATTTCGACGTACACGACGAGCTCCAGATTTGCTGGCTGATGGTTGAGGGTCGGCAAAGATATCCAACTCTTCCGACGGTCGAGATGGTCTGGGTGCTCCTGGCTTGCGAGCCCGGAGCGCCTCTTCTTGAGAACGAGTCATGCGGTGTCTGGGGGGCATATTTTCTCCGCGTCCTCTACCTGAACTATATGGCGGTGGTGGTCTACCTTCTGGTCTACCTTCTGGTCTACCTTCCGTGTTTGATCTTGTATGTGGTGGGCGCGTTCCTCTGGCTGGCGTTCTGCTAGCAGACGATTTATCATCAAGTGTAAGATTATCCTAAGCAGAGAGGAGTTAGTATGGAGCATTCAACAACACATAGCATCAATGGGGGTACCAGAATTATGAAGCGCAGGATGACATACAAAAAGTTCTGCTGCATTGCCAGTCAATGCTTGCCTAGACGCAGGCTCTGATGGAGGTGCCATTCTCTCAACTGATCCGACTGCTGGTGGTATGACGTTGGTAGCAGATGGTTCCAAAAATGGGTTACGAGATACGGGTCGTGGAGGAGGGTCAAAAGGAGATCGAGGTTGGGAACCGTTTGATAAGGCAGGTGATAAAGCAGGTGATGCAGCACGATTGCGAAAGGGGTTGTTGGATGAGAGGTTGACGTTGAGAGCTGGGGGTGAAGAACGAGAGTCTGCTTCGCAAAACAGGTCTTGTTAGCCAGCGGGTTCATGCATGCTCTATATAGTAGCTATGACGGCGATTTAGGGATGGGCGTGAAACGGGGCAATTGACAAGATGATACGTCCTAGCCCTGATAAGTGGGGATGGGGTGCTGGGTATGGTGTTGAGGCGGCAAGGTGGCCCAAGAACACCCAAGATAGATTGCCAGGACAAGGAGAGGAGACTGACCTGTTTGGTTTGGTTGGATGAGTGACATGGTGACGACGGGATTGCGAGGATGTGTGTTCTGGGATTAATTCCTGCTGTCTAGAATGATGCACCGAAATTTGGACGAGTGGTGTGAATTTGCAGGTGGATTTAGGGGGTTCGCCTTTGTTTGGGTGACCGTTAGTGATGCGCAACCAGCGCAAAGTGAAGTTGGACGCCTGTGAAGGGCAGCGAGCAATACAAAGGGCGCACGTAAATTCCGCAGTGGTTAAGGCACTGAGAATATGAAGCTCTCAAGATGTACAGGGTAAGTTGATGGTGCTTGTTAGAAGGGTGTGTGAATGTGACGGAGAAGCCAATGCTGGTCGCTGATGATGAGGTTCTGGTATTGTTTTGGTACCCAGAAAGCAAACAAACAGCACGATGGGGAAAAGCCTGCTCTAGCGGGTTGATGGCGTTCTTGTAGGGCAACCAAGGCCTGTACAGTAATGCAGCTTAGACAGTGTGCCTGTGAGTCACTAGCTCCCTTTCCGAGGAACGAGGACGATTATCGCCAAATACGTCCAACGCCTCCTTGCCTGCTAAAATTGCCCACGACGTATGCGATGATCCGATATTGTAGTTGTCGCTGCGTCTACCACGCCCTTCCCAAATGTCTACCCGAGGTATGCGATATGGATTATAGATTATGGAATTCCGGAAGGATGCGGATTTCGATAGGGAATGCGCTATTGACTGCCGGAAGTCTTTGGGTGAGAGCAAAACTATCCGTGTAGAGGATCAAGGACCACGATAAATGCGATGATTCTGCTAGACGAGTACTGCTAATTGCGTTGAATTTCACAGACGTATGTTTTCTGAGTGGCTAGAGCTTCCTGGAGATGCTTCGGATGAGCCTGTGATTTCGGACTCAGGATGGGAGCGAGAGTAAGTTCAATGTGTCAAAGAATTGAGACGAAGAATAACTGTAGCTACGAATGAGGTTGGGTCGGAGAAAAGGCAGAGTCAAATGGTGCTTAGCAAGCCGTGGCAACTCTTTCGCAAGCTGAAGTTGTAAGTTGCGTTGCGAGAGCTTCTATTATTGGCAGCCGGAATCGCAAATGTTCGTATGTTGGATGAGTGGGCGTAGGTAGGCGTCGACCGAAGCTTGTCTGACCTTCTCGTATCCAAATGACTGTATATGACTGTACTGCAAAGTTGAAGTCTAGTTGTGAGGAATTTGATACGGTCGAGTAGGAACTGCAAGTGTTTGTAGGTCTGGATAAAAACGATCGGCAGTGGACGACTCGGAGGAGCGGGCTAAGGTACTAAGGTAGGGATGGGCGAAGAGGGGAGGGCGTAGCGGTGTGTCAATCCAGTGGAGAGAGGTGGGAGTGGGAGTATTGTGGGAGGAGAAGAGGAGGTGAATGAAGATTTTAATTATCTGGGACGGAGTAACCGTAGATGTGTTGTGTAGAATGGTGCAAGTACGCGTAGTAGGATAGTACGGACGATACTAGTAGGAGTACTCGTACGCACTAGTGAGAGATGCGTACTCGTAGAGAGACAAGAGAGGGCAGGAGAGACTTGATTAGTGGGTTAAATGCTAATCAGTGCCGAGGGGCAATCCCATCCAATCCCCAGCAGCAGCTGGTGGCAGTAAAAAGCTTTTTTATTGATTCCCACCTGCGTGTACGGCCAGCACCCAATACGATTCGGCAATATTTCCTTTCCACGGCAGGTGCTAGGGAGGACCCTTCTAGCGAGCGACCGCCGGCAGGAACAAGGGAATTGGCGTGGCCGTCAGCTGTAAAAATGATTCCATTCACCCATCCAGACCTCGGGACCTGATGGGGGTGTGCTGCACGCCAAGCCCTAGAGACGCACCAAAAGTCCAAGGCCGGGGCCCAAAAACTGGGGTACTGCCTGCTTATGTAATTGCATCTGGAATTTTTTTGAACTTTGAACTTCCTATCAAGCTCCCATCTCCAGATTGACTCGCATGCGCCCAGAGCAGTAATACTCACAACCATCTCATCATGGCACCCACCGCGACCGCAAACGAATCTCCTGCTCCCGTCGATGCCGATTTTTCTATGAATGACGCTGCCGACTTCGACCAGCCGATCGAGAGAGACGAGAATGACCCCGCCAACCGTGGCTGGTTGCAAGGTGCCCATAGCATCAAGACAGTAAGATCGCCGTCTGTCATCGATTCATTGAAGTATCTTCTAAATATCGATCTACTAGCTGCCTGGATCTTCGGAAACTGCCGCCTCTTTCCAATTTGTAAAAGAAGATCATACTTTGGGAAATGCTTTGCGCTATATTATTATGAAGAAGTATGTTGTTTTATACACCCGCATAATGTTTTCGCATACAGCAGGCGAGAGTCGAGAGAATATTCTGGTTGCTAACACACGTTGTATAGTCCCGATGTTGAGTTCTGCGGTTACTCCATTCCTCATCCATCAGAAGAACTCATGAACATCCGCATTCAAACTTATGGTTGGTACCACGCTAGTTTCGCAATCCGGAGATTAACATTATTTTAGAAGGAACAGCCCTCGACGCCCTCGAGAAAGGTTTGTCGGATCTAATAGCACTATGCGACGAGGTATCGGCCAAATATGTGGGAGCGCGAGAAGCTTTCCAGTCTCAAGTGGCGGCGGTCTAGCATATCGCGGACAACGAATATCAATTGCATTACGAGGCGTCAAGGCATTCAAAACTATGGAGTTTGATTTGAGGTTCATTTGGGATATGTACAGGCTATGAAAAAGGACGGCAATTGACATGGCTTAGTTGCGGCCCTGCTGGCGTTAGTGGATGTGGACTTTGGGAGGAGTACAGAATCATTTACCTCAAGGAAACCAGAAATGAAATTTTGTGGAAGTCTTGCAGCTGGGTCTTCGTCCGCTCTGAAGTACTTGAGAATGTGAGGAAGTTGCTTCCAGTAGTTCAAAGTTTCCTATGGTAATTGGTTAGCAAGAATTGTATAAAGCAACATTTCAACTCCAATTCATGAAGATCAATCACAGCAAAAAAATTGCCAACAAGCAATGTCAATGGGCAAACGGTTTAAGGTTTGTTTGTTTCCAAGAGCGAGCTCTCTGAACAATAGACGCAGGTGATCTGGGCCTTCGAGATATTTCGCATGCCGTAAGTATTGTCGTCTTGAGGACCCCTCAAGTCGACCCAAAAGAATTCTGGGAAGATTTATTCCCAGAGAGTTTCTAAATGCTGATTCGGAAAGTGTCGCCAATCCCTTTATCCAGAGCCCACCTTCTGACGTGCTCGACATGGAAAGAAAATACCCACGAACCTGAAATTCCGAGTGACTCTTAAACAACAATACGTCTATCAAATCTGTCCGGTTTACGTAGCGATGCCGCTCAAATTCCTGCCTCATTTTTGTCCGCAATTGCGCAACTGGTATACTGAGCGAGTACATCGTTTGGATTTCCGGAGCCTGCCAAACACAAACCATTAGCACAATTTGTTCCCCCATTCCAATCCAGCATAGCAGTAGTCGCAGTGGTCTTATCAGTCGTAACCCGGAGGACATACAGCACGGATCCATTCTCGGTAGCTTCTCAGAACTCTCCGTTTAGCATCGTTGAGGCTGATAGCTGTATTTACACGGTCAGCATAAGCCATTGGGACGGAAGAGGATAGGAGCATACATTGGCGCGTCCGCTGCGCAAGGTAGGTTGGATTGATCACCATAGTGCCGTTGTGTGTTGGGTGACCTTCCTTCGACGTTGGCTTGTCTGGAGCTCTCAAGTGAAGTCGGCCTCGAAGTCGAACCTAAAACTAGTCACGTGTGGCCGGAAGGCTGAGGAATGGGAAGCTACGAGGCACTTGCCCCTCCAACACCCTTACATTGTCAACAATAATCTCTCAACTACCCACAAGCTCTGCCCCCCTACGTCCAAAACCAAAATCACCCTCAGGATCCTTGATATACTATCGCGAATATGCCAGCCATCCGCCATGCATCTAAACGCAAAGCTCCTCCAGTGGGATTCTCAGACATAGAAGACGACCTCCTAATCTTCAGCAACAAGATGAAAGACGCCGAAAACGCATCCACCGTCAACGTCCCTCGACATCAAGTCCACTGGCCTATATTTCAAATCTCGCATCAGAGATCAAGATATGTGTACGAGCTGTACTACGAAAAGGAGGCTATTTCAAAGGAGCTATATGATTACCTATTGAAGAATGGCTATGCGGATGCGATGCTGATCGCTAAGTGGAAGAAGACGGGGTATGAGAAGGTATGTGACATCGGTCCTTTCAGGATATAGTAGAGAAGGGAGATGCGCAGAACAATAAAGCTAACCTTTCGGAATAGTTGTGCTGCTTACGGTGCGTACAGACGAAAGAGACCAATTTCAATTCTACATGCATTTGTCGGGTTCCAAAGGCGCAGATGAAGGAAAATCAAAATGTCGAATGTGTGAGCTGTGGTTGCAGAGGTTGTGCTTCTAGCGATTGAGAGGCGATGGCCATATTCGGAAAAAAATATGGAGATTGCGGTCAGATAATGAGTTCGTAATGGGAGAATGGGTTAGTTTCTGCTTCGGTCTTCTGGGAGATACCACTACTGGAGTTCTGGGAGAGAAATGGGATGCTGTGTACAGCTTAGAGAAGACTTGAAAATCCTGACAGGTTGGAGGAGTCTCAACTAGGGTCAAGTAGCTCATCACAAGCTGCTTTGCGACGAAGTGATTTTATGGAGGTATGGATACAGTTGATCCTTTCATAAGGTTCTAACCCCTACTCAGGTCAACGTTTTCCTTCGTCTTTACTGACTTATGAAGGACAATCCAAGATTATAAAATCCATCAAATTGAAGCCATTGAAAAAGTCCTTCCGTGAGACTTGTAAGGTTATTTACTCGCCCAAACACCTCACATAAGCTACACCACCAATCGCGTTTTGTTTCCACCAGTCGCCAGTGGCATATTTTAGCGAACCCCTCTTTTACAACCATCCCCTTTTCCCTTTTGCTTTCTTTCTGAAACATGGATGCCATAGCTCCGGGTACCTTTCACGCTGCTTTACCAAAAGTCTAGACGCTAGGATCATATATGGGGAACCTTGTCCGGTACTGCCACGTCGGGCGCATAGACGAACGCTACGGAAATAGCTTATTAGCATAAATGCCGTGAAAATTGGTGGCATCAAAACCCCTTTCTGCCAGTGATCGTCACTTTAGTTTGTTGCACATATTGGGCATCGTTTCTGTTACAGTACCATGGGTAGTTGGTGATCTTTGGACTTTTGGAACGTAGCATAGCCTACTTTGCTTCAAAGTATTCCGTATCTACTGAGTGTGAGCCACATTTTTCGCGTGTGAACTTGGGGGATGTCGAGTTTTGGTGCGATGCGAGTTAGCCTGATTTTACGAAGTACAATTTCATTTTCACCATAAAAAGTAAAACATGCATATTTTGAACTTTCCCAATTCAGGCTATCCAGGAGTGAAATTAAGGTGGTCCTGTGGATCAGTGAATGGGATCGACCACTAGCGTCCCTTCAGCCTTGTGTCTTACTTCACAATACGAAGTACTATTGAACTTCGTCATTCAGCCTCGACTACAAGGCTCTACCTCGTTCAACCAATATAAAGAAACTCCCATCACAGGCGCTCATTAGAGCTTACCTAATAGTCCGCTGATCCTGACAACAGCACAACCAGAACGGAAATTGGAATACCATCTGGAGAAGGGAGAAAGAAGAAAAGAAACGATGGACACCAACAAGACCCCACCACCCCTCCCTCCCTCCAACGCAGAACCCAAATTCGGAGGCTTCACACGCTTTGAGATTGAACTCGAGGTACACCTCCTCTCTTCCTCCCCCCTTCCCCTCTCCTCTTCCTTCCTTATTACCAACTAACTCCCCTCAGTTCGTCCAATCCCTCGCCTCACCCTACTACCTAAACCACCTCGCAACCCTCAAATACCTCGAGAATCCAGCGTTCGTCAAGTATCTTGAGTACTTGCAGTACTGGAGTCTGCCCCCGTACACCAAGTACCTTACGTATCCCGGCCCGACTCTCAAGAATCTGGAGTTGTTGCAGCGGGAGAGGTTTCGGAGGGATATTATTGATCCGAGTGTGGTGGGACGGTTGGTGGAGGAGGGGAGGAGGGCGGCGGTGGGGTGGCCTTCTGGGTGATGTGTTTGGGTGGGTTGGAGGTTTTGGAAGGGGGAGATGATGGCTGAGGGGGTTGTTTATGGTGTTGAGGGCGTTTATCATTGGGCTGGGAAACGGGGGTTTGGTTGGGGAACTGGGGTTTTCGTGGGATGTATATGGAAGGTATTTGCACAATTGAAGAAGTATAGGACGACTTCATAAAACATATACAAAGTTGCGGGTATTATTGGCAGAAGTGCAATTATATCACACCATCTCCTACCTGTAAGTCAGAAATCCAGAGATATTTTTTCCGGAACGCCACGCTAAATCGCAAGAAAACCGAAGACTTTCCCCCCAAATCCCCCCAATAAAAAGCCCACAGTACTGCACATTCAATACCATTCAATATTCATATGCGTCACCGAATTACCCCTAATCTCTCCATCGATTCCCACAAGTCATACACTACAAAAGTCAGCTCCCGTTCCCTAAACCCCACCCCGCAAATCCAACTCACTCTATAAAAATTCGTCATAGGCTCATCAGCACTCCTAATCTGAATCGAATAAAAAGCTGCTTCTGCACCATTACAGCCGTCCTTGGGACACTGCACAGGCGTCTTGTCGGCGTTGTCAAATTGATTGGCTCCCCCAAAGACATCGTCCTTCTCGACGAACGTAAAGTTCTTGCGCTCGAAGAAGGACTGCTCGATGATCACGTATTGGTAGGGACAGGTGCGACATTCCATGCGGTTTTTTCCGCGCTCTTCTTCGATTGGGGAGTCCATGGGGACTTTGGAGACGGAGAGGACGTTGGAGCAGTTGGGGCAGACTGGGGGAATGTTAGTTCTTTTGGGTTGTGAGATTTAGAAGGGGGGGACATACAGAGTAACATTTTGATTGTTAGTTGTAGGAAGTCGTTCAAATTGAAGTTGTGTTGCACTCGCAGGATTTCCCAGCCGCAAGAAAAAGAACTTTGAACTTGTGAGCCTTACTACCTAGGGAGCCTTTCCCCTCCATAAAAAATGATAGCCTCGTCGGCGATAAGAAAAGTGCGCTAAGCCGCTATCGGCTATCTCCGACGCGAGGAAGGCTGAGCCCAGCGTGAGAACGGATATCAATCAGAGACAAACTGAAAGCGCTAAAACTCCCAACTCCTCAATACATCTGGAACTTCACTTAGAGACAACAGCAACTTAGGCCCAGAAAGAAATCTGCAATCTCTTTCCTACATTGGGGCAGGCAAGTTTGGCTTACCAGTCACTAAATATAGCCTTGAGAAGTCGGTGAGTTACCCCTCCATCATCCCGCCTGCCTTGAATACACAGAAGGTTGACTGACATGCGGCATATCTAGAAAGACACAAACACCCCAAATAAATTTCAATCCCAATCCTAACGGACTCCTGAAAGAATACCAGGAGGCAAGGTGTAGAAATAAAAAATGGCAGATCCCCGCGACAAAGGCCGAGAGCTGAACGAGGAAGAGGTACGTAACAACCTTAATCCCCAAGTTTTAGTATTCGATGTGCCCTTCCCCTCATAGTTATACGCTTGTTTTGTTTCCTCAAGAATACGAACTAAACTGTGTAAATAGGGTGCCTCACCATCCGAGCAATTAATCGCTGCGTGCCGCGGAAACAACACAGAACTCCTCCAAGAAATAATAGCCAACGTCGGTTCTGAAGAGAAAGCCGCTCTTCTACTGAACGATACCAAAACCGTATTGGGAAACCATTTATACCATGAAGCAGCATCGAGAGGAAATTGTTCGTTGCTCCTTTCCTACTCCATCTTTTTCTGTAGAATACCTTGGTATCCAAGTACTAAAACCATAGCATAGATGAAGTAATAGACATCCTCCTCGACCAAGAAGGTTTCGAATGCGACCCCATTTCCACCCGCGAAGGCGACACCCCCTTGCACTCCGCAATCCGCTACATCAATTCCCTCCCCCACCCCCTCTCAGAACACAACTCGGAATTTGCGTCCTCGCTCCTGGGCATGATGCTAGAAGCCGGTTCTGATCCACGGATACGTAATAAAGGCGGTCTGACGGCGACGCAACTATGTGATCCTAGTGATGTGGAGATCAAGAGGCTATTGCAGGATGCCCTGGAGGTGGAACAGAATGATGGTGATTTCATTGTTGATGAGGGGGATTTGGCGAGTGGGGGTGAGGAGGATGTGGGTAGTGCTAGCGATAGTGATTCTGATCCTGAGGAGTATCAGAGGGAGAAAGAGGGGAGAGAGAAGGCTAGGAAAGGAGGGGAGTAGTAATTGATGTAGAGGGTGGGTGGATAAACAATTTCATGGGCTTTTGTGAGTGTTGTCTGGTTTCTTTTTTGGTTAGATGAGACAAAGGTTTTAGAGGAAACTTTTTCAAAAATGCTCTGCTTGCAAATTTTGAGATGTACGTTGCATTTGTTTTTTTCTTTTCGAGGTTTGAGCTGGCTATCAGTCATAGCTTCCAGTGACTACTATGGGAATATGGAAATAAAAGTGTGGATTAAGGTTGCAAGGCGAGGTAGATCTGTTTTTCTGCTGCTACACCTTATGGGCACTCATACACTGGATAATTATTGAAAATCTAGTCAACTGTTTGGTCTTTTCCTCCTCTTCTGATAGTTGGTTCTCCTAGTACTTAAACAGATACATACCATCTCATCATTGCGGGGGTGGTTGGGGTGTAAGTCACCGTAGTAACTGCACCAAATACCTGGGTAATCTTAGGACGCTTGTCCTAACTTATCAACAGGCTAGCATATGTGAATACGTGATTTGAAGTTAGGAATAGATTGCGTGATCGGGGGTTTGAAGAATTTGAAGAATGGAAAGGGGGGAAGGAAAGAAGAAAGGTTTTCCTGGATAGGAGATTATGATACAATCTAAAATTGGAGAAAGTCTTTGCTCTAAAGAATTAAAAAGCTCTTATGGTTCATGATTAGGCGGATGTGATGCATATATTTTGCTTGCAGAATTGATTGTAAGTACCATTAACCTCTGTAAACCAACCTCATATTTTTAACCTAGCTCTCTATTGTATAGGTAAAGCTTTCGTATCGAAATCTCTGTATTCTGTTGTTGACTACTTACTTTGTGTTAAGAATGGAAAGATCTAACATCAGAAATCAAAAAGTATCTACGTTTATACTCGTATACACTCTACATTTCCCCAATCTCAGTATAAGAGTCTCCCTAGAGACTCTTATACTGAGACGAGAGGATTATACTAGATTGACGTTTCCTCAAGCGAGAATAAGGTACCATCATCTACTTAATCTGTCATGAGAAAAAAAAAAGAGTATTAACCTGGTTGAAATTTCTGTGCTAAAGCATACCGCGAATTTTCTTGGTGGTTGATGTTTTCATGTTTGAGCTCCTCGGTTGGAGGGAGGGAAGGGGAGTCGAATTTAGGTATAAGGAATGTGAGGAGGATTGAGGAGAGGGTGAGGGTTACTTAGCTGTGATGTGTTTATAGGCATGGTTCATCATTCTGAAGAAGGTGATTAGGAGGTGTTAACAAGATGAGAGGAGCTGGTTGTAAGTACGAAAACATTTGTAGGTTAGGAGGGATGTTGGGGGGTATGACAGACATGTGTATGATGGTGTTTGGGAGGTCCAGGAACGGTAGTGTAGAGAATATAGGGCAATATTGGGATCAGGGGAATCGCTAAAGTGTGGTACTTATTATTTTTATTTCCTGTTATTTATTAAACTTCTTGTTATTCTGCTAATATAATCCTCGTCTGATTCAAGTAATAGCGAGGTTAGTGGCAATCATGAATCAAGGATATATCTTGTATTAGCGAAAACGGGTACAATAGGGCTTTTGTTCTTCTAGTCTTAGTATGTTCTTCTAAATTCCCCCTTTTGTTGTCTTGTGTTATCTTATTCTAGTTAGCAGAGAAGGTGTTTGTTGACGAAGAGAAAACTGGAGATTAGGAAAAAACCGTCCTGGTAATAATAAGTATTATTAAGTATGTAATTATGTAGGTGAGATATAAGTAACTTACTTTTATTTCTTTTTGAGCAGCGAGATGATATATAACTAATACGTCTCCTAATTAGCTAGGAAACAGCTTAGTGTTATTGGCGCGAAGGGGAGGACATAAATTATCTGGCTAATTCAAGTAGGTAGGGGATTAGTTTTTTGTAACAATGGGTGTGTTGGTGTTGGTTTGACTTATTGTCAAATATGAGGTGCACGTGCAATACAGGAAGAGGCTAAACCTTAGTATTAGACTATTCCTATTGTTAATGCACTTCGATACCGAGCAAAGGTAGTAGGCTAGGGCACCACTATTATATAGTGGTGCCAAGCCCTACCCCTGTACGGTCGAGTGTAGCTACCTAATCGAGTGTAGTTGCCTGATCGGGTATAGCATATAATCGAGTGAATATACCCGATTATATTATACCGACAGTTGGTTTTACTAATATTAGTGTGCGACTTTTGTGGAGACAAGTTCTTAGGAATGAGGGGTTAGTTAATCAGTAGGAGCTTTTGTGTTGTAGCTATAAGTACTATAATTCTTTTACTCCTTTACCTTACTACCATAGTAGGCTACTAAGATAGCCTAGGACTAAAGATTACGCTATAATAGCAAGAAAAAACTACTACCGTAGACTTTGGTATCCGTAGAAGTAATATAAAACTATAAAACTAAAGTCTTTAACGAATAAAAATGTTTTAGAGGTAGTACTAATAGCTAAGCTTCTAAAAGACAAAGTACATTTAATAGCTAAGCGTTAGTATAACTATTATAATAATATAGTCGCTTATACATAAGTGCAAGTATTACTACCTGGAAATAAAAACGTCCTTAGTATTCAAACATTTCAAGTCACGCCATGCTGAAGTCATTCAAGTGAGCAAATAGGCAGGTTATCGGAGAAGATGAAATGGAAGTCTGACATGTAGGTCATTGCCGTCATTACACTTGTGTCTCTTCCTAATACTCATTTCAAACTCTTTTCAGTATAGGGATTGGCAGTTCCCTGAGAATAAATTAATAAGGCTTAGGCAGGTAGCGATTGGTGGGAACAAACTGCTGAAGAACAAGGCAATGCTTCCAAATTTGTTTCGCCTAAAAAATCACGTGTCCACGTGGAAGGAGAAAGTCGCGCCTTCCGCTTTATGTATTCAACTTTGGGCTCGTCGCCCAAATTTGGAATAGTCTCGAAGATTCTTTTGCAAGCCGAGGCTCACCGCAATGCTACTCTTCGAGGCACCCTCTCCTTCACTCTGTCCCTTAAACGTATCTGTTATCCAGTTTATATCTTAGCTTCCACTTATCTTCCCATGGAGCTCACCTCGTCTGACATAGATACAACCTCCTTTGAGCACCTTCTAGATACAGAACCGTCGTTTACTTTATTCTTACTCCTACGTCCCGAGCTCCGAGAAAGAATCTGGCGTACATTAGCGTTCCTACGTATCGTACACCTTAAGAAGGCTCTTTCGAAGACTAACAAATGCTCGCGAGTATGGTCGCAGATATTAATCGAGGAGCCTAAAATGATGGGGTTCTTCGATTTAGATAACCAACCTCGAACTGCACGGAATCTAGGAGGACCAGTATCTCCCTAGTAAGTTGCTTAAGGACCTATTTTATCTTCATGCCAATAGTCATGATTGTAGATAAATTCTTGCTTCACCTAATCATATTGTAACTATTGAGCCTATATGAAAAGATCCCACTAACTTCGAGCTCTTTATTGCTAGAGGGTTCAAGTCAAACAACATTCCACCGCTATTACTTGCCTACAAAGAATCAAATGCGCTAGCTAGACAAATATACACCTTGTCATTTAAATCTCCGGAAATGTCTCCCACTACGTAGTTCAATTTCGAAACCGACATCTTATACTTAGACTAGAACTTTAACTTTAGCGCCTCTTATGAGGACGAGTCTGTAGACTATACAAGCGAATATTTTGATTACCACCTAGAAGATATTATTAGCAGGTCTAAAGTTAAAAACCTAGTAATATTCATCCTCGATTGCCTCATTTATAGAGCCTGGTTAGTCGATTATGTCCTGGAAGAATTTTGCAACGTACAAAATTTCAAACTGGTCTATCTAGCCCATCGGTTCTGGGACTGTGACCAGTCTGATCTAGTCTTCCTCGAATAGGACGAAGTAGCTGAGCTTCAGAAATGGGTCCTATATAGTTAATATATCACGGAAAGATAGACCGCTAGTCTTCTAAACCCCCGTTTTACCCTAAGCTACCGGTAGACATTTAATTACTATTGTTAGAGGTCTATAGAGGAAATCAATAAGGCTTATTCTGACCCCTCCTTCAGAAGCGACCAAAGACGTTTGCCAAGGTTGAGAGAACTCAACCTACAGTACAAGCCGGTTGTGCCCCGTGAGATCAAACTTAGGATTCTCGAAGAACTCTATAAATACAAGGACGATAGGAGTTCCAAACTCGAAATAACTCTTAACTCTAATAACTATAAGCCTCTTATAGTTTCTGCTATACTACAAACTACTTTTCTTAATTTAATACTAGAGTTTTACCAAGCTAAGGGCACCGATATTCAAGTGAAGAATGGTAAGGTACCAGTGGATCTTTATGAGGATCGTAAAGACCTAATTTCGCAAACTAATAACACCTTGTACATGTACTATGAAGGTGGCAGGTGGAGATCTTTGAAGACAATGAGAAAAATGCTCTTCAACCTGGGTTTTCGCAAAACAGAACAGCGTTAACACTACTCTCATGGGAAAATATGAGACTCGGTCTGCCGAGGAGGGTTGTGCGTTGGAGAAAAAGAATCCTCTTAGAACTCTGCGAGATAGGTTGTTTGATGTATAATTATGATGCTGCTGCCAGGCTTTATGCTTCTCATATGTTCTCGAAAGGGCGGCTCGAGGTTGCCAGAATTGTTTAACCACAAAATGGTAATCCAGTACAATGATTAGAGGAAAAGAACATGCTTTAGAGAGGGGAAGTCTAATGCTACTGTTTACACCAACAACGAAACCTCTTTTTTCGTTGACAAAAATCCAACAGACTGTAGCTATCGAAATCTCAAAAGAAATGTGACCTTCAAAGATGTAATATATGGGCTTTGAGTTTGAAATGGTAACGGGTCAATGAAGTAATCTCGCCTCACTATCTTCTGGTCTTAACAGCACTAGCAGGTAGTACTATATAAGCTCAAAACATAAATGATCCATTTCCTAGGATTAGGAATAATCCCCTCCTGTTCGACCGCGCTCTCGCACACTTTAACATACTTGTGAATGCAGGGAGTATTTTATCTAGTCGATTTCAAACGCGGCACTGAGCCAAAACTTCAAAAGAAAAATTCCAATCAGTATAACTTTGATACCTGCCCGCTAAATGGATTTGTATGCGGGCACACATTTAAAATGTAAGGGAGACAGAGGAGGGATAAATTGGTAGTACTTGGCAGTTGCGCAGTTCTACGATATAAATATTTTGAAGTACTTTGGTAATTAGTATACAGGTACTGTATCTGGTTATGTTCCTATGTTTTATTCTCTTATTGTATTTGTTGGTTTGACTTATTCAGTCAAGTGGGTGATGCGTTCTACCCCTGTAAGTTAAGCGAAGCATAGCTTGCCTCATTCGCACAGCGTATAAACAAACTAATCAACTACTTAAGTACTACTTGAGTACTACTTAAGTAGAGTAGGGTTGAGTAGTTAGTTTTACTACTTAGTTAGTAGTGAGTACTAGGTATAACTACTTAAGTAGTTATAGTAATAACGTGACTAAAATATAAGATAATTATCTTTTATAGAATAGTCCCCTTTTAACCTATTCCTCCTTACTAATAAAAGTTCCCTAGCTTTTTAAGGTTATTATTACCTTAAAGTCTCCTTTAATAGCTTGTTCCTGTTCTTAGATATAATATTAGCTTTCTTACTAAATAATCGTTCGCTAAAAGGGCTTGACTTAGCTAATCACCAGGGGTCGTCAGAATTCTGGGCGCAGCGTCGGATTTTGGCCGAAAACACACTAAAACACCCTACTTTACTAAATTATAATAAAATAAAGGGCAATCTTAATAGCTTGTAATTAAAGCCTATAGTAGAGACGTGTAATAGCTATAACTTGTATAATTCAGAATCTTAATAAAAGTAAGTTAACTCAAGTACTATAAGACTAATAAATTTACTAGGGAATTTAGCAGGAGGAAACTCTCTACTAGAATATCTCTTAACATCTTAGGTTTTGAAGAAAGTTTTCGCATATACACTTTATCTATATACTCTAAAGAGTTCATATATAAGATATTATATATAGTTCTAATACGAATTCGTAGAGTTATAGGGTTGTGAAAACGCAGTTTTTGGTGTGTTTTCGGCCAAAATCCGACGCTGCGCCCAGAATTCTGACGACCCCTGGTGTAATCATTCTAAGTAGGCGAACTGACCACTAGCGACTTGCGGGCGTACCCCGGATCACCTCGGGCGACTCGGCCCGGCTACACCCCGAGCTACTTAAGTACTACTTGAGTTGAGTTGAGTAGGGCTTTTAAGCCCTTGAGTAGAGTAGAATAGGTGTGACTACTCTACTCTACTATACCTATTTTATACGCTGCATTCGCATTAGTAGCTATAACTCAGGTGCTCCTAAGGCTCCCATAATTTGCACGCTTTTCTTGTGTCTTAGAGTTTCTGACGGAAACTCGGATCCATTAAGCGAGGCCACCAAGAAAACAACCACAAAATAAACTCACGAGCCCCTACTTGGGATGATACCCGGACGAACGTTAGTATTGATATTTGGTTAGTCATTCCTGATCCCCCCTTTTTTATACAGGCAGTCCCGTGTAATACTGTACATCCTCTAGTCCAGTGTTACTATTGAGCTACGTAAGCTTTCGCTAAATGACTTGATATGAGGTTGCTCTCCCCCTCCAACGAAGAGGGGCCAAGTAATGGACGGCAAGAATAACAGAAAAGTCTGGTAATTACTTCTATCCCGTTGTCTAAAGCAAAAACTTAAGCCCGCTTCAACTATAGATCGAGCTCACTTTCGAATTTGAAATTTGCAAAATAGGCCATCAGGACCCTTGATCCTGCTCGTCTTTACGCCATATGGAGGATAACACATTCCAAGGATAAAGGTGAAAGGCATAAACGTCCATCTTCATGATAGCGTATTCAGAGGTGTCGCAAGAAACGTCGTATTACTTTATCGAAAGGTCCACGGTTATCTCTCGAGACGTTGCAGTTTCGTTAACCACTTCCCAGGCCTTTTCCATATCAATCTTGATCATGTTCTCATCATGAACCCATGCCCACATAGTCGACATCAGTTGTACATTGCACATTCTCACTATGGGTATTTCTACATTTGTAGAGTCTGAGAAAATGCAAATGCCTGTCACCGTTGGTTAGGACTTTTGATAGAAGAGCTGAAGTGAAGCTTACCCAGTAAACCCATCGCCTTTAGAGAGACCCTGATGTCAAGTCCATCTGGGCGCTCTTGAATGGAAGAGCCAAGAACTGCAGCCGCTCCAGACATCTTATCAACAAGGCCGATAATTGCGATTTTCCGTTTAACGCCTTCCGTCGGGCTCGATGAGCAATCGAGTGGGTACGCTGTCAATATCTCGTACCCCTTCACGTCTAAACTCAATAGCAGAGGCGAAGTTGACTTTGCTTGGGATATAGGGGAACTCATAAATCCAGAAGTATGGGCTCGAATAATATACTCCTGAGCTGGGAGAATATGCGAGAAATGATTTAAGGTCACAATCTCCATACGCTTCTCATCACCAACATTGAATACACCCAGCATCGGCGTATTTGTATGTATGGTTGAGGTTGAGATTCTGAGCAACCTGGGCTCATTCTTACTTGTATAAACATAGTTTGTCTTTGCAACCTTTGGCCGGAGAATGATGGTCGAGTTCAGTGTCTTTGCGGTCATCTGTTTGATCAGTCCGATATTATGTTCTCCAGGCTTATCAGTGAAATAAATTGGTCCTCCACTAATACATCGACCAGCAGCATGAAAAGCCGAGTATTCATGGCTAGTTTGGAACATATCCCAATCGGGGAGAACATTCAAGTGCTGTGTAAAGACATTTGTATGTGCATTACAGAAAATGTGCCAGGGATGGCTTGTTGGGTCGTCCGGAAAGAAGTCTTCGGAATTTCGGACCATAAGCTTTGGAAGAGATGAAAGTAGTTGAGAGTAGAAGAGTGCTTGTGGGAATTGTGACATGCAAGATATTGCTCTGGCTGAAAAATGACGAAGTGAGGCGACCATCCAGGCATCTTGATACGCTGTCATAAAACGAGCGCGATCCTCTGGGTTCTCAAGCTGATCGAGAAGAGATTGAGTGTCTGTTTTTACCGAGTCGACACCACAATCCGCGAGGAATCTTACCTCTGTTAGAAGCTTTATACTAATAGGTGGCTACAGCTTACCTATAGAAGTCATCATACAATCGATGTGCATCGCAGGCGTCTACAGCGATGACGGAGCCTCCGCCAAAGAATCCGTCGTCGTGTTTCTTCAGAATTTTGGTTTCATAGGTTCTAGCTATGGTTTCATCTGGTGATATTCCATTCCAGTATCCTATAATTCCATGCCAAACAGCAATGTGCTTTAATGATGGGTATCGTTTTCGGATGGTGGAAATCGTGTGCTTAAGGCCTTGGGGAAATGTTTTTCTATCCGCCTCAAACTCTTTCCAACGATGATGAAAGTTATTTTTGCCGGAATTGTCAATTGATTGCCAATTATCATCAATAATAAGAGTTGAAAAACTGATTCCGGCTTCAGACATTGTCTCAAGGGCCTGGTAGAGCTTTTCATCGGTAAGATTTTGGCCCAGGCCATTCCAAGTACAGTACGCAAAGCCATCGTACCAGGTTTCAAGGTTTCGTGGCTCGAAAGATTTGACTATCGACTGGAATTGTGTCCTCGTTTCGCTTCGATATCTATCAACCAATATCTTTGCTTGCCCTATCACTGCACGGTTTGCATTTTCAAAAGACTTCCCAACAGCGGCCAAAATATGTGCCGTCCCAGGAACCTGACGCTCATTCCTTGAAAGTACAGCAATGTTTCCTTTCCCGTCATGTGTAATTACAGTGAGTATATCCTGCAGGCTGAGTGCAAGAAGTACCAGGTGTAGACCATCTTCACGTAGTATGGACACCAGAATCACATCTTCGTTGGGGGAGAATATGGCATCTCCTTGCCTTGGACAGAGCCAGGGTCGGGATTCTCTTACTAAACAGAACCATCTTATCATCTGTAAAGGCTGGCCTATGTTAATTCGAGTGTAGCTAGATTTCTCCGTCGCAGCTGGAACAGTACTAGAGATTGACCAAAGGCGAGTGTCTTCCAATTCATCCACTAATGGAGAATTTGTCACACAATCTTCAATATGCAACAAATTGTCTGCATTCTTGAGAAAATACGATAAGCATTCAGGAATACCGCTATCCCACTGAAAAATCACTTGAGCATCTCCAACATTTGACTGCTCGTTGATCCATTTCCATTCTTGGCCGGAACTTCGATATTTGATTGTGAATGAAAAATTGGGGTTTTTATTTTGCGGGATTCGGCGCAAGTAACCAGTGTATATTATACCAGACGATAACTGGTGACTTTCATGATACAGCTACAGTAAGAAACATTAATCTCTAGTCGGGTAGCTTTAGGTCAAATGAAATACCTTTTGCGCACGGCCTCCGTTCGTTTTGAGCTCAAGCTGATTCCATTCCCGAGACTCAGAATTATTGTGCCATACTGCAACTTCCCATGGCCCTGGTCCTTCTTCAGGATGTATCAATGCCGTAATGACGGCCTGATGTAGGGTGAGTGGATGAGTACTTATTCGAGTTGAGATATCGCTCACCTTGTCGCCAGCCAAAACCGTAGTCTGGCCAAGGAGTGGTTCGCATACTATGCTTGCAGACATGAGAAGGGAAATTTGTTGTTGATATTCTGTGGACAGGTATGGAAATGACGATTCAAGGATAGAGGAAGTACCTAGCCCAAGCACGTGATATTTACATTTTCGATTGATACAGGAACTTTCGTTACTTATCAATTCACGTACGGCCTAGAGATATTGAGGTAACTCTTTCGATGAATGGATCTGGACATTTTATTGCGGACCTCTATTTCATCTGTTTCGGTCACGTGGTCGACTAATCGTGTTGGGAAACCTCCAGGGCTGTTTTGACCCCTTGTTTGTCTTTGCCTAGCGACAAAACTATTCTCTATCTTAAAGAAGTACATATACGAGTATTCCGGCGCCAGTAGACTGTTATGGAGACTCGAAGTTATGACCTCTTTCATAACTTCGACTCATCGCAATGTCTTGCTCCTCCGGGCCCCTCAGCTTACTTGGGTCGGTCATTTTGAACTGCTGTGTAGAGCTCTTCAGTCTTGGTCTTGACAGATGACTGCTCATTTTTTTCTCATTCTTTAATTTCCTATGACCGCAAATGGTCGGATCCTGGCGCTAAATCATATTTGTGGTCTTTGAGAAAAGGTGAAGGCACTGAAGGAATTCGAAGATTGGGTTTTGGCCCCCAATTAAAGATTTTGCGAGATAGGAATTTCGCTCTGCACCTCTTCCACCTAATCACTACTGAGTTTTATAGGTTGAGGTTATTGGTATTACTTGTGTTGGAATGTCATACAGGGCAAAGTGGATCTTGCGATCTTGGGCAGCTTCCGAGACTAGGCCGCCAGGATAGACCTACCAGTAAGTCAACTACCGCTACTATTTACCGTTCAGATTGTTGTTAAAGGAATTGTAGATACCGCACCCCTCTAATAATCTGAAAAGCCTTAGCCTTTCTCAATTGATGAGACTGTGGTTCAATCATAGTTGAAAAACTTGGCTGTTACAATATATTTAGCCGCCATCGGAGCCCCGAAGAGTTTTGAATTCTTGAAGCGCTTACAGTACAGCTTACCCATGGACTTCATTTATTTGACAAAACAGCAACACACAGACTTTCTCTGCCTAGCTGCGCGGTTACTTCATAGCTGAAAATATTAATAACTGGTTCTGCCAGTAATGTATCTGGGTACAGTCAGAACCCCCCCTGCGTAACATCCCATAACCCCCAGCCTTAAATCGTACAAGGAAAGGATGATGCAAAACCCATGTACGAATGAGGTGAGCTAATTCCCCTTGCAGCTCAAGTGCAGAAGGATCCGTTCCGTTCAACCGAAGCAGTGTGATTTCTTTTTCGGTTGATTGAGTAGAGGTTCAATCAATGGAGGGTCAAAATGTCACATTTTACTGAGGAGAATACCAACTTTATTTGAGGAAACAAATAGGAGGCGAGAGACAGAAGGTAGAAAGAACTAAGAACTCAAGTGAAGGTAGCCTTAAGACTTTTGGGGAGGGGAGAGAATACGACGATGCCAACCGTGGTTGTGTCAGAAGTACTGCGCCGCAAAGCGACATATTCGTCTCCACTATATCGCGTACGAGCTACGAGATTGCGTTTTTACAATGAAAACAGAGGGTAAAACAGAAAGACTTTCCTTTTAAACTTTTCGTTGTTCAAATATCCAGTCATTCGAAATGAAATTCCCAGCTCTCTCTAATTTCCTTGCGCTCCTCGTCACAACGTCGACTGCAGTAAAGACATCAATCTTCATTGACCAAATCCCTAATTATTCTCTGCTCCCATCATGTGCTGAGGATCGCGTTTCAGCAATTATTCGTGCTCAAGCTTCAGGATGTGGCGATGACCAGCAGCTCACCAGCTTTAGCTGTTTCTGTGTTGATATGTCAACGTACGTAACCACTATGCGTTCTAGATCTTGAAATGTCCAAAGCTAACAGACCCAAGATATTATGCCAGTGTAATTTCAACGGCGGTTCAATCTTGGTGTGCAATAAATGCAACGGCGACAGTGGCGCCCGAAAGTCTCACAGCACAAGCTACCCTTACAACACCATTACCGGAAGTTGGATCTGCACTCAGTGTCTTCAGCAGTTATTGCGCTAAGACCACAGAGCTATCGTTGTGTATGATCCGCCTTCCTTATAATCGCTATTCGTATTGTTAATCTATAATCAGACCAAGGAAGCAAACCGAGTGCAACAGGTCAAGTGACTTTGACAATCACTGCAGCACCGTCCGTCACTGCCGCGACAGTGCTTCCTACCACATCGGCCTCCAGCGGATCAGTTGTACCGCTCGCAGCCATCGTTGCTCCAATTGTAATTGGAGTTCTTGCCATCGCTGGAGTTATTGGGATGTTCTTTTGGCTAAGAAAAATAGTTTTGCAAAAACCCCAAGTCGATGCTTCCAGTAGAGAGCCAGAACCAGAAACCAAGGCTTATAAGGTCTCAAGTCCACCGTCTGAAGTCTCTAGAGACAGTATAGAGGTGGTAAGTCCGGTGCATGAAGTAGTTGGAGACTTGAATTCGAGGGAAGTAGATGGTGGGAGTGTAAAGTACGAGCTAGAGAGTGCGCCTGCAGAATTGGCAGACACAAGGCGCTAAAATATTTTTGTGGGCAGTCTACCTTTCCAACATAGGACGTTACAATGACAATAGAAGCAAGGATAAATCCACGAGTCTTTATATTTGCATGCTCTCCAGTGAGGTGCGGATTCACTGGATAACGAGTGTTGCGTTGATTGGGGAGGGAAGCGAAGCAACGCTAATGGACTTTTCTGTTCTTCCATTTCTGAAACTTGGGCTTCGGCTGCCTCTCATTCTGTGAAAATATTTTTTCTTACACTCGTTAGTCCTTGACCTTCTTCCCTCTACTAATGCTTCGGTCGTGGTTGTTGGGGAAATCATCAGCTATTTGGGGCGATCCTGTTCGGTTGTGAACGCTCTTGAACTTATTTCCAACATCATTCCAGTAGTCTATTCAGCAGTACTCAAAAGTCTTGTTTGTGTGTAAAAGTTACGATTCCAATACACGATTTACTTGACAGGTTGCCGGCGGTATTGACATATAGAGGTTTCCTTAAAAATCCTAGTCACTTCTGTAGTATTCACTTAGTCGGTAGTCACTGGAGGAGCGACAGAAGTCGTTACTTTTAGCATCTTTGTTGCATTAAACATTTATTCGAGCTTCCTGGGATGTGAAGGCCCACTTGTTTCTTTCCTCTTCACTTCAATCAAGATTCACATTCCAAGGTTCTTGTGGAAATTAGCCGAGTTGGGAGCTGGATAAGATGATATGATAGAATATTGTGATCAGGGTACACTTTGCGCCCATCTTGATTGTACCGTCTGGATATTTGGGTTCGACGCAACTCTGGCGTTTTGAAATACGATTTATTCTTACTATTTAAGCCGCGACTCTGAGAAAAGCATGCGAAGGGTGCAGAATTCTTATTCCAGTTTTCTGTATTGAAACATTGACGTCTTTCTTAATATGGATCAGCTGTTCAATCAACTCTATGGTCTTCTTTGGACGGATAGCAGGCAACTGTTCAATGAAAAAGGAAAGTCAGGTGATCTAAGGTCGACTTCAGTCTCAGGGTGACCTCCACTTTAGCCCCACTTCGAAGCCTCCTCCTCCATCGATCTGTTTACCTGAAATATACAATGATTACTTGGAGTTGATACAGCTTCCTCTCGAATAACAAAATAGAGCGCAGTGTTTCTCAAGAATCGTCATGTAAAGCTAGCACTCATGGAAATGAGGTTCGTTTACTGCAGCAAGTCTCATGTTGAAACAACAGCTCAGTCAACAAGAAATCCTTGCAATGAAATTACCGTTAGCTTATCTTCAAGCCCGATACTTAGTGTGGTTTAGGGCTAAGCTAAGCCGCAATCGGCCGCTCGCTTGCGTATCTGATAACCCCTCCCGTCAAGCATATACACTCTCTTCTCACAATTGCATTCGCAACTCGCCAACTCCTTGTTTACACTTTTGATATTGTACTTCTCTTGCTATCAGTTCTTGTGATACAAAAAAAACCACCGCCATGGGCATCACGAAGCGAACTCGGGGAACCTCTAGCCAACTGTCATATCCAGAGGAGCCCGCAATAAACAAGAGACTGAAGATCGACAACCCTGAACTTCCAATTGCCAATTCTTTCAAAGCAGATCGCAGCTCTGAGAAAGAAGTCTCGTCCTCTCTCTCCGCCATTCTTGCTGATCTTTCATCTCCCCCTCCCACCAACAACACCCAGCCGCACAACCCAGACTCCGACACATCAAACACCCAGGCACTGTGGCTCAGCCGGTCAAAAGACTGGAATGGAATATCAGAAAATTGGAAGCCAATACGGGTCCTTGGCTCAGGATCCTATGGAATCATCGGTCTATTCGAGTACATAGGTAAAGGCCAAGATGTGCCAAAGCACATGGTCGTCAAGCAAGCGCCCCCTGGTATTGAGTCCGAGGCACTTCGTTCGGAATCGATGAAGTTAATCCAGCTGTCGGCCGCTGGAGCAGAACACGTCGTCAAAATATACAAATCGTTTCATCGGGCCGCTGGGACAGGTGCAGATAAGGACTGGGACCCATCCCCTTGGGTTACCCAAGAGGATGGAAGTCAATTACTTGATTCAAAGAAGATGGTCGGAAGAATTTATCTAGAGTATGCCGAAGGAGGGGATTTGGCGCATGCCAATATAGAGAGGGACGCGTAAGTTGACTTAATTGTTACCATACAGAGCCTGAATGATGGTTTTGGAGCTGATTGAAACTTCTAGGCTTGGTTTTCCAGAGGAAGTTGAAGTTTGGAAGCTCATAAACCACCTTGCCAAGGGAGCAAAAGAACTTGAGCGAGAGAATAAGACCAACCATGTTTCTGATCGTCGACCAATTATCCACTTCGATTTGAGGCCACACAATGGTGAGCTTTGCAAGTCTGTTCTACATTAGGCTGAGCTGACTCTGAGCAGTGTTGGTATTTAAAGACGCAACAGGCCAGAATTTGTACAAGGTACGGAGCTACCTGCCAATGACGGCCCCATACAGCTTTGATTTTAGAAGTAAACGGACACTAACATTGCTTCAGCTCGCGGATGGCATGTCTTCATGGTTACCCCGCCATCCTCAAGATCCAAATTGGATTGCAACTGTTGAATGGCGAGGAGCGACTGCCTGGTTGACACCCGTAAGTTGTCTGATTTGATTTTAGACTTAGTACTTACCAGAAAATAGGAGCAAGCTTACCGCAACCACCCTCAACGCCAGTTCGGGCCTCTTACCAATATCTGGTCAATTGGAGCGACTGTCTTCGGTTTCCTCCATAGGTGTCACCGGCTTGAAAATGAGTTGTTCGTTGTTGGCTGGAAAAAGAAAGAGTTCATTTCTCAAGAAACCGACCTCTTTGGCGTGCCTCACTCAGCGTTGCTGGAATTTACCCTTCTACAATGCCTTGCATTCCGTCCTCGGGATCGCATATCGGCGGACACCCTCATTGAACGGTCACAAGCTATGATGGATTATGTGTACGGGAAGAATGAACTGACACCCGAGTTACTGGATCTGGTAGCTGAATACAAGGGCCCGTCAGAGCGGTATTTTGGTGAAAGAAGAGGCGATGAAGAGGGCAGTTGGAGTGTTGATATTTATCGACCATTCGTAGAAGGAGAATCTTCTGCTAAGCTCGATAATGTTGATATCATAAACATGGGCAAGGGGAAGGAAAAGGAGACGATTGAAGCGAATAAGGCATAGGACTTTGTTGTGCTGGGTCTACTTTCTCTTTTGCTCCACTTCCTTATTTGATCCACTTATAGCTCTGCTGCCTAAATGCTTCATGTCTGCCTAAACCTTACACTCTTTATATAAACACCTTAGATAGCTACCTTTTACAATGGAATCAATTCTCCATGACCTTCAGTACCCAATACCCTTTCAACCCAATAGACTTGTATTCCAGAGATAGTAACAATTGAAGAACTTTCGCAACCGAAAAAATGCTAATGATTCTTGAACTTCTCGTTGTGATTCAAAACCTTCAACAACATCAATAGCGACTTCCCGTTGAATGCGAGCCCTTCTTTCTGGTGTCAAACCCCTCAAGAACCAGCCTATACAATAACGTAATATACTTCGTGCGCCTGTGCCCAATTGCTTACGATCCATCCTAATTTCCACTTGCTAAAAGATCTCGCTTCCATCAACGCATGAAGAAAAGTGTATGATTTTTCCCAACTGCCACCTATGTATCTCGTATTGTAAAGACGTTGTCGTGATCGTGTTCTTCTCCAGGAGTTGACCAGCAGTGGCGGATAGCGCCGACCATCAGACTCGTGTCGTTGACGGTTGCACATGACAGCACCCGTTACTAAGAGGGCTAGAAGGAGTCAGAGGCATTCGACACAGAGCATTTGTCTAGGTGTAGAGTTGAATTCGTTGATGTTTCGTTGATCGTCGTGCATGTCGAGTTGGAACGGCATTTGAGGTTTCGCAGATGCTAAAATAGGTGCGTTAGCAATGGCATCGTATGAGAGAAAACAAGAGAAGAGATTGGATTCAGAACTCATCTCATTCCATCAGAAATAGGAGTAGTGGTTGGAATAGGAGGCATCTGGCGCTGAATCAAGTTTTGGCTCCTGAGGAACCTCCTGATTTCATTAAGGGGCTTCAGGGTTGGCGCGGGAAAAGCGCGATCTGATTGGTCTATAACCGAACGCAGACACAACGCCAGAACAATATTACATTGCTAGTGAATATAGGTTGTTTTTAATACCTAGAGATAATAGAAAGTAAAATTAGTTAATACTAAAACTGTCGGTATATAATTATAGTGATTAGCACCTCGTACGAGAGCCTGGTGGTTCTACATGCTTGGTGTCATGTGAGTGGCTTGCCACTCACATACTTAAGCTCGTAGAGTACCACCTCTCTCTACCTTTACTCTTCACGAACAAATGAATACACCGATTTAGTTACCCCAACAGAGGGTGATCAGAATCCCGTATTCGCCGTCGTCACGACCACCGGGTCGTGCCAACAAAAACTCATTTATCTTTACTAAGTTTATTATTGTGCAAAATAAGATAATAAAGAAGTAATAAAGGATTAGTCGAATTTCGTATCTATACGCTACTAGATATAGATTTAATATTTATTAAATTTTAATTATATAAATCTATTGCGTAATGCTACGACTTTATTATACTCTAGGCTTCCGGCATTTGCGTAATAGATTACTATACGTGAGAATTTGGATCTTATACGGAAATATGAAAAAACAATTAAGAAATTATATTATATTTTAGTGATTTAGTTTTCTTGCTTATTAAAAACATTCTTGATTTATCTGATTACTCTTCAATAGAAATCCAAGTACATCTAGCTCGTTTATTAAATTATTTCACTTTAGGTAATTATCTTTTATCCGCTTTTTAGAATAATCTTATTACTATACCTAGAGTTCTTCTATGAATTAACTTTATTATTTGTTTTATTTCTTTAGTACCTTTTAAAAGAATTCTCATTACCTCAACCTAGAGAGTTATCTTAACTATTTAGCTAAAGTACTAGATGAAGTAAATAATATTATCTCCGTTTTATTTACTTAGAAGAGAAGTTAAAGAGACAGGGGTTCAGCTTGCAAAGAAACTCTGGAAAACCACGCTTCCAAGCTTATACAAGGACCTAGGGCTTAACAACTGGTCTTCGAAGCCTCAATCACTTCGCTTACCAAGGGAGGTTCTTGCTCGCTTAATTGCAGCTCGCTCTGGCCACGGTGACTTTACTCTTTATCACCTTCGCTTCTTTCACCTCGACACGCTACTTACTTCAGGGGAGTGTAAGTGTGGAAGAGAAAAGACTCAATTTCACCTACTATTTTGCCGGCTAGCAAATAGAGTAGCCCCTGAGCTATTTGCAAAGGCTCAGAGGAACCCTCAACTCCTCTTCGGACCACAATGCGAGGAACTGTTTCACAAGATCTACTATAAGACAAAGTTCTACTCTAGGATCTGTCCTCCTAGATAGTCCTCTTCTTCCTTACACTATATCTCCTCTTTCTACTGTTCTTTGGTCTCTGTCTTATATAGTTCTTCTCTTGTTCTCTACTCACTATCTTGTACACTGTTAACTTATTTTTACTCTGGCTCTTAAACTAACTCAGAATGAGAGCTGTTCCGGAAGTGGGGCTTCTCTTTAAACTATCTCTTGTAAATTAGCGCACTTTCATTTACACCCCCTGTAGCCTAGGGCACCCCCCTAGCGTCATTTGCCCAACAATGGGACTTTTAGGACCTAGCCCACGCGAGTTAGATTCCGCCTGACGTTAAATAGTAATAAATAAATAAATAAATAAATAATGAAGAGATTTTACTTATTTTCGAATTTTTTTCCGCAGAAATTGCAAAGTTCTAGCGAAAGACCAGGGGCTGAGACCTCAACTGGCGGTCTGAGTGACAGTATGAATCTGTCACCAAAGTTTATGTAGTATTGTCATTCCATCAATTAGATGATAGGTTAAGGATCAAGCTCTCTTCGTACTTAGAAAAATATATTCAAGTAAAATGGACTATAACACAAAAGCACATCTATAAGCCAGGAAACCTTCAGGAGAAAAGGAAAACGTAAAAGTAAAAAATAGAAACTTACGAATAGTAAATCAATCGCTAGCGTGCGGCCAGCAGTAAGGCAGACCAACAACGCGCTAAAGCCAACCCCCTGGTCCGATCGGAAGAGGATGGGATATGGATGACCCATGACTCCACAGAAGAGCCAGCAAGGTCACTCGACTCTTCGCAGGCTCTCTTTCACGCCCCAACCATGTTCCAATAACACGCCAACCTCTTCTAAACTCAAGCCCTTCGTCTCGGGATAGATACGCCAGATACATACCCAGCCGGCAACACATACTGCAGCATATATGACGAAGGTCCACGCCGGTGTGAGGAACTCCATCATAGGCAAGAAAGTTAAGCCTACAACAAAATTGGCGCCCCAGTTGGTACTTGTGCTTAATCCTGAGCCTAGAGAGCGTACATTGAGAGGGAAAAGTTCGCTTTGCATCCATGGTACGTTTCCCAATCCAAGAGCGTAGGCGGCGACGTAGATCATTACACTGACAAGGACGAGTAGAGGCGCGGTACGCTCCGATAATGGAACCTTTTCCCATGCTGAGGCAGATGAGGAAGGATTGACCGCGTTCAAATCTGCTGGAAGAGAGATGAAGACAAAACCGGCCGCGCAGAACAGGAGACCAATGACCATGGTTGGGACCGACCAGAGTAGTATTCGACGTCTTCCAATACGATCGATTAGGATCAACGCAATACATGTCATAACCAGATTCGTTACAGCGACAGAAAGGGATGTCAATGTCGGACTCGAGAAACCAAGAAGCGTAAATATGGTCGCGGAGAAGTACATCAGCGAGTTCTATAACACCGAGTTAGCAGGTGGCAGTAGGGAGGAGGAGATATTGTACTTACAAATCCACAAAGCTGCTGCAGCCCCTGGAGCAGACATGCAATTGTTAATGCTCTTCGGTTGGCCCCTATGCGAAGAAGCTCCGTCCAAAGGTCTTTTGAAGCAGCAAACCAAGCATCGTTCTCCTTCTTTGCTTGGGATCTTAACCTGCCTTTTTTGGCAGCTTCCTCCTCTTTGACCTCTTTCCCAATGCCTCTCAGCACGCCATCAACCATAGACTGAACATCCATCCCCTTCCCAAACACCTTGTTCAGCACCACTCGTGCAGCCTCATTTTTGCCAATCATGACAAGCCATCTTGGTGTTTCTGGCATGAAGAGCATAACAATAATTTGGATAGCAGCTGGCAAAGCACCAAGGCCTACCATCCATCTCCAGTTTGTGGCAGGATTACCCCATTCAATAAAGGCAAACCCTACAACGTAGGCAATTACTTGTCCTATGGTGATGAACAAGACGTTCAAAGTTACTAGCCTTCCTATGTACCAAGTACTTCGTCAGCCTGCTTGCTCCAAAATGTGAGGTCTGCTTAAGATACTGTCCTCGGGACTTTGCTATCAACAGACTGCATATTGATGGCAGGCCCGAATAGTTCCACCAACCTGAGAAGAAAACAGAAAGGCAGAACCAGAAGAAGAACACAACACAAACATACCTCTAAAAGGAGCAGGACTCAACTCCGCAATATACAGCGGTGCAACAAAACTCCCAGCGCCCACTGCAACACCCACGACCGCCCGTCCAAGAATCATACCCACCACATTACCAGTAAAGGCCTGCAGCAGCGCGCCCAAAATGAAGGCCAAATCAGCAAGCAGCACAACCCTCTTACGACCCCACCGATCCGCCAAGATCCCAGAAACGGGCGAGATGAAGAGGGCAAAAAGGGCAGTGGCTGAGGTAATAAGACTCTTATCCAGAGTCGTCAACGGATGACCTAGAGAGGTATTGATAGAGACTAGTGTTGCTGATATGACGCCTGTGTCGTCTGTTATAGGTGTCAGCTTCAAATTTAACTTTGATTTAGGACGCGACCAGTTGACCGATCAACTCAGTTATATAGGAAGAAAAGAGATAACTCACACCCAAACAGCAACCCACTAATACCAGCCGAGAACGTAAGAAGCCAGACAAAGATCCCAGGGTGTTTAAGATTCTTCTCTAGCAGCAGCGATACATCGCCTAGCTCCACCTCAACTTCATCCTCCTCATCCGAGACCTCAGCGCCCATCAGGGGTTGCTGAGCTGTGCCCGCCATGTTGGTGAGTGCTATTGACCAAGACACTTTGATGGCTGGGCGTTCATGTCTGTTGTTGATTGGTAGGTATGTATAATGTCAAAAGTCCAGGTTGGTGGTTGTTTAGTTACGTGGTTTGAAGGTCACGTTGGAGGTTAATGGCTGTGAGGTGGTGGGTCAACTTCGGAAGAAGTCGGCTGGCTGTTGCCGGGATTCTATTTACAGTAAGAGCCTTTCATGTCACTCTTTACACAAGGCTGACTGGTAGCCTCTGTTCTACCCAGGTTCTACCTCCTCTCAGTTTATGGTTTCCAATTTCAACTCAGGCCTCAGTTCCACAGTCATAATCATATCCAGTCACAAATTCAGAAAAATATTTAATTCTAAACTAAAATTGTTACAGAATCTTTACACTAAGTTGTCCATCTCTCCAGCCCCTTCTTGATACCTATCGACAAGCGTCAAAAGGTATAATAAAGAAGCTACAAAATGTGGGAAGTGAAAACCTTATAATACAATCCAGCTTCCATCAATGTCCTGCTATCTTGCACAGAAACATGAAAGAAAAGGATTTTCTCCCTCCCCAGAATCCCTTACCACACCACACCACTGCACCACCACCCCATCAAAACAACCATCTTCCATTTACCAGTCCGTGAAAGAAAAAAAACAAGTAGCATCAACTAGCCACTCAAAAAAAGCATGCACAGAGAATATCATGAATGCCCAGACCTTAACGCCATGCTGAACAATCAGGCCCTCAAAATAACGTAAAATCTTTCTTTGCTCCTTTGCATGTAGAGAGCACAGAGAAGAAGTAAATGAAAAGAGAAAAGGAGAAGCAGAAAAAAAAACACATCCACCCCAAATTACGACAAGCACTTCTAAGCTCACGCAGACAGGCGCGACCTGAGAGTAATTTTGATAAATCCCCAGCTGCATCAGCTGCTAGACTTGTATATCCCCTTTGGCTCTCAACAAAATCAAGCATCAGGACTAGCCTCCTTTGCTTCATCTTCTTCCTCGGCGGGTTCTTCAGTTGCAGGTTCCTCCACAGATTCAACAAAAGCATCAGCTTGAGTCATACCATTCTGCCTCTCCCAAACTTCTCTTCTCGTCTGCTCGTCCTTGGCTTTTCTAGCACGGTCGACTTCCTCGAAACCACCGGATTTCTTCAATCGTCCCTCCTCCACAAAGTTGCCCAACTCCTTTTGGAATTCGCCTCCTCGCCGACTCTCAAGTTCCTTCTGGCGTAGTTTCTCGGCTCTTTCGATAGCTTCAAGACGGTTTTCGTGGTTAGGCTGTAGAGCACGTACTTCTCCCAAAACACCGTCCTTGGCTGTTGCTGGGTCGCCACCACCAATATGATTCAATCCTCTCGATAGAATACGGGGAGTAGTCGAGCCAGGGCCATCCTTCATTTGCTCTTTCGTAGCTGCCTCAACCAACGCGAAGGTCTGAGTAGCTTTTTGTAGATCATCTTCGAGATCAGCAGCAAGGTCTTCTTGCATTGTAATTTCCTCTCGATCATTGCAGACGGTCTCGAGCTCCTTCTCCCAGATCTTAGTCCAGATGGGTCGCTCCCGCTTCAAAAACTCTTGCATCTTCTTGAGTTCCATCGTAGCCTGAGAAATGTCCTTGGCGACAGTTTCCAATTGGCGTGGTAGAGGGCGAACACCCCGTAGGACAACATCTTTGCGTAGATCTTCAACTATGTCCTGGAGGTCGTCAACTTGGCCAACAAGCTTATCAGAGTCCTCATTGAGAGTCTTCTTGCCAAGATTAACATAAGAGCGACCAGACTCCCCTTTGATGTCAGGAACGGCTGCTTTAACTGCAACGCTCTTTACAGATTGTGCCTTGGTGCGAATCTGGGACATCGAGTTCTGGATATCAGATTGGAAGCCGGAGTATGTCTGTCGCAGGACCGCAAGATCTCTGCGGAGACTTTGGATCTCACTCATTTGAGCTTGGCTATTGACCTTTGACGGACTCATTAGAGCTGGTGCGACGCGTTGGCTATCACCGATAGAACCTCGAGAAGCGACCGTTGTTGTTCCTAGACGAGCCATTTCTTTAGCAGCATCTTGTTGGCGATCTGAGACTCGTTGAATAGAAACTTGCTGGTCCTGGACCGCAGTCTGAACACCCTCGACCATCTTCTTGATACCACTAATTCCCTCGTCAATATGTCTTTTGACCTCGTCAAGAACTTCAATATTGAGAACCAAGACAGATCTATCCTTGATATCGCTGAGGTCCTCGAGCTCGTGGCGTACGCCAGAAACTGGATCTTGCAGGTAAATCTCTGGCAGATCTACTCCATTGTTGTGTGTGTTCCATGCAAACTTCTCGATGAAAGCCAACTGTAGTCTCGCGATGGATAAATCATTGTAGCCCTCTGAAAACACGAACTTCTTGACTTTTGTCTTGTATTGTAAGAAAATGGTGAGTTCTTTGCCAGGTGGAGGGGTGGACTCGGGTGTGAATTGTCTGACTTGGCTTGGGAGTGGACGATCTTTAACATCAGTTTGGTGTTTGGGGGTTTCCGGGAGGTTTGATGTGAGCATAGGTAGTGCATCACTTGGAGGCCCATTCAAAGTGGCGCTGGGTCCGCTATCATCGAAATCGAAGGCAGAGTGCCCGAGCTTGTCTTCCGGAGTCTTTGTCAAGGAGCTATCCTCTGAAGGAGGCTCACTTGGTGGTACGATAACCGGCTTCGAGGCTTCTTCGGCGATGCGACTTGGGACTCGAACGGGTGAGGTTTCTGCTGGACGAGAACTTTGGACACGCGCGTTTCGTTCGGCTCTGTTTTGAACTGCTTTCATTGACTCCCGAGCATCGTTCCGGCCTCGATTGGGGATTGGGGAATTTTGCACTGGGGGCATCATAGGCAATCCATTTGGGGACGCACCAACAAGCTTGGAGATCTGGTAGGCAGAATAGCGCCTAGATGCCCTTCTTTCAAGATCACCGCCTCTCTGCAAAGCTGCCAAAGCATTCTGCTGCGCGACTTGTTTCGAGATTTGTTGCTTCGGCGGAGGCGGAGGAGGCGGGGGAAAGTTGTCAACACTAAAATCTCCCTGTGGGATTGTTAACTCATCACCAGGATAAGGCGGAACACCAGGCATGTTTTGCATTGTTGCGCTTGATAGGGTCGACTGATCAGAAGAGGCTAACGATCCGCGCGATTGTTCTCTGGTAGGAGGGCCTCTTCGACCGGAGGGCTGTGAAGACATTCTCGGAGGGACGCTCACTTCATTTCCGCTATCCCGATTGTTCGGCACTATATCGCCTTGATAGTTGTTAGAAATGCCTTGATCTAGCAATGAAGTGAGACCGGTGTGCGCACTCCCTACGCTGCTGACACTGGGTGTTCGCGGAACACCGTTGTCGTTCTGGCCCGAGCCCTCTCTGGATTGTTTTTGGCGCAGCTTTGCCTGCTTCCTCTTTAAACCATGAAGTAGATTGATGATGATGTCTCGGATTCGAGGAAGGTATTTCTCTAGACTTTCTACGCTAGCTTCTTGACTCAACGTTGACTCGAGGATATTGCGCAGAAGCTCGGGAACGTTTCCTAGATCTGATGTATCGACGTTGATGGCGGTGAAGGCCCTACATGCTATATTGAACTCGTAACCCAGTCGTACATAGACGTCCGAGACCTGTGCGTCAGTCGCTTGGTGTCGAGACCATTGTGTCAGGGTTTCGAGTAGCTGCTTCGTGGCGACAAGGAGATGAGTGACACTCTTTTCAATTTGAGAGAGGGGGGGCGCATTTTGACCACTTGATACTGGCTGGTTTGGCTACATTCAAACATATGTTAGACTTTTCCTTGTATACCATAGAAGCCATAAGATTGAGCCTCAGTAATGAATGCAACACACTTACGTTCTGTCTACGGCCACTGCCTGGCATATTCCTCCCTCCAGATCCTCTTTGGGAGCCTGGTCCAGGAGACATTGATCTGGCTGGTACTGTGGGAGGAGGTCCTGGGTCGGCGCCAGGTGACCGGCGCTGCATGGAACGCTGCGAAGTAGGAGGAGCTTGCATCATGGTGGAAGATGCTCCTGAACTGGGAAGGGTTTGCAAGTGTGGGCTCCGACTAAACAAACATGGCCCTGGAGGCTGGGAGCAGAGTCGGTAGAGGGTTTTCTTGGTGTATGCTTTGCGCACTGCGTAACGCGTTCGTTGATGGGTGTTCGCAAAACCGATGGACTTGCAGGTGGAGTTGTAGGAATCGTGAGAATCACTATCGTGCTCTAGTGGTGGGTGCCTTGATACGAGTGTCGTCCACAGGGTGGTGAGCTGCCACGCACGGGTGGGCCTTCCCACTTGACCAATGCTCCGACGTCGGCAGTCCGACCCTAGGCCGAAAACTCTGGTGTGTGAAACAGTGAAAACTGGAAATGTTCCTTTGATTTGGCGTTTCAAGATGGAAAAGAGGGTTTTAAACTTTCATAATTGTCATCTAAACAACTTGTTCGTGACTCAAGATTTTGACCTCTGAATATCAGATAAACTATTGATCCCTTGAAGTGCACCTTGGATCTTTCAGGGGCTGGACCCTGGCCATGCACAACCATCTCTAGGCTTGCTGCATCGAGTATCAGGCAGCTGGAAGCTGTTCGCTTGTGTACGAGTACTCCGTACCGAGATATAATTGCATCCTTACCGAGGTTTTGATTTCTACGAGATTTGGCAGTGTACTTCTATCTCAACGTGTATGGGTATGTGTATATATATATAGATGTATATCTAGGTATTCCAAATTGCACCAAAATGTTCAACTATTGCAAGTGTCAGTCTCCCATGACTTTAATCTTCCCGTCCCTCGACGGGTTCGAATTAGATGGCCAAAGCTCGGGCACCAGGACATGACATGCTGGCAGAAAGGCGGGGTTGATCTGGACCTCAGAGTTGAAGCATATGGGGTATTCCCCTTGTCCTGTGTGGAATGATTGAAAGTAGCTACTTGATGACGTGCAAAAGACTCATGTTCAAATTGATATCACCGTCTAGCAGGACATTATGATAGAAGACGACAGTGCCGAAGAACTCCAAAATATTGCAATACAGTTTTTAGTTTTCAGCTACGTGGCGGCACCCACGCAGCACGCTACGGTACGCGACAGAAGCGTTCCCTACGGAGTACCAAGAGTTCCTTACTGTACCGAATGTATGGTCTAAATGAGCTTTGGGAAATCAAGTCCAATTACTTGGTTAAGTAGAGTAATTAAACTTGTACTCGCTTCACTCCTCCAGTGGTCTGATCGTCGGAACTGTTCTCTCTATTACAGTCACGACTCCATGGTGGAGTGTAGGTTCTCATATGCAGATTATTTTAAGGTACTTAGCCTCAGCGACGAGGGTCATCAACCTGGAAAGTCGGTGCAGTGCAGTAGTACAAGATAACGTTGCTGCTGCTTCGTGCCTCATTGAAGTAAAGTCGCCCCCAAGATCTCTGGATTGATTGGCAAAAAACGATGGGAACTCCATCTTCTACACTGCCAGTATTCCTCCTGACAAACAAGTGTCGGCTTCTGGAGACGTCCATTTTGGGGATATATCAAGGGATCTCTGAATCGGGATCTGGTGGAGGCAAGGATAAGAGTAATTGCATTAGTACTGCGTACTTGCCAAACTGCGGCTGTGCATCTTCTTCACGGTAACTAGAAAAGGTTTGCTGCTTTATCATATCCATAGAGTAATACTCCCTAATGCTTGCTTGCCTGTGTTACGCAGAGAATGCGGACTCTGCCTACCTCCGTCATGCCATTCATCTCGTTGGTTACTGTAGATGCGGCCGGACTTTGCTGGAGTATGACAGAAAGAAGACATCCGTGCGGGCGCAGAGAGTGGAAGTCGATGGCGAACATCACAGTCTCTCGCGGCGAGCCTCTGCTGCCGGGCGTGGGTGGTTTTTTGCAATTGGCATCATCGAGTCTGTGTATACTTTTGATGCCGTATCGTAGGCTCAGGCTATAATGCTTTTTGATCCCCTGCCGCTGCCCTCGGTGACTCGGCGTTTCCCTTTTAGCGGTGTTTTAGGTATAAATAAGAAAAGTGCGTTCATACCTCACGGCACATCTATACCCTTACCTGTACTGCCGCTACAACCTTACTGTCGCTACAACCTTACTGTCGCTACAACCTTACTGTTGCTATAATCTTACTGTCCTAATTACCCTGACGGTTTAGTTAGGGTTAGTAGGTTAGGGTTAGTGGAATATGGACCCTCTTACTGTTGCGTTGCCCCCTTTCTTTTTTGAAAATAAAAAACATTAAAGTTTTTATATATATATTTTTTACGCACGGGTCGAGATGCCTACAAATATCGCCGACGTCGATAGTGAAGTACGAGTAACTACGGTGCAACTTTTGATAAGGCAACTCTAGTGTTTTTAGCACTCCGGGGAACGGCGGACCCACTTCCCATATGCGGTTAGTCAAAAAGCATTATAGCGAAATCAAAAAGCATTATAGCCTGAGCCCGTATCGTGTGTTTTGCAAGCCTCAGTTTTCGGTTGGAAAAGTAGATGCTGGACACCGCAAAGCTGAAACACATGTAGCTTACTCAGTCGCATGTTGACGCCAATCCTTCAGACCGAAAGGCCATTCTGATCGACTCCCAGGTTCGAGCTGTTGCGTAGCCCGTTTTCCTCCAATGCCATGGCAAGGGTGCGGGGGAAGGGCGGCGATGGGGGTTGAGTGTGCTCCATGCTCCATACAAGAGGGTCTTCGAAGTTCGTGTGGCCGTGACCACCATGAGGGCCGGTAGAAACCCAGTCTCGCCAGACCCTGGGGCAGGTGTGGTGGGTGTAGTCTAGAAAAGGGGAGAAGCGAGGTACGGAGGTGTACTCATACCAGCAGATGTATACGCTGCGTATAGGTTGCTGTGGTTGGGGATGGGGGTAGGTAGTAGATCTCGAGATGTACTAGTGAGGATTAGCGCATCAACACTGTGGATGTATGAATGTATGAATGTATGAACATTGGAATCGAATAAGCCATATCAGATGCTACGGAGGTACTTTCGTGCCTACTACTCCGTCTCCATACTGAGTATACCTCCTATACGCTCCGTAGCTACTTGCAATTGAAATCCTCGCGTGGCCACAGTGCAGTGCCTCCTCTACCACCACCGTCGGGTGCCGCCCTAACTGGTTGACTGCCGCTCCCTCAACTCACCTCTCTTCAACCACCGACCACCAACCACCGCAACCTCTCTCCAGGTCCTTCGGAAGCGCCATCGACCGACCTTCACCCTCCTCTCCCACCACATCGATTCTTCTCATCTGCCAGCTCGCCCTGCCCGCCGAGGTTGATGGCAAGCGTGCGTGTCCAGATCAGTTTTTGAATCTTCTTTCTTTCTCTTCCAGCGCTATTTTGATAATCTGTCGTTGAGCTTGCGCACCATCGCTTGGCCGCCCATACTGCCTTTGAATTTCCTTCCACCTCCGACGTTGGACTTCACCTTTCCCCGTCCATATCAACCTCCTCGATCCCCCGCTGCGTGCTCGCAGAACGACCATTCTTGCGATTCTACTCCAACTCGGCATTCGACAACGGTGGCATCTAATAACTTCCCTCTCGAGGTAAGAAGAGCCGCCCCCTTGGTTTGTGTCAACCATGGCCTCTCGCCAGACAAATGTTGAGGGGAGGGCGTTGGGCAAGAGACTTGGAGCTACCAACAACGAACCCCCAACCCCAATCCCTCTGCACTGGCAAACCTTTCCTCGCGAGGCGCACATGCTAATTGGGTTTCACAAAAATAGTAGACGGGGTTCTTTACATCGAAGAGTTAGCTGGCCTTGTGGCTAGGGGTTATTATCCGAAACATCTACACCATTGCCCAATTCGGGGCAACATTTTACCTGGGACTAATCAAGAGACGATCCAGAGGATTCGCGCAAGCGTATCATACACAGAGGTAAGCGCTTCTCTCTCTCTTATCTTGAGTTCGCATCCATCATATGCTCCCATTACAAAATCCCACTGGGAACCATGGTGGTGTCACAAAGCTGGAGACCAGCGTGAATCACAAATTCATCATGATACATCTTAATCTGCGACAACGCTGATAGGTCATCTTAGCTCTCCCAGCTCTACCCGTTCGCCTCGTCCTTCCAATCTTGTGAATCAGCTCTCGTGAATCAATAACATTGAGGGGCCTCTTTGTTAAGAATATGGTGCAAGGGAAGAAGCCCAACGACATGTCGAACGGTGCCACCAAATATCAAAACAATATGTCCTTCCAAAAGAAAGATAGATCTGAGTCCCGTGGTGGGGCACAGAATGGTGAGCGACTTTTGGAGTCCAGGGGTACGTTCCCAATATGCTGACTGCTTCCAGGCTTCAGAACCGATTCCGCGATCTCTGGCAGCAAGATCCAAGGTGAACGTACTCTGCAAAGATGGGTACCAGATGCGCCCGAGGAAATTGACGGCTCCTTGGAATCGGGCAAACCAAGCAGTGGACCCGCCTGGGACCAGTTTGCGGGTACCCAGACCGATTATGATGAGAACATCTACACCACCAAGATTGACACAAGTCATCCCCACCACCAGCAACGTATTGCATATGCTGATAGAAAGGCGAGAGAGATTGAGCGTAGTGTTGCGACCAATTCTCATGTTGCTGAAGAGCGTATAGCAGACCATGTCAAGGCGGATAGTAATGGCCTTGATGAAGAGGACAAGTGAGTTGCAACCTTCAACTCATACAGACCACCCACACTAACTCTTTTAAATCAGATACAGTGGAGTTCGCAGACAGCAGGACTTCCCTCCTCTGACTAGTTCGAGCAACAAATATCAGCCTCCAGCTAGGCGTGGAAATGCCGGGCAGACTGCTACATCTGCTGCTGTTTCTACTGTTGCCTCTAATGCTCCTGGTATACTTGCGGATCCCGCCATTCTTGCCTCTGGCCGTCCAAAAGCCACCTCAGAAAAGAAGAACTCGCCAGTGCAGAAACCCAAGGCAGAAGTTGCCCCCCCTCCGACCGTAAATGAGCCAAGCGCCACCGCTACACCAGATACCAAGGTATCTGCTCCAAAAGCAACTGCTTCTGCTGGCCGTACCATAGCGCAACCGAAACCACAAGCTAGTCCCAATGCAACTGCTACTGTTGAGAGAGACGTAGCCAGTGCCTTCAAAACCTTTGCCAACCAGCAGAGGAAAAACTTGGAGAACGCTCGTGCAAACAAGGCTAGGAATGACAAGGAGTTCAAGTTGAATGATCTAAAGAAGTTTGCGGAGGATTTCAAGCTAAACACCCCCGTTCCTCAAGACCTCGTCCCGATCATCGCAAAGGATCCGGCAAAGCAGAAGGAGATTATGGAAAAGTCGAACAGAAGTGCAGAGGAGGCAAAGCTCAAACCTGCAGAAGCTGTCAAACCTGTGCAACCTCCATCTGAAGCCAGAGCACCCGCCTCACAACGCCCAGCTCCTGCAGCCCATGCACCATCACCCTCGTCCAACAATAATCCGAGTCGACAGGCATCGAACCGCCAACAAGGCTTTTCACACCAACAAGGCTATAATAATTCGCAATCCTTCCGCGGTAACCAATCCTCTCAAGCGCAGCCTCAAATGCCGCCCCAACAAGGCCGCGGACCAGGCAATCTAGGAACGCGACTGAAGAACCTTGAGAGACAGAATTTGAACCAAGGCATGAATAATATGCCCCTTCATGATGCTCGTCACCCACCAACTGGTCCGGCCAACCCAATGGACCCCAACTTCTCTCGTCGATCTAGTGGTGTTACAAGCGCGCAAGGAGGTCGACTTAACCCCAACAGCAGTGAGTTCAGACCAAATGCTCACGCTCCAACATTCACTCCCAACGGTAACCCATCTCACTCGAATGGCCCCAGCAGCGGCTCAAGCCCTGCCATTAATGCTTCCGTTGAGCAATCCAGCCCTGCGCCAGTCGCACGATCTCTTTTGAAGCGCAAGCCCGTTTCTCCTGTTGATCGACCTTCATTGAAGGAAAAGTTCAACGCTCTTGAGCACATCATGACAATCAAACCTCTGCCAGAGCAGAATTGGGAAAAGACAGGTGGAATGAGACCATCTTATGATACACCACCAATTTGGAGACAACTAGCAGACGGTGAGCCAGACGGTTCAAGTATTCACTTGACATATACCAAGCTATTTGAGATGACTCCCTTCCCAACTGCCCTTTCTCCACCGAATCTATCACACGCTGTTCCTCCAGTTCCGCATCAACATCAACTCCCGTTCCATCTTCAACAAGGCGTGCACATGAACCAACGTCAATCACCTCGAGCAATGCCTATGAATCTTCCTGGAAATCAGCATGGTCATGGCCCAGCTCCTCAGTTCAGTGGCCCTGATGAACATCGAATGATGCCATCTCATTCCGCTCAGTCATTCGCATCTCCCCGTCCTCATAATGCCGCCCTCCCTTTTCCGTCTCCCATGGGTACTCCTATGTCTCAAAACGCGCAACTATATGCCCCTCAGATGATGCCATATGGCGGAGTACCACCTATGGCAGCAGGCTATAGATCACTCTCCCAGAACCAACACTTCGTTCCTCAACAACAGATGGGCCCCCCAATGATGATGCAAAATCCTACCGGTGGGTTTATGACTACGCAGGGTATGCCACCAGGTGGTCATGTCATGTATCCACAAGGCCCGCAGGGTCACTTTATGCCTCAAGGGAGTGGTCATCCGCCTGCTATGCCTGTGAATGGCTATCCAAGCCCAGGTAGGGGCGCCCCAATGATGATGAGCCAAGGCTCGCAGCAAGGTCATCAGCAACCGCCTATGTTTGCGATGAACCCTGGTATGAGTCCCGGTCCTCAATATGGAAATGCAGTACCCGTTTACGCTCAACAACCTCCTGGTCAAAGTAAGTTAACAATGACTGAATTATATATGTTTTTGCTGACTCCTTCTAGTTCCTATGCGCCCTGGTTATAATGGTGGACCGGGTCAATTTGGAACAAGTCCTCAACAACCTCACCAATTTGCTCACCAACAACGTAATAACCACCAAAACGGAAATTTTAATAATAACAAGAACTTCCAACATCCTCCTCTACACCCCAATGCCCCACCAAATAGCCAACCCCCAAATGGTACGCAACCTCGAGTCGTTGATGGTGTTGTTGAAGAAGCTAAATGAGCTCTTCACTTCTTCCCAAAACAAGGATCACGGCGCCGATGCTACGGCATCACCCTATTGCTTTGGAGATTAAGCCCCGTACCAAGTTCGTGGGGTTTTCAACTACTTGAGGATAATTTATACTCTTCCGCATCATCTTTTCAAGGTATTTCACGGAAGACGACCCAAACCCATTTGCATCGATATTCTCTCCATGAAGAAGAGATACTCTTAGGATTTCGCTTGGATCGGCAATCTGGGAAATATGCGGTTGAAGCATTCTTTTGGTTCTTAAGATGCTCTCGCCCCCCTCAATTATGGTGGGTCTCTTTTTGCCTAGCGTTGGTCTTTTTCGAAAATCTTTCTATTCTTCTTGGTACAAAGATCTGATACCTTGTATATGTAGAACTGGCCAATTATCGTGTCATCAAACACTTGTTTCTCTTGGTGGGATTGGACAAACTTTTCGCTATTCGACTGCAGCCTGGGGAAAGGGAATTATTGCTGTGCTTTTTTCGAGCCCCGAGAGGAGTCGAATAGGACTTGGCCGACGCTGATCAGGAAATGGCGAGATGAGGAATTGTTAATATGAATAAGGTTTTTACGAAAAAAGAAAAAATTGTGGACAAAAATGTGACGTGGGTAGCGAAGCGAGTAGGCAGGCAGAGAGAGGTGTGCTCTTCGTGATGTGTTACATAGAGTGAGGTCTATTGAACACTCTACCACCCACTTTTTTTTTGTTTTGGAATATTGCTTGTGATTTGATTTGATTTGATTTGATTTGATTCAATGTGATTCTGAGTGAACGATTTTGGTTGGTAAGTATTAATGTATGGATGGCTGATGGGTTGTGTGATTTGCTTCCCTGTTCTAGAATGATGAGTGAGTATACTACCTAGATCCCAGGTAAACAATTCTAACGAATGAATTTTTCCCTACCTAAGCTTGAGCCTGGCGCCTGGGTTGAAGAGGACGGAATTTACGATCCCTCCTTCCCTACCTACTACTTCATTGAGACCCTGACGCGATTTTCAATGTTGACTAGGGAAGTCACGATGAGAGCCAGGTAGGCACTTTTTTGTGAAGGAAGGAAGGAACGAGGGAGGAGTGTGGTGGATTGGAGTTTGGTTGTGAGTAGAAATTTGTCAACCTACAGTAGTATTCTGAGCATACTGATGTCAAGATACCGTTACTTGGGAAGCGTCGTATAAGTGGATTAGTTATATGGATAGGTTTGAGTGGTCATTACATTTTTCTTCCATTCTTATTGACCCCGGTGTACGTACTGGGATAATCAATCTGCATGTGCTAGAGTCTTGGTGCAGTAATAATTGGTTTTGATACTGTAGTGTGTGTTGAGTTATTGGCTGGCCTTTTACTTCTTCTTTTTCAGGAAAGTACTTTTTGGGGGGAAGAAGGTAGGGCTCCAGGGCTGGGTTTGGTTAGGTAGAGAGTGTAATGCTTGAGATATTGATATTGAATTATTTTTAATGGTAAAGATTTGACGTTAGCTAGGATGATATCAATTAATAATGTCGCGATACTCCTATGGTTCCCTGGTGTTTTATTTTATGCTAGTATAGTATATTAATTGTAGGTAGGCTTGGTGGTGTGGTGAGAGTTTTCGTTATTGTTTAAGTTGATTAGGGATAAGGATAAATAGAAGATTTGGTTTTTTGTTGTTCTAAGGGGATTAATGGACGTTGGCCATATTAACTTTTACAAGGTCGTCTGCATTAGTTTTGTCGTATGTTATTGTGTCAGGAAAGGCTACAACTAGGTATATAGAGACAAGATATTCACACATTCATTTTTCAATAGAGCATAAGAGACGGGGTACAGAATGTTTGTGGAGTTCAAAGAGTAGAGAAAGGCAAGTAGAGAAAGGCAAGATGCGAGAGAATGCTATTTATTTTTATAGCTAGATTGGGCGAGCAAGTTGTATGTTTAATCTTGAACGATCAAACAAAGTAATTAACAATAATACTACTAACATCTATTGTGACCTCACCTAATACTAGTAGTATAACCCTCCTAAACTTCGGCCTAATCGGCAAAACTTTTCCCCACCACACGTGAGAATTCCATTAAATCCCACTAAAACTCCCACACAAATTCCCCACTGTTCTTTTGTTCGAATACTCAAATAGCAGCCATGCCTCCAACAAAAAAATACCTATCTACCCTCGGTCGTCTAGTTGGTTTATGGCGTCCGGCTGTAATTGTTCAGTCTCACCGGAATGGTAAGTTTGCAAACCAACGCTCCTATTGCTCTCAGCCACTTGCTAACAAGTGTCCTAGTCGCGCGTTCGACTCGCGCCTGAGGGATCTTTAATAATCATTTGATTACCACTTTTTTTGCCGGTTTTTTTGGTGGATTTGGTATGGTGTTTTGAAGTCGTGGGGTTGGTGTGGGTGGCGAGGGGAAGCGAGGGAGCCGGTAAGTGGCGGGGTGAAGATTGTGGGCTTGGCGGTGGGGTAGTGTGGCTCTGGTGGCTCTGTAGTGCGAATGGGGAATTTCAGTGTTGGGTTTTGCCTCAAGTCTTTTGTTATGGTGGGGTAATTCTCTCTTACTAGTACTTTTTCATCTAGGCATATGCTATACAATAAATGATTTGTTACTGTGTATCACCGATTTCCTGCGATTATAGTTTCTGAAGTGAATGGAAAGTGGTAGCCTTCACGTGTTTTGGACAACTAGTTGTTATCTCTAGATCCAAGCAAAATTCCGTAAATGAAAACGAAGAAAGGAGTTTGGAATCAGTTTTTAGGGGGTTTATAAGGTAGAGGGGTTTCTAGGGAGTAAGTAGCATAAGTAAGAAAGAAAAGAAAAAGAGGCTATTCAAACAAACATACTGACATTAGTCTATAAAATAAATCCTAACGTCCAACAGTCAGATTGTTTAGACGGGTTTATCATAGGCTAAACCAGTATAACATCTGAAAAACGTTCTAGAAGAATAACCATCTACAATCATGCTTTTAATTGCTTGCTTGAACTTGGCTACTCGAAGCTTAACATGTGAAGTGTCGAGTCAATCGAGAACGACTGCCTCTGAAAGTCTTACAAATTCCTTCTGTGGAGCAGGCCGAGGCTCTGGTACAGATGACAAGTCGGTTGCTGGACCAAGTAGCAGCGGGAAGGTATCCTGAAGGGGGATAATTTAGTTCCTTTGGGCTTCTTAGGGCAGGATAGACTTGTTGAGGAGTAGTATGGAAATAATGAGAGGATGGAGGAGACTTCAATTGAAGGTGTCAATTGTCTCAAAAGGGAACCGGAGAGCGGAAAAGGGGTGCTGATATCAGAGGGTGATTTTCAAATGACAGTAGGAATATTAGATTCAGGAATATCAACTTCAATGAAAGGGACGCTCCTGCCATGAGATCGCTGATGGGACGGATTTGGCTTGACTTGCGTCGAATCGAAGAAGGAAGTCGCGATGGACACCCTTGAGTTCTACTGTACTGTACCAAGTTTACGGGTTTCAGCGGTTCTGATAAGACCCACATAACAGCATGGGCAGGCTTTATAAGCTTCCCAAGTCTCATATTCGATCTGTACTATAGTAACCCTTAAATCGACTATTTGATTAATACTATAGGTAATTCGTGAATTAGACTATATAATAGAATCTTCCTACTAATTAACGAATCTTTGACTTCTGAAATATATATTACTTTAATTAATAATAAGAGTCTATTTTTATTAATATAAACCACTCGCCTACTAAGTAAATAAGGTAAACCTAGTAGTTAAAGTAAATTAACGCTAACTAAGTTTCTCACGGGTATACCTGAAAAAACAGAAGGTAAAGCTATTCTGAAGTACGATTATTTCGCCTTTAGTTTACTCTACTAATAACCCCTTTGGTCTCTTTAGAGAGGGGTATAAAGCCTAAGTTAGGGTAATAGGAAAGATAGGGGGGGTAGAGAGTAGATTCCTTTATAAAGATTAGCTATTATAGTATTAACAGCCTATATTCTATTCTTCATTCTATATCTAGTAGCCTACTTAGTCTACACCCTACTAAGACGTAAAACATACATATTATAGAATAGACTATTATTGGGTTGAAAGGGTATTGGGTACTGAAGGTCATGGAGAATTGATTGCCTTGTAAAAGGTAGCTATCTAAGGTGTTTATATAAAGAGTGTAAGGTTTAGGCAGACATGAAGCATTTAGGCAGCAGAACTATAAGTGGATCAAATAAGGAAGTGGAGCAAGAGAGAAAGTAGACCCAGCACAACAACTATTATACTTATGACTGCTATAACAGTAACCCTAAATTCTATAGTATAACAGTTATAATAGTCTAATTAACCAAAGGGTGGATTTGAGGGTTACCATAGCACAGATCAATTCTCACAGTAAGATACCTAGTCGTTACTCTGTATATACTAGATAAAATGTTATTATACTAAGCTTATAGTACAAGTAAGATAATTATAATAGTATACCTAGGCTAATAAAAAGTAACGAATAACAATCATTCTAAGCTCTGTATATAATTAATTTAGTTGTGGGACCCTTTTGAAATAATTTTATTCTAAGAGAGGTGTATATAGAGTAACGACCAGGTATCTTACTCAAGAGGATCTGAGGATGCTTTCTGGATACCTAGGCTAATGAAAAGTAAGAGTTAACAATTGTTCCAAGATTTCTATAACATCTTAGTTGTGCGGGGATTCTAGGATAGGATTGTTCTAAGAGAGGCGTGTAAAGATTAATGACCACGTCTCTTACAAGAAAACAGGGCAACGGTCTTCCATGGAAACCCGAGATAATCAATTATTCCACAACAGGCATACCCCCAGGCAGTTCCGTTAACCCTAGCTTATGTTAGCGTTTTCTATAAAAAAACAACTAAATCATACAGGTAAACAACTCACAGCTATCAATATCCTCAGTTACAACACTCTTGAGGCTACATTTATTAGCGTCGGCAATACTCTGAGTCTTCAACGCCGGACAATTGATATTGCAATTGCTGTCCATAGCTTTCTGAAGCGAGTCCCCTTTCCAGCCAAACACGTAGTCTCCATGTGTCCCACAACCGGTTCTATATTTACGAATTTGTTAGTGTTTCGAAACTCCAAGGTGTAGAGGAGGCAAAGCTTACGCATCGCCATAACTCCATACAAATGGCTGACTTCCATCAATTGGCCAAAGGCTCTTGTCATTAAACTTCCTTGTATCCCATACAACTTCGAAAAACAATTGTGGAATCTTCACAGGATGAGTCGAAGGACACGGCCCATTGTTCTCAAAATTACTAGAGCTAGGATAAGAAACATGGCTCATATGGTCGGGAGAGTCAAGATTTACACCATCCCAACACCTAGAACCCGTCAGGTCTTCATTCATGTACTCACTTTATATATCAAGCTACAAGACTTACGTCGGAAACCTGAGGTTCGCCATGATTCCAGCCGGACAAGGTTTATCTGGCAAATTCTTCGTTTCTCCCGTCCTAGTACCTGGAGTTTGAGACAAGTATAAGTCAACTGTCGGTACTTGTCGGCTCCTTCTTTATTTCTCAGCGACGGATCTCCAACTAGCATTCTGAACCCTTTCTGAAAGGCGGTTGTCTTTATGCCTTTTGCCGTATAAGGCGAATAGTAGATTGTCATTCCCCAATTTGCCGCTTCGAAGTTCTGATTACCGATTTGGGGGACGCGTTTGAACGTTCCGTTTCGTGCGCGGAAATACAACACAGCTGCATTATATTAGACTGACCAAATGCTGGAGTAAATGTGTGACTTACCAGTCCAGTAGTTAGAGATATCTTCACTAAAGGTGCAGGTTGTGCAGGTTGCCATGGTCGAGATGTCTGCTTTGGGATCCATGGTGACGTTGAATGCATTACCACCGATGATCTAGATATTTCTTAGAATCTCATCATATGAGATCTGACATAGTGGGTGGCTTACTTGGTGCAGGTGAGGCAAACCTTTGACGCCTGGATTGACGAGGGGGTCAAGACGTTCTGTAACTAGCCCAGAACAAGAGAAGCGAAGTAAGGCACAAACATCACTTGCTCCGAGTCCAAGAGCCAAGAAAGAGAGTAACTGCATTCTGGAAGATACGATGGGGACACAAAAGATTCTGAATGTAGGTGTTCTCTCGGGAAGTATATGTTTATTGGAAAGACCGCTGATTTTGGATATGTGAGGTATATATGATTGCATAAGGTGCTCAGGGCTCTCCACGTACTACAGTTTACTTAAACACAGATGCAACTCTATCCCTGATAATCGCATTTACCGTTTGAGACTTGAGCTTAAATTGCCGAATCATGCGCCTGTGTTGATAGTATGGGTAATCGGTAATGTCATTATTGGCTGTCTCAAAAACAAGATAGGGGTATAATTCGCTTACCGATAACACCAACAATTTACCGAATTTTGCCGCAGAGTCGGATCCTAGTTAGTTCATCTAACCAGATTTGCCACATTCTTTTCATATCTCTCAAAGCTTGCCTTCTGTTTTGGTCCCATGATTACCTAAACTGTAAATCGGGTGTCACATGAATTGCAGGGCTTCTCCACGTTTTCTAACACATGCAGCCACCAAGTTAATTTTACTTCCTGGCTACTCAAGTATTAAGCCTGTGAGATTATTTCAGAGTCCATTGCGAGAATGAGCGTACAGGCCTGAAAGCAAAGACTACCGTTGGTTCTACAGGCTCATCGATATTCAAAAGTTACGAAGTAATATTAGAGAGCAGTGAATGAAGCGGGATACCGCGATGCCAAGACATAGCTAACGGAACCCAACTGAGGACTCGGAAGATACAGAGCCGTCATTATCATTCATTTAACATAAGGATAAAGTCTTGCTCGACCTTTCCAGTTCACATCAGGGAAAGGATACCGTTGTTGAGGAAAAAGCAGAAGTCCTCACGTATACCACTTTCATTGAATTGCTTTCAACCTTCGGGGACAAAACTCCACAGTTCAATAATTGACCGGCCCAATGTGTTGTGAGGACTGAATAAGAGAGGAATTTTGTGTAAGACCTACGCGTCAAGCTGTAGTAAGCAGTAATTTCAAAGAAAAATTGGAAGCATCTGTTAGAATGAATGCTTAAGCGTCTTTTGTTTTGTGTTCACCAGAAAGCCTTACAGTAGACAAAAAGAACGATAGTAAACGAACCCTTTCATTGTGCTAAGTTTCTAGAATAAACCTAGGTCATTTCAAAGTTTTGGTATAATTTAAATAGTTAACCTAGCTAGCTTTCTAGGACAATTAAAGTATTGAATCCACATATGGGGGTTAATCTTTTCACGTACCAGTAATCCAAAAGACTTAGAACAATGAGAGGTTTACCATTGCCATTGCATTGTCAGGCAGCATGTAATATGGTATCTGGGGTAGCTAAGAATAAACTAGATTACTTTGAGGAATTTGAGGAGAACATATACTAATAAGGTCAGCGGAACAATCCCAGTTTAAAGCTGCCGAAGGCAGGCACTGAGATGTACAGTAACCGGCCTATCCTTTTTAGTACAAGTTTTATTCGAGTCTTCAAGGAAAATGTGGATGAATAGCCGAAATATCTGGGTTAATCCCGTGAAGTGATCTAGCAATCTAGAACAAGCAGGATTTTTACGGCCACTTTTTCTGAACCAGGTCTATGCCTCGGTGCCTCGGGGAGTTGCGGAGATGCGGAGACGATTTACAATTGAAATGTAGTAATAAGGCATGTTTAGGTCTCGAGTAAAGCTTCATTATTACATTTTTTTACGTTCTCACGTCATCGTTCGGCTTTCGGGATTTTCACGACTCGCTGTCAAAGCGGGCCGATCCGCTGGACAGGGATGCATGACTCGTAAGAAATATTTTGTGAACAATCGATGAGGTGGAGAAGTTTTCAACTTCTTCCAATCCTGAGAAGGATTACATTCACTTACATATATTATGTTGCACAACGACTCCAATAAGTCTTTTGCCTTGGTTCAAGTTTCCCTCGGTTCGGAAAATCAAGCTGCCAGGGGAAAAAAACATGGAATCGGATGAACAGGCTGGTACTACCCACCTACTTGTAGTGAATCAGAATGGGTAGATATATAGACTCGTTGCTATCCAATTTCCTCCTTTGATTTTGCTTCATACCAATGTGTGTTCTTCTTTCACATTTCTCCTCAATACTCCTCGCATATTCTGCTTCTATCGCTATCTAATGGCTTCATTACACCCAACGACTCCAGATGTTTATGGGCCCGGATCCCATACAGACAAGACATTCACACCAGTGCCCGAAGAGACTCAAAGAATTTTCAACTTATTAGTTTCTGAAACTCCTGGATTTACCAACAACAAGAATGCTCTTTCCAAAGTCCGATTTGAGGGAGACGAATTCCCTGTTCTCCCTGGACCCATCAAAGCCGTACCAATATCTTCAGCTCTACACGCAATGACGGGTGTCATTGCAAACGAAATACTATCTCAAAGAGACTTGCCAGAATCAGAGTCCGTACTTGTTAACACAACCCAGGTTGGATTCTGGTTCGCATTAGTGGGACTTGGTTATGTTGGTGGTGAGAACGTACTTTCTCTTGTCAAGCAGCAGAAAACAAAGTCCATCGTTCCGGACTTTGAACAAGGATGGTACGATAAACCCATCAAATACCGTGGGACTTCCATTTATCCAACCAAGGACCCAAAGGTCTGGTATGCGATTCATGGATCTCTTGCTGCCGAACCGATGTTGAAATCTATGGGAATCGATACGGAAACTCCATGCAATAGCAATGACGAGGCTTGGGAACGAATTGCAGAGTATACACGCACTAAAAGCCCGGAAGAGCTGGAGATGTTTAATGTTATGAATGGTAATTGTGGAAGCATATGTTTCACTCCGGAAAAGTGGAACAATAGCGAAATGGGGAAAGCTCTTGCGGCTCGTCCTTTTATCGATGTTCGTCCTCAATCGCATGCTGCTCCGACTCCTCGAATCGCCTTTCCTCCAGTTTCTTCAAACGACAGGCGACCTTTAGCTGGGATTAAAGTCGTTGAGATGACGAGAATTATTGCTGGCCCGGTAATTGGAAATTTTCTCGCTTCTTACGGCGCAGAAGTCATCCGGATCAACGCTGAACATCTCATTGATATCAATGTCATGCAACTTTCCCTCAATACCGGCAAAAGAACTATTGGTCTTGATATCAGAAAAAGTGAAGACTTGGACTATCTCAAGTCTTTGATACGAGACGCCGATGTTTTCATTCAAGGATTCCGAATCAACAAGCTACCAAAATACGGACTCGGTGTCAACGATCTCCTAACAATGGCAGCAGAGAGACAAACAGGCTATGTTTACGTATCAGAAAACTGCTACGGAACGAGTGGTCCCTATGCAGAACGTCCGGGCTGGCAACAAATTGCAGATACTGCAGCCGGAAGTGCTTCAGTCCAAGGACGGGCTTTTGGGTTGGAGAATGGTGAAAGTGTTTTGCCAAGTCTGCCGATTTCTGATATGACGACGGGACTGGTTGGTGCTCTCGGCGCTATGATGGCTCTTCGCGATCGAGCTAGGCATGGTGGAAGTTATCATGTTCATTCTTCTCTTGTGGCTGTTAATACAACTGGGCTTAGACCTGAGATTGGATTATACTCCCCTGATATTGTGAAGGAAAATCAAGAAAGATTCAAGTGGGCTCCTATGAGAGGTGCACACCATGTGTTTGAATTACTTTTCAATGTTTGCGATGGATGGAAACAATACTTCGGGCAAAACTTGGACGAGGATAGTGGGTTGTTTAGTAGCTTTGAGAAGAGTGCCTTTGGAGAGAAGAAGTTGAGCGTATTGAAGCCTTGTGTGATGATGGTGGGGGTTGAGAAAGAGGGCGAGCTGGGGTGGAAGACGGGTAGTGTGCCATATTGCTTTGAGAAGAAGGAAGATGTGAAATGGGCATCCGCAGCTTAGTTGTCTGTAAGATTACGAATGATTTACAATCCAGAATACCTTTGCTATGCAAAATCCCTGACAAACAATCGTAGCTTTACTACAGAGTGGAATTTCATATTGAACTGTAGAGAGGAGGTCGCTCACTCCAGCACTATCCATAGAATATACTTTTCTAACCCCTGTCTCTAACCACACAATGACGATCCGATTTTCAAATTTCATCCTTGCCTTGCGCCATGGTTGACCCACCCGGAGTATTCTCTGAAAGTATAAATCTTTTCTCGATGGAAATTGCATCAATGACGTAGGATCCCCAAGCGAAAAAAGGCTTCTTTACGCTCTATAGCAGAATGGGAAGAAAAAAATGATTTCAGCTAGCTATATAAAGAGCTTATCTGTAAGAGAATATAGGCGACAAACAACCAATTCACACTTTACATCCATCATAAAGCTCAAAATACACATTTTACCTTCTCACAAACAATCAGAGGAATATCACAAACCTTGCTTTCCATTTCGCTATTCAGAATGGACGCCCAAACCTCGTTTCCCAGGTTAGAGCACATAGCAGACATCCACCTCGACCTCTCCCCCGCACTACCCAGTGGCACAACACCCAAAGGCACAAACCTCTGGATCCCCATCACAGGAGGAACCATCAAATCACCCTCAACTACCACCTCCAATCTACCAAAATTAAATCTCACCGTCCCTCCCGGCGGTGGGGACTACCCAACGCTCCACGCCACAGATGAAGTCCTCTCGCTCGACGTTAACCTTGTCGCCATAGACGAAGAAACGAAAGACCTCTTTCGCTTCCAGAATTCGGGATATATTACGCTGAACGAGGAGGTTAGTGCTCTATTGTTGGAGGGGAAGGGGAGGAGTACGGAGTTTGGGGAGAAGGATGTTAGGGAGACGATTACTTGTAATACTGGGAGTAAGGACTTTGGATGGATGAATTTTGGGACTATGGTTGCACAGGGACGGTTGCTGGAACGGGATGGGGGGTTGGGTGGGATTGAGTTTAGGGTTTTTAGATTTGTTGCGCAGGTTTAGGGGTTTGGCTCTTGGGTAATTCTTGGAGGAATTGTTAGGTGTTTTGGAAGATATTTCCAATGGTTCTATAATGCTTTCTATTGTTATTCTAACAAGTTCTACTCTCAAATTTCAAGGACAATTTCAAAACAATGATTGCTCTCATCCGAAAACAGTATCTAGTTGAGTAGTTTTGTTGACACGCTGCGTGACAACAATCATAGTAATCCCAACGCAAGCTTGAAGCTCAATCATATGTTTAGAATTTTGACATGAACTTCTTCCATTTTAAACTCCGAAAATGCTCACTAAAAACCCTAATTACAAGAACGCCCCAAACGCCTGCAAAGCGCGCCTAACTAACTACTGTAATTAACTAGAAGAATCCACAACCTCCGCAAACCACTGCCTCAAAAGCGTTGCCAGAACCCCTGGTAACTCTCTGACATCACTAACAATCAAATAATACTGAAATGGGAAGGTATCAAGATACCTCTCAATCTTCACATTACTTGCGCCCGTATTCTCATCCTTCACAAATTTCGCCTCCTTCAAATCCATCACACTCTCCCCCTTCTTCTTATTCCGCACATCATCGACGATAACAAAAACTATCATGATGCGTTCCTCGAGGGCTTCACGGAGGAGACGACGAATAGCCTCATGCTCCGAAGAATCGCATACTCCGTCGGAGATGATGAGTTCCATTTGCCACAGATCAGCAGGAGTACTACTAGCTTTTGCGCGCGCAGCACAAAAGAGATCGATACTTTCTCGTACGAGACGTGTGACATCCGTTCGACTCTGCTCAAAGCCGAAATTCTGGAATATCTTGGGGCCGGCGTCCGAGCTGAAGGGGGTGTCGAAATCATGAGCAACTTTGACTTGGTCACCGAATCCGACCACGCAGATTTCTCCCACTTCGAGCATACTCAAACTTTTAGAAACCATGACGAGAGTTTCGAAGGCGAGAGATCCACTTCCGCTCTCGCCCATGCTTTTGCTGTCGTCGACTGCGAGCATAATTTGGTAGCTACGCTTCGAGGGGACGCTGCGACGCATCCAGATTTTGTCGCGCTTGTATTGAGAGGCGATATATGGGATGATGCGCTTGATGTTGAGGCGCTTTCCTGTTCGGAAATCACCGCGCATTTTGGTTGCGAGTGTCGGTGCGAGAATGAGACGAAGTTGTTCTGTGAGCGAGAGGGACAAGTCGCGTGTGATAGACTCGAAGTGCGTCCATTGTTCACGGGCATCTGCTGCTGACCGGAGTTCAAGAGCGGTTTCTTCATCGAGGTGCGTAGTTTCGAGCTGTTGGTCCACTCGCTCGACAACTTCATCGAATTCCTCTTGAAGTTGTTTACTTGGGTCCTTGTCGTCCTCATCCCAATCTTCCTTGGCTTGTTTGATCATTGCACCAACTCGGCCTTCATATGCATTGGAGGTGTCTTGCTCCTTAGAGCTAGAAGGCTCATCAAGATCCATCGCATTATCAATATCAATGTCATCCTTTTCTACCTTGTCTGGCTGGAACTCTGCTGGCATTTCTTGTGTCTCGGTGTCGACGGCCATAGACTCGTCCAATGCCCGAGCTTGTTCTTCGGTGGCAGTTCCCAAAGCTTGCGTATCTGCTTGGGCATCTTCATCTTGGAGATGTTGGAACTCGGTACTTTCTGGGTTGACATCCATATTCTGGTCCTGGTCCTGTTCTTTCTGTTCAGCCGGCTCTCGGATCTTTGTTTGCTGCCGGTGCCATTTTTCTAGTGCCTCGCCGAGTTTCTTGAATGGCTGGGCATTTGTACTGTCTTGGGTTTCATCTCGTGAGTCCTGGGGAGCTTCGCCGTTTGCTTGTCGACCTTGTTCGCCATCCTCAGCTGCGGAATCCTTTTGCTCAGAAGAATCTTCACCTTTGCCGCCGTCGTCGCGCTGTGCTTTGCTTGCGGATTCATTCTTGTCGGTCGAGTTTTCGTCTTGATCCTCGCCTGTGCCTTGGACATCGCTCGGGACTGCGTTGTCAACATCTGCGTTGGCTTCATCGTTTTGGTCTCGTAGAAGACCTTCTTGCTCCTCTGGTGGCTGCTCGGGATCTTCCTCGTCGTTCTTCTCTCCTGCCTCTTCCGTTAAATCACCCCCTTCTTCTTTTTCTTCGTCCATATCAACCACATCCATGTCAGATCCAATGTCTTGGTCTTCTTGAGCATCAGCATTTTCAGCTCCGTCTTCAGACTTTCCGTCATTTGCAGCCTCATCCTCCTTTCCATCTTGTTCCACATCTGATAAATCATCCATGCCATCATCGCTTCCTTCAATACTCTTCTCATCCTCGTCTCCATCTAATTCCATGTCATCCGGCAAATCGAGTGCCTCGCCTTCTTGAGCATGAGGATCGTGCTTCTCTGCATCGTCTTGCTTGATTTCCTCGCCTTGCTCTGCTCCTTCTGCCTCCTCTTCATCCCCGCTCTCCCTCTCGTCCCCTTCCGCAGCTTGCTTATCATTTTCTTGTGCAGCAACCTGCTCATCCTTGTTTGATTTGCCCTTGGAATCATCACCCTCCTGGTCCTTTTCTGCTTCTGCCCCATCACCATCCCACATTTTCTCATCAACGGCTGTAGGATCCAAATCGTCGACATCACCGGCCTCCTCATCCATCTCATCGCCGCTATCGCTTTCGCCATCTGAGCCACCATCATCTGAGCCCTTCTCCTCTCCATCACCCATTTCCCCTTCCATCTCTCCGTCTGCCATATCAACAGCATCTTGTTCATCTTCCATGTCACCCTTCTCGCCAGTATTTGGCTCTTGCGCAAGTTCATCCAGATTTTCATCGTCCTGGATATCTTTACTGATATCCTCGGCTCCTTCACCGTCACCAAGTCCAGTTCCCCCTTCAAGCTTCTCGGTCTGGCCATCTTGCGCGTCGGACTTTTCAGAAGGTGTACAAAATCCTTGTGATGCAAGCTGTATAAACATTTTGGCGAGAATATACGATGCCTTGGCAGTGGCACGATGGAGTTGTGAGTATCGCTTCATGGCTTGTTTTAGAGTTGCAACGTATTGCTGAAGAATTGGCAGAGCAACTGCGAAGATAGCACTAGCCGTTTTGCTGGTAGCTGGATGGGAAAGATCGATTGCTCGAAGGATGTCAAAAGCTTGTTCAATCTGAGCGATGATGTGGTCGCCGTGCAAAGATTTGATGCTTGAAAGTAGCACTGAATCATGCTTTATGAACCACCCAGGTTCATCTGATGACTCTGGAAGGCCCTTGACTGCTTTCTTGTGCTTCTCGACCGCAACAAGTACAGCATCGCATACCACTGACAATTTCTGGTCGATATCTTTGACGGTGTTCCCAGAAGCGTTGGTGACAGAAGAGGATTGAACAATGGTCCAAGGCAGTATTTGTTTTAGTGCAAATGACAAGTCAGGGCGTTGGATAATCATGGTCTCAATTTCGGCTTGAAGTTTTAGGGTCGCAGTCGATATTGTATCCTGAAGCTCAACACATTGGGACGACGTTATTGCGGAAGGAAGTTGAGCCAAGTCATCCCATTGGCGTGTTAGGTCAACGAATTTATCTTTCCATGATAGTAATGCATTTTTGATATTGTGCGCATCAACTCGGCCCATTTTGGAATGAATAGCGATAATATCAATGGCGACATATAGGATACTAGGCAGCCAGCGGAGGACCTTTTCGTAGTTCCCGCTAATTTGAGACAATCTGACTTGATACTTCCCAGGAGCCCATAAACCTTTTATCATAGCAATTGATGCTTCGAGCTTAGCGATAGTTGGCACGTTAGCAGAGAGCACATTGCGTTGCGATAACAAAACTTGGAGTATTCCTTCCAGGAAACCAGAGCTTCGGGCAACCTCAGCGCTACTCAAGTCCTCAGAAGGTTGTCGTATAGCCTCTCGCGCACGTGGCGCCAGATCAACGGCCTTGTGGTAATAGTAATCCAAACCAGGAACATTGATATCTTGTCTCGGCATAAGGCTTCCAACATTCGCCAGTGAGATTGAGAGAGACCCTTGTTTAGCCAAAGCGTCTGCACCGAGATTAAACTTGATGCCCATTTGACGCAAATCCTTCAGTGTGTCCGCAAAAAGCTTTCTCTTTCTCGTTTTAAGATGCTTAACCTCCACTTTATTGTCCTCTGTTAAAATCGTGGGTGTAGCTTTCTGTAGCTCGGCAGATGATGATATGATGTTTCCTAGAAACGAATCGAGAAATGATGAACCCTCAACCACAGAGTCTGAAATATGGGTTGCATCGACCATGATGCTTATTGTTTTCGAGACGTTGATAAATCTCCTGCTCTTGTGGGACCAACCAGGAACGGAGTCAGAGCACATGGCTATGGCAGATTGATCGACAGTTGGGTATAGGAAAGGCTGATTGGTCTCTTCTTCATTTTCGTTTTGCTGTTCATCTGGCAATCCTTGTTTGATGATAGAGTCCATAGGTTGTCCAAGAAGAGCTCGAAATTTGCGTACGATCTTGAAAAGCTTGTGGTGAGATCTTTTGGCACTGTCACGAAGCGCTACAATGTTAGTATCTTTCCAACTTGCCATGAGTAGAACATCTTTCATTGCCTTTTCCAGAGATACCCTGCCTTTTTTGAGAGTCTCCTGAACAGGCTTTTCATAACGAACATACAAGGAAATGAAATTCGAGAGTGCCGAATAGATGACGGTCATCGAGGGAACGTCCAACACAAGGAACTCGAGGTGTTTTTGGAGTTGCTTCAACAGCTGTAGCCTCTGTCCAATCTGACCAATAATGGCTGTTGAGAAGTAAACCTCGAGGTCTTGGAGCAATTTCTGTGCATATTCTTTGAGCTCGTCGTCCTTATCAGAAATCCGAAGCGGTGCTGCGACGACAACTTGATAAGCAATAAACCACCATGACCGTGCGTCACCCTCGCATTTCATTGATTCCATGTCAAACAGCTTCGCCCAGGTTGATATCTCCAGTCTACGCCAATTGACAATTGTTGCAGTCAAATTGTCATACTGCGTCAGAGCAGAGTTCGCTCGACTAGCCCAACCACCAAATTGCCACTCGTGCATGAAAGTGTGAATTTGTTCAACCTTGGTGATGATCTTAGCTAGCGGCTCGGTATGCCTGTATTGTAAGAGCTCTCGGCACGACACCAAAACATCTTCCAGTGGCTGCATGTGCCCGATCTCGTCAACTGCCTGAAGTTCTCGGAAACGAGCTTGAATTTGATGAATGAGGACGACGAGTTTTCGGGTTTCAGGTAGATGTGCATCGGTATAAAAGTTGAACGACTCAGAGACAGTGGCAGAAGAGCTCATCGAATTCATATGATCGTTCAAGAGAATAAGCGCTCCTGGAAGAAAGCTTTCGGTGGTATTGTCATTGTCGAAATGAGCATCGCACTCACGCATGCTCCCGACCCTTTTCGACATATAACGGACGAGCGACATAACACTTTCGCTAGGTGCACTTCCACCCAAGAAAATGCTAGCATGAACACCGGCGAGCTCAACGGAAGTCTCTCTAACAATAGCTGATGGATCAGATCCCTTGGTCACGTTCGTGGAATCTGAATTATATTCGGGAAAGAGCTCATTGAACTGCTCAGCGTCCTCTTCGTCTTCATCTTCCTCGCTTCCCTTGAACCGGTAAAGTCCCGTCTGTGATTCAGCTTCTAATCTGTCTGCTTCCAGACGCTTGGTCCATTGTTCATAACATCCATGAAATGCCTTAAAAAGAAGCTGGCGCTGTTCCGATTCAAAGCTTTTCAGACCCTCGGTTGATGTTGTTGTTGCAGCTAGGGTCAAATACTGGATCGGATTGCTAGAAACTATGGATTCATCGATGGAAAATGGTCCACCTCCCAAGAAAGGAACCATCTTGCTGAGGGCGATGGGTGTGGTATCATTAGTTTGTGATCCCCGTCCCGCCAGAATGGCCAGCGAGATCCCGATTTCCAGGCAGCGGAGCATGCTTATGACGGGAGACGTTATGTCATTATATGCACGGAATCTTTCGGAGAGCCGAAGAATAATCTGACCAACATTGTTTTGTATCAGCTTAAGTTCCTGTAGGCTGCTGTCGTTTCCAGTTTGGAAGTATGTCGCGATGGTTGATGAAATCTTCGAAAAAACAACAGTCTTTAGAAGGTTGTTGAATTCTCCTTGCAGTTGGTCTATTTCCGACACTTGAGGCCGGTAAATTTCCTGGAGTATGACAGGCGGTTCACCCAGTTCCGTTATTTCACCTTCCACCAATTGGCATCGAATACTTGAGTTTTGACCAGAAACCATTTGCTCAAATCGTTGAAGCGAGTCCAACTTGGCGTGTAATGTTTCGCGGAGTTTTTGATGTCGCTCTTTCTCCAGCCGTTGCCTCTTGTCAGGATCAAACGCTCGGTCCGGAACATACAGTCTGATACACCCAACAGCAAACTGAGTCCAAGCAATTGCAGAGTATTGAACATCCATACCATTGTCATGGAGTGAGGCTGAAAGAGCAACTGAAGATTCGCGGAATGTGGAAAGTATGGGGGATTGTTCACCTGATGAAGCGTGTTCAATAACTGACTGAACGTTCCAAGGCAGGGTCCTTGCAGCAATATCGCTGATGTGTCCGATGAAGTCTGCCACCGGAGATGGGTCATAAATCGACATAACATCCGAAACGAGAAATTGAAGAGCCTCGTTGAGGTCTGCCAGCTGATTGCGACAGAGGCTTGAGCTTAAATTTGATAGTTGCTCACCCATGATTGGTAATTCTGATTCCAACAACTTGAGTGCGTTTAGATTGACATCACCGAGGGCATACATCTTTTGGAGTAACAAGGTAGAAACAGGATCATAAATTGGCTTGAACTGTCCCTTTTCGCATGATAGGTAGTCGATACTTTGTAGCAGGCGCGATGAGTCAGTCGACGAGGACACTCGCATTTCCGAGGTAGATGGATGGTTTGCAAGTACAACGATATCAGTGTGAAGAGTAAAATCCGGAGCTTTTCTCGATCGTATGGCGCTTACTATTTGGACTTGTCTCAAAGTTTCAAACTCGGAGGCCAAGAATGGCGTGTTTCCTTCCTGTTCTTTTCCGAACGTTCCCTCCAGTTTCCCAAGTTCTGCCTCTAGCATTTTGGTAAGAGATTCACCATCGACGCCAGAGGTGAGTAAATGATGATAGGCTTTGACAAGAGATCTCATGGTTTCTCCAAGCTCCGAAATTGTGATTGTTGTCTTCCATCTTAAGGAATCAAATCTACCAGCCAAGGTCTCCATTTTGAGCAAGACTTCCATAACTTTCGCATTTGGCATGACGATTGGTCGAAATCTTTTCCACATCACCTCCATTTTGAGACCGGTCGATAGTTTGAACCCAGAGTGGAAATTTGTGTCAACGAGATGGAGAACATTGCTAGTAATAGCATTATGCCCATGAGCCGGCAGCAACTCGCTCAATGATTTGAGCAGATCTGTACCAATAGCAAGATGGGCTTGAAATGTTGCTTCTTCAAACTCCGCAGAAGATGCAAGTCTGTAGGTATCCCACCAGTATTGCAAGAGGGATGAAATAATTCTCTTCTGGGCCTTCCACTGCAAATCTTCACGAGCATTGGTCTTCATGTAGCTTCTCAAGATTGCTAACAGCGATGTTAAGAAACTCGAGACGTTCACAGTAGAATCTTTAGCAACAGCAGGCACGCGATCTTTCACAAGTGATCTTTGAAGTCGGTTCATCTTGCTTGGTTTGAGGGTGTTGATCAAAACTGCCTGACTGGTCTGTGCGTTCTGAGCGGTGATGAACTGGGTCAAGAACTCGAAGCAGGCTCCCAACCAATATGCTTGAGTCGGGCTACCGGCTTTTTGGAGCAGAGGAACGAGAGGCGAATTTTGTAAAGGATGGAGAATCTACAAGTTTTATTGAACTATCAGTACATGTCTATCTAAGGAATTAAACAAAGGGACGGCACGGTCACTAACCTGTGCGTCTCTGAAGCTTGGCCCCAACGCGTTCTTCTCAGCCAGTGTATTCAACATTTCTCCGACAACTTGTCTAAAATCCTGATTGTCGGGCGATTTGTACACTTGCAGATATGTCTGACAAATCTCCACCGCATCCTCGCCGGCCTCTTGAGCATTTGAGTTGGTGGCCTTTATGTATCGTGGCAGGATGGCCATATCCGACCAAGCCAAGTTGTCCATCGCGATTGGTGACAGGCTTTTAGAAACCCAAAAATTATGAGAATCTTCTGCTAAGGATTTTGAAACCTTCCGATATCTTTGTAACATAGCCTCTGAAGTCGTGAACTTTGGTTGCACAAGGTTCGCTGATAAAGGCTCAAGGAAGATTTCGATAGCGCGATTCCTCATTGCCCTCGATAATTCACCAAATCGAGGATCCATCGTCAAAAAGATTCTAAAATCTGGATGAGGTCGAATCATCTTGGGCTCACCGTCTGGTCCACAGTGCTCATTGATGCTCAAAAATCCGTTAGGCTCCAGCAAAGAATTCAATCTGTCAAGCACAGATGCACTGCATAGATTAGCATTGTCAAGGACGAGCCAGTCGCCCTTTTGAAGTGCCTTCACGAGTACCCCATCAACCCATTCAAACCGCGCAGTCTCTAGAACCATAGGAGTATTGGACAACTTTGCGCATGTTGCAGCTAGCTCACCAAATTCTATTAAAGAAGTCGTTCTCTCAAGCTCCTGTAAAACTTGACTAAGCTCGGAAAAGTACGATGCAGTATAATCGCAATGAGCGTTCAAGGATTCCAAAAGGGCAATGGCTTCCTTTGGGACAGCAGCCGGAAGTGAAGACAAGACACGCAGGATGAGGAAATCGCTCAACTCCTGGAGGAAGGTACTTGCTCCCCGTTGAGGATCAACTTGTTCAAAGCCACCAACTAAGTCCATGGTATCGACATCGGAATTTAGAGGAAACACTGCTAGAGATTTACCACTCGCCGCAGCAATATGCTGAATGAGAGTAGTCTTCCCCGAACCCGAAGATCCTACCAAAATACATGGTAGATTTTGTTCGATACAGATCATTACAGATTCCAGTTCAGAGTATCGCTTAATAGGATCGATGCGAGGAAATTGCAATCGTTGGATAAGCGGATCTCGCTGTGTGTAAGCCATACCTACCTGATAGGACAGCGAACCGAGATTATCAAATAGATGGCGACAGGGAGGACTAGAACCAAAAACGTCCGTAAAGATCTTATCAATTTCTTGTCGGTCTCGGTTTGATCTAAAACGTTGGCGGAAAATGAGATTGAGAAAATCGGAAGGTACTGCAGCAGCCAAAAATGGCGCTGAAGACGATAGTAGCTGCAACCAGCGGAGGATATCACGCAAGTTGAATTCCCATGGGCCGCCCTGAGAGCCAAAAGCCCGCCTGTGGACAATTTCATGCTCAAGTCGACACACAAAATTTATGATTGCAAGAACAATCTCTTCTGACATTTGGGGGAAATTGTGCCTACATATTAGTTCGAGATCATCATTTCTAAACACATCAGCATATACAACAGTGAATCGATTAACAAACGAAGCGGGGAGTCCTTTTCTACCACCGCCTTGGTGATGCGGATTTTGGGCCGCAAAAACCGAAAAGTTTGGATGACACTTGAAGGACTGGTCTAACTCGGAGATATAGACTTCACCACGGTGGTCAAGACATGCGTTCAGACCCTCGAGAACAGACTGAGAGGCAAGATTCATCTCGTCAAGAAGAACCCACTCTCCCTTCTGCATGGCCTGGAGGAATGGTGCATCGCGCCAAGCGAAATGGCCAGCCTCAGCACCTTCGACAGGAGCATCGGACCCAAAAAGGTCCATGAGATCTGTTTGTTCTGAGAGATTGATTCGGGTGAGAGGCATATTGCAGGCGCGAGCAAGAGCGGCAATTAAAGTTGTTTTACCAACACCAGGGCTACCTTCAATAAGGATTGGCTTCTGGACCTGAAGTGCACGGAGGACCCTCATTGCATTCATTTTTGTTGTTGGTGCGTGGAAGGCGAATCCTGGGTCATGATCCGAACCGGGCTGTTTCAATATTGAAAAGTCCCCGATGCTCAACGATTCTACTCTGTTTGCCAGTAGCATATCTTTCGAGTAAATGGCATTCAAATCGGCATTCAAAAGCTCCCCGAGTTTGGCAACGCACTTGGTTCTCTCCTCACGGATACTATCTGGGCTGATTGCCAATAGCGCGGCAGGATTGGCACCGAGTGTATCTATGTAAACCATCGCTGCACCATGAAGGACTGCAAAATGAGGATCGGAGGATTTGCTGCCATTTATAAACTTGACCCATGCTAAAATATCTCGGACTGAGATTGAGGTGGATGAGGTAGATCTGAAGGTTTGGCCGAACCACTCGGAGAACAGAACAATTGACTTTGCGAAAGGCTTGAAACTTTCCGACAACTTAGTTTGTACAATTTGCAAAACATCCTCATGTTCAGAAAGCGAAGGAGCCCATATCTCGGTGAATCGATTTCGCAGCGCGGGTGAAAGTTCCCGTTTACCGTAGTCGCCACCTGGATTCATGGTTGCAAAAAACTGAAATCCTTCTGCTGCCACAATGAACGAATCGTCGACGCCCTTTTCTGCGAGCAAAATTGAACGTTGGGGCTCTAGTACAGAGTTAAGACGCTCAAGAACAGAATCGTCCGCTAGTGAGATCTCATCGAGGAGAAACAGTTGGCCTTCTCTCATCGACTGTACAAGACTTCCATCCGACCATTCGAAGAGAGATTTGGCTTTTGCCTGGAAATTTGTTATCAAAATTTGCAGTTCGTCTGGAACTTGAGCGAGGTCAATGTCCGTTAATGAAAGATATGCAGCAAGTAATTCGTCGAGATCGCTGTTGTGTCCAACCTGTTGGCCAAGCTTTTCGAAGGCTGAGAGAAGATGCGCTTTCAACTGTTCTAGTACAATGGCGCGATTACGAACAGGTCTCTGAGTACCTATGAGATCCCCTGTCTCGGTGTTTTGATGAGCATTAACAATATTCAGATCCTTATGAAAGGCATCTGCGAGCATCTGACAGACAGTTGTCTTCCCACAACCCGTCTCGCCGACCAAGAGAACAGGCTCATTGTTTCGGAGTGCATGCGCGACAAGAACATATAGTCGACGCATTGCCTGGGTCCAGACGACCCCTTGTGAATTTGCGGTGGCGTCATAAGATTTGATTTCAGGCGAGAGGTTCACATCATAGAGCACAGCAGGATCCAGCTTGACTTTCATGACCTTTTCGATAATCTCTTTAACCGCAATTCTTTCTTCCGGATTTCGAACACGTTCCGCGAGTAGCATGTACCCATTCGCAGCAAGCTGTTCTCGATTGTCGGCATCTCTGAGGGCCCAACGGAACAGATCTCTCAAGGTCGCAAAACTGTCTTTCTGTTCAAAAAGACGATTGGATTGTCGTAATCTCGAAAGCTCCTTATACACGGTGACAATTCTTCGGCAATCTGATGGAGCCACTTTCTGACTACGCTTTTCCAAGATAAAATCAAGCTCGTCCTCGGGAATATCGTCAAAGTGAAGTTCTAAAAACCGATTTCGAAATGCACGTGAAAGAGTTTTTCGGCCTCCGTATAATCCGGGAGGGTTTTGGGTGGCAAATAGCATAAAATTGTCATGAGGTCGGACAATTTCTTGGGTTTCGGGAATCAGAAGTTCACGATTGTCATCTAACAACCGGTTGAGGGCTTCAAGAACATCGGTTGGGGCCAAGTTCAATTCATCGAGCACGATCCAGTGGCCTTGCCGCAGGGCCTGCACTAAGAGGCCTTCCTGGAAACGAAGCTGGCCATCCGAGCCTGATACGTACGTTCCCAAGTACTCTTGTAGATCTGTGTGCTCATGGTTGTTGATCCTGACAAATTTGTTTCCGCTGAACTTTGCGAGATATTCAATCATACTTGTCTTTCCAGATGAAGTAGGTCCCTGAACAAGGACAGGAAATCGTCGAGTGGAAGTCGCGCGAACCAAATTGAGCATATTCCGCTCAACAAATGGTGTAATGATGTAATGGGGCTGTTCTTGGGGTTCTTCTGAACCCTGTAGCATCCAGTATTGGCGATCTCGTTTCTTGTTCATGAAGCGGACGTATTGCTTTTCATCATCTGGATGGCGTGGTGTTTGGGATAGTAAAGACTGTGGATTTCCATGGTTTTCTAGTAAGTGATGGTTTATCAGTGGCATAAGCATCTTTTCAGAGTCTCTGTTTAGCAGTGTCAGAAATCCCATGGCATATCCCTCGTACAATGCTCTTCGGAGACCATATGATGGTGCGATTTCAGTGACATAACTCAAAACTCGAGTCAGAGTTCGCAAACTGAAATGAGGTACTTGGTTTGCCCCATCAACCAGTCGTTTCTCGTCAGCCAAACGCTTCGTGTTGAGGTATAATCGTGCTACATCATGAGCCGCTCGGTCGTCGTTGCTGCTGGTACCTTTGAGGTAGGCTTTGATGACACCCAATAAATCGTCAAGATTTCGATCCGGACTATCAACATAGATTTCAGTAAAGCGAGACCTTAAGCCCATAGGCAAATCACGTTTTCCAACATCTGTGGCTGGGTTCATAGCTCCAAAGATACGAAAGTTGGGATGTGCTCGAACTCTCTCAATTTCTCCGGTTTCCGATAACAGGATCGATGGTGCAGCACCGGTGCCACTGTGCAAAAGATCTGCTATACTCTCAAGTGTATCAGGCGATGCAAGATTCATTTCATCAAGCAATACCCAGTCTCCATTGCGAGCCGCCTTGACAATGTTTCCCTCAATGAAAGTAAATGCAAACCCCATTGAACCACCCGAAAGCTGTACATCAAACTGCTTCAAGCTTTCAGAAAATCGCTCCCATCGAGGTTTGAGGTTCAGTAGTGTTTGTAATCTTGACTCCGTCTTCCGTCGTTTCAGTGGCTGCTCGGAATCGGTTCGAGAATTTGATTCTCTCTTCTTCAACTCGGAGACAATCTTCTCAAACATTTTTGGAGCCTCTCGCCACAGTTTTAATGCTTTGCTCCACTGGCTTCTGGCAATAGTTTTCCCTAGCTGTTCAATATATCTTTGGTTCTTGGACGCAGATATACCTGTTGCGGCAAACAAATCATCAAACTCGTCCTTTAGCGGAATGGCCAGACTCCTGACATGGACTGGTTTGAATCCACCGAGGAGATCGCCAACCTCGCTCTGCTGGGACAAGTTGACAGCGGTAAGATTGAACCCCAAAGTATCGGCCAGCTGCTGTACTACTGTTGTTTTCCCAATACCAGTCTCACCGACAAGCAAAACTGGCTCGGCCATTCTTAGAGCCACTCCTACTTGTTCTAATAGTCTCTTGGCGTGTGTGGTATTTGCAAAAGGTCTGGACTTTTTGGTAGACTTAACGACGCGACTGGAGCGTCGTTTTGATAGGCGGACTCTTCCAATGGCGAAATGGGAATCTGTGTCTTCATATCGTGGAACATGGGCAGTGAGGAAGTGTTCAACTCTTTGGGGGTCAATGTGCATCTCCTCTGCGATAGCTGAAATGATGGTTCTTCGTGTATCCTCAGTCTGTAAACTGCCAGCAAAACAATCGGTCGCTTCCAAAAACATCTCATATTTCGTTGATTCTGTGATCGGCTCGTCACCATTTTTGGACCCAGCTGCAGTTAGAATGCCGTCCAATCGACGACACCATTTGAGAAGATCCCGAGGACTAATTGGGCGACCGAGAGAAGTTCGACTTCGGGAGGCAAAAGAAGACTTATGGGACAACGCATATAGTCGTTCATATACATTAATGATACCAGGGAGGAATTTGTGTAAAATTGGGTAGGTGCCCTGGATAATCTCACGAAATTCTTCTTGTGTAGGCATCTCAACTGGGACTCGCTGCCACAGTCTTGACCCCAGCATGTGCAGTGCAGGGGGGTTCTCTATGCCCGTTACACTCAGCGATGTCCGTATGCTGGCCAAAAGTCTGAAGCCGCGACCTGCTTTGATGGTTTCGCCACGACTTGGGATAACTAATTCTCCTCTCTCAATCAGAGGCAGAATAACACTAATAACTTCATTGGGGGCTCGGTCAAGATCCTCAATAAATACCCAACGACCTTCACGTACAGCAGTAGTTAAGACTCCCGCCCGCCAAGTAAAGGATCCAGGAGTGGAGCCAGTCGCATACATTCCGATGAGCATTTTTGCATCGGTCTGTTCGTTCAGGTGAAGAGACACCATATTCGACTCTACGCCCAATTCCCGAGCAAAGTCATTGACCATCGAAGTTTTTCCCGAACCAGCAAGCCCGTGAAGGAGAGTTGGTGAAGAAGATAGTAAGGACTTTGCAAAAGACTCCATGTTTCTTGCAGTTGTGGAGGTCTGTACCAGAGCGGACGATCGGGAAGGGGGACCATTGGGTCGAGGCAACAATGCGCCTGTGCATAATACGGTAAATGGAGAAAGTCCGTCGAGATTGGAACTTGCCGCCCTAAAGTTGCCCTCCTTTTGGAATTTTTGCAGATTCTTGTGAGCGTTTTCCAATCTCTCTTCCTCAAATAGACTCAGAAATCCAAAGTCAACCTGCTGGCCGTCATAATCCCCGAAAACAGCATCTTCTCCCAAATATTCATTTATTAAAGCTTCCAACTTGAAGTCCGATGCGTAGAGGGATTGACAGAAAATTCGGACTGCAAGATATCGAATCGCTCTGTCTTTGTGCTGGAACAGAGACTGTGCTGTTCCGCCAGATATAGTTGAAGCATAAGTGTGGTTGTCGAAATTTAGGAGCCGGACAATGGCCAGAAGAGTTCTTTGGATCTCGAGAGTGTCATATGTAGCCAAGTCCGTCTCACTCCATATGCATTGTGTTTGCGGTTGTAGGTGTGGGGTATCTTGACTTGGAAGGGTCTTTGTCAAGTAGTTTTCGAGATAAATCGATAGATGAGGCGCAAGAGGTATTATTCTTGCAATCGCGTAGATCACAGCAAGATTTTTGTTCCCTAACTCCCCTGTAGAGGTCCATCTTGCGCAGGTGTCTGCGAAAACAGAATGGAATCGAGTAAAAAGTGGTATTGTAAGTTTTGGGTCGAGCGCGGCAGCGGCGAGAGAGGCGAGGAATTCTGGTGAGGTTTGGAGGCGGATGACTTGGAGTATTTCTTGGGGCAAGCCCTCGAAGCTACTCGCGACTTCAAGGACACCGTTCTGCCCGTTTGCGCGAGTGTCGAGATCCATTTTGTGGTAATCAAGAAAATTCGCAGGTGTTGATGCTGATGGGCGCCCGATAACGAGAAAAAAGTTATCGCAGCTTCAATTAAAGTGGGGTTCATCGGGACCCACTTTTTACTTTTGCTCCCCAGCACTCGACGGCACAACGCCTCCGCAACATCTCCAAAGCATCATCCTCAAATATACCACCCCTCCTCCTCCACCATGTCCATATCATACCATCAAGCAGCACGAAGCTGCGCGCGTACTCTCCGATCCCCCTCAACCGTTCGAGCCTCAACGCCATGTCTAGCACAACGGAGGAATCCAGCTCCCTCACGAAGATGGGCAACAACGGAGGCAGTTTCAAACCCCAAGATTTCAGGCATTGTGGATCAGATTAGTCAATTGACTCTGCTGGAGACTGCTGATTTAGTGGCAAGCTTAAAGGTATGAGCACTCGCAACGGGATGGTGTTAGGGAGAGGGGGGAAGTGGGGGAGAGGGGTCCGAGAAGTAGGAACTTCTGCTAACTCTTCATCGCTCAGTCACGACTCAACATTCCTGACATGCCAATGGGAGGATTTTCTGCAGGTCCAGCTGCACCAGCCGCCGCCCCCGTAGAAGAAGAGGAAGCCGCACCAGTACAACAGGCAAAGACGTTATTCAACCTCAAGCTGGAGTCATTCGACGCTGCGGCCAAGCCAAAGATCATCAAGGAGATCAAGAGCATGTTGGGTTTGAGTTTGGTGGACAGCAAGAAGTTCGTGGAGAGTGCACCAAAACAAATGAAGGAGGGTGTGCCAAAGGAGGAGGCCGAGAAGATTGTTGCCGCCCTGAAGGCATTAGGTGGTGTGGTCACAATGGAGTAGGCTGTTGGATCAATTGGTTGTATGACTTGTTGGGGAGACCAAAGTGTATCAATACTAGGGATGTGTACAAAATCTAGGTACTTCTCACCAATTCTACTTTTTCGCACTGCCGCTCAGGCTATTTGGGTGTTGCGCTCAACTGAAACCAACAGAGCTATCTATCTCAATCGCTCGGATAAAAAAGACCGACCGTTGATCCAAAAAAGGATCCATCTTTGCACCAGAGGTGACACCCACGGCGATGCAAGACCCTCCCTTGGTCCTCATCCAGAAGCTATTGCTCCCACAGCATTTTTCATAGATATGATCCTCAGGAGGAGAGCCATGTCCTTCATCCACCATGAAAGTATCGGCACCCATCTTGCCTAACCAGACTGTAAACTTATCTGTGCCAATCTGAAATCTTTCATAGCCCCTCTCTGGCATTCTTCCGATTGGAGCCTGCATCCCTTTGGTCCAACCGATATCCGTCCACTTATTCATCTCTTTTCCATCTAGCGACGATCTTCCAACGGGACGAGCATGAGAAACATATACCACCCGAGAATTTGAAACCTCCAGATCAAGATGGAACCATTTGGTGCTGCTCACGTGGTTAATTCTATTGCTGGGCGAAAAGTTGACTTGGTCTGTTTCCGTACGTGAGATCACAATCCGCTGTGGTAATCCCCAGTTCTCGGTGTAGACAAACTGAGCTGCATTTATCCTCGAGTATATCGGCCCGTTACTCTGCCTGGCTACGAGAATACCAATGAATCCCTGCTGGGGAATTGTCTTTACGTCTGTTGGGGTACTGCTAACGCAGAGCTGAGTTGTCAAGGTTTCCATACTAAACTTACATCGCAGCGCTACCATCGCAATCCCGCCGACATAATTGTGATCCGGAAGTAGCGGGACACCGAGCATAGAAGCTTCAATGTCCAATCCGCGATTCGTCATTGAGTAGTGAGCTCTATCAACATCTGGTAAACCCCTAAGCTGGTATGAATCCACGGCAACGATCCCAGAGGAATATTTGAACTGTGAAGGGTGGCTCGCTAAGATGCCTTGGGGATAAAACATGAATTGAGACATGTTTCTCCATGCAAATATGGTGTGATCTGTAGACTTCTTTAAGATCTCTTCCTGGAGTCGTTGAAAAGCTGTATGCTGTCCCTCGCCATACAACATGGGCATGGCAATCTGGAATATGCCAAGCAAGCTATATGCGATGTCTTCAGGCACAGTCGTTTCCCTCTCTGCAGACCAGGACATTCGCTGCGCTATAGAATATCTCTCCACGCGAGTCTTCCCCCACAGAAGCTCCCTTGGAATGCCCGTGATTCTGGAAATGGCGCCGTTGAGATCATTTTCAGAATCGGTTGCGGGGGCATAAAAACTATTTATGTTAGATCTTCTAAGTACTCCCCAAGCTTCCCAGGATGAGTCGTAGAAAGAGATGCAAGCAGGCGCAATCAACTCTTGAACCGTCCATCCGCGTGTGAACCAGCGTGAGTCCTTGAGCTTCTGCTCTGCATGTTCATGATCGACTTCATGGACGTCGGCGAGGTAAACAAAACATTCGATAGCTCTCTGATACCACTTGTACATCGAGTTGATCGACTCTTGTAACTCGGCGCTGTTACTCTTATCGATGCAACAATTGTCGATCCAGCAGTACTCGACATTCATACGGATTGCTTCTGCACATGTGTATTCTAACTTTCTGTATGATTCCACTTTGAGTGAGGCTTCAGGTGATAGCTTTCCGCACACGAAGTCCTCGAATAGGATTTCGGCTTTCCCCCATGTATGAGAGAGGATCACGTAAGGTGGCGGGTTGCTAGAAATGAAAAAGACGAGCTCTTTTGTCGATGCACGTATGAGCCGCATGGCGGGTAGCAATCTGGCTGGAGACTTTGAAGGGGCTGTGCAAAAGGGTTTGTAGACCTCAAGTCTGGGCTGGGGATTGCCAAGGATGGCTGTAACGATGTAACCACACGCTGACATGAGGTTCCACTGGTGGTTCTACATTTACCAAAACGACGAATTAAGCGAGCGAGTGACAATGAAGATCAGGGGGCGTAAGAGACGTGGTCATTATAACCCGAGTACTCTGTACACACCTATTTTACGATAATATTGTTCTAAAGCGCTCACACAACTAAATCGTTATGTAAATGATACATCTTCAAGAACAATGATCAAAGTTTACTTTTTAAGCAACTAAACTACAGCTTAATTATTGTTTTTGCGACAGGACTACGATTTTCTATACCACTCATTTCTATTAGTGTTTTCTATACAAATTCAATGAAAAATAAACCACTGCCTCGTAGTACTAGGTAAGCACGTGTAAGATACCATGTGTTACTAGTACATGCTACCACTACCGTATATGCGACTACTATATATGCCCTGATAAATGCGATTTTAATGATACGGGCGCCTATAATTACGCATTTAGGACAAGATTACCTACTACCTACGAGTATGATGCTTCATCACTTCACGAGTAAATTTGCTAGTGAAGTAGTGAAGTGGTACATAGGTGGTATTTTAGTTGTTTACTGAATCTTTTATACTAGGCACAGAGTGGGTGATGACCAGGTTTCTTACTGCAGTCAATTTAGGCTACGAGTACAGTAATGATTATTTCCACACACCACTCTCACTCTATCTATTCCTCTCCCCTACCATTTTGACACCATCAAGAAGTATTGCCCTTGATACGCGTCTTAAAAGACGAACGTGGTATCCTCGCCCACACGCAACATCCAAGAGATCCTAGAAAACTTCTCTGTCTGATCAGCAAGCTCATTCTTTCCTAGCGACTTTTACACGTCCCGAAGCGTCAGCCAGAGAGATGTGGCTCCATTGTAAGAGAAGCCCCATTTTCGCACGATAATCTTTGACCTTTGAGAAGATGAGGCGCGCGCACCCTCAATGATAAAACCTAGGCTCTCAAAGGTAGCAAGTACTTGATCAACTACTTTCTTCACCTCGTTACCTTGAGCAAATTCTCGAATGAGCGAATTGTGCATGAGAATCATTTCGAGCCTTGGGACTTCTGAAGGCGGTTTCTTGTACGTGTTGGCGAATTGACCTAGGGTTTGCTCCTTCTTCTCCGGGGTAGCGTTTGGGAGTGCAAAGGCTTTGTGGAGCTTGCGTCTCTGCATGTTCACAGCGGCAGAGGTTGCACGGTCTTCAACACAGATAGAACAATCGCGTTGAAATCCCCAAGAGGAAACGTCAATCATCTTTGGGGATTCATCGCGATACAGGTAGCTGAATGTTAGCTCCATGTTTGCCGGCATATCTCTTGCAGCTCTGACGATTTGCATGTCTCCAATAAAATTTCGTACGCAAGTTGGATTGCAAGAATGATTGATATAAGATGCTAGGATCCACATTCCTGTTGTTCCAAAGTGCGTGCTTTGAGGTTGTTTGGCAATCTGGTAACCGCTGATACGATTCAGCTCCGCATCATCCATCGTATCTTTGAGGTCAATGGACTACCAAAACAATTGCAATGAATCGTAGTACCGACACGAAACCTAGAAGGTATCAGTAACAGCTAGAGAGCTTTACTCGAGGAAGACTTACGCATCGACCACGGGACATCCGTCAACAAAAGGTCCCTTCACACCATCGTACTCACCATGGAACAGATCTTCGAATGACTCCTGAAGGGAAGGATTGAGAGCCTATTTGTTGGAAATGTCACGGATCAGATCTGCATGGGTTCCAAGACTCATTCTCTTGTTGGGCACATCCACCAGGAGCGATGACCTAGAGAAAGATTTGAAGTCCAGTTTGTCCATCTCTTCTTCTGGTGGAGCGAAGCAGTATGAGAATGCCTTTTCACAGAATAGCAGATCCCCGGCTCTGACTGATTTCGTTGTGAACAATCCTCTACCACGACCTTTTGATTCTCGTATCTCGACAGGTCCTTTGAAAGTGGCACAGTCAATTCAAGGGTGTCTGAGTTTTGTTGCCTTATACATTGTTTTGAAATCGTATACCCCATTTTCCTGCTCTAGGAGTCGGAGACGTGTTCGTTCAAGCTCCTGTTTACCAGCTGTACTGTTAGGATATTTGTCGATGAGAATTCGCAGAATTTCATGAGCTTCCTTGAATCACCCAAGGCCATATAAGGCAAGAGCTCCGCGGTAAAGGCCCTTTTCGGACCTGTCGTTAGGATTCGAAACGAAAGAAACGTCGCTCAAGGCTGCATCAAATGCCTCGATTCTCAGGTTTGCGAGAGCTCTGTTATTGTGCAAAAACTCTTGTTCCGCTGAGGTTGGGGAAGACCGTAAAGCTCTTGAATACCTGCTAAAAGTGTTGGAAAAGTAGTGATGAGGATGTAGCTACATACATTTCAATTGCTTCGAAAAAGTTCTCCTTGCCTATTAACTCATTTCCCCGCTTCTTCCAGTAATCGGCTGACTGTTGAATGCTCACATCTGGCTTTCTCCATTTCTCGGGAATCCTAGAATCATCGTCGGCAAGCCAAGCAATGTCAGTAGGCTGATCGACTCTGATAAGATACCCTCCACTTGTTGCAACTTTGAAGTATGGCTCTTTGAGAATAATGACACTTTTGTCTTTGAGGATGCTTTCAGCTGGTCTGATGCTTTCTGGAAGCTGTAGGTATAAACTGAGAAGCATGACGGCCTCCGTTTCATCCTCAACAACGTTCATGGCTGCCGTCATTCGCGTGGCCGTGTGAATAAACCGCAAAAGTAGGTAAAAGCCCCGATGGTGAACCTCAAGTCTCAAGTCCTTGATCATCAATTTTTGAAGCGTTTCGAAGGATGCGATGGATGGAGGGTATAATTCGCCGATAACACTCATGCTAAACTCATGTCCCACTCCAAATTGCCGCATTTTGCTGCTCAGAACCGCCATAGACTGTTGTTGCTGGAGACATATTGCACGGGGTGTATGATCTTTGGGCTGTTGCCCCTTTCGTTGAGACGACTTTTGGATCGCGTTCTTATGGATGGTGAGGACGTTTTCGAATCGAGCCCATTCGGGATCGCCTGGCTTGAGTGTAGAAGCCATCTGATGTTCGATATCTTTGCAGGAGAAATTTGTTGCTAGATATAGATAAAGGTGAAGGGTGCGGCAAACACTTTAAGCAAACACAGGCAGGTAGCGAAGGCACGTGATAAGCGCAAAGTCAATTTTTGTTTTGACAAACTTGCCAATCAACGTTATTCCGTAGCTCTTGAAGATTGCTTATATTCACCATACTATTCCCCTTCACCGCAAACTCAGGACTCTGATATGGCGAACCCGCAAATGGCTAAATTTCCCTCATTGCTTTAACCTCGCCAAATAAACAAAGGAACTCAACAGTGTTATAACTGAGGGAGCTGAGGGTGCCAGTGCTATAAAAGTAAAGTTCTTACATCAACATTTATTCTAATGAGACTGTCAAAGCTCTATCTTTTTGTACATTTATCGATGCGAAGGGTCTGTTCTAGCGAATGCGCTAGCAAGGACCAGCATGTGGTGGTGATATATTAATCTTCAGGAACCATCTTTAATACCACGAGTCTCTGGACTCTTTCCTAGCTGTTTTGACCGAATGCCAACTTCCATGACTACAAATTCAATACTTATGAAGAATAATGGTGTAAATTTCCAGATAAATTTACCAAAGTCTTTTACATGGGAAGTGTTATAAGAGAGTGATGATGTACTGAAAATCTACACTGAATAGTTGATGACATGTTGGTACGATATAACCAAAATCAGACATCAGTAAATCTTACTTCTAAAGCTAGAAATAGATATTATAGCTACCATTTTCAAGATCATCTCCTTCTCCGTTACGTTATTCATTTGAATTCGAGTGGCTATTTCGTGTTTCGTTTTATGGAGTATTATAGCAAATTGCTTGATATCGATTAGCCGGTTGTTTCACGGGCTTCTAGGGGAGGCAGCTATTCGTAACCATTGGAATTTCTCGTGGCAGTAGAAGCACTCTATATTGGACAACTATTTAAATGCTTCCGTAATAATGAAGAGTCCTTGAAATTAACTACTTGGATCAACTAGAATAATTAGCAGTGGTTTATTGTGAATGAGAGAGTGCTTACTAAGCAACTCGGTGGGATAAATATCCCACATACGAGTATACTCCTCCATCAACAACACCACATTTATCGCTCCACATAGCACGATTATTGGCTCTTTTATAAACTGCTGATTATGTCAACTTATGCGAAATAACGATATAGACTTCGCAAATTAAGGAGTTTGCTATCTTACTTTAATCACGAAATCTTGCACCCCTTGCTAAGGCTTCTTCTATACATCAAAAAGATTTATTGTTTCGAGATGTATAAGAGTGGTAGTGGTAATCATTACACTAAATACACATACAGTATACTAAGACTACCTAGGTACGTTATTCTAAAGGCGTCACTCAACTAACCAAGTATTAACAGCTTTGATTCAATTTTTATGTACCCAAATGTATAGAAAATTTACGTTGACTATGCTAGACCTTCGGAAGAATTGCGCTGTATACAGTATGCGCAGAGCAAGACCTGGTCTCTCACATACCTTTGAGGTTCACACAGTCCCAACGGTCTATAGAAAGCATACGATGTTTGGCTACTTAGCAATCGACTATGAAACGCTATCTTGATATTAAGTACTGGTTTGATCTTCATTTAAGACACAGAGTGGCTTTGCTTCCTCCACTTCAGCCATTTAGAACCTTGCCAACACTCAAACTCGGCTCGCTTCTACCAAGTAATTGTACCATCGCTTGCCACCCTTCCAACAACTTCTCACTAGCACCATGAGGAATCGATTTGTCTTCCCAAATAACATCCATTTTCAGCTTTCCTTGATAGATCTGCCCGAAAATACTAATGATCTGATCTCGCTCAGCCATTCCATCTCGAAAATCGCTGTTCAGGGTAAACAGGTTATCCCGACCAAGAGTCAAGCCTCCAGTGGGTGGTCTGAAATTTACCCAGAGTGCATGCTTCAGATGCGCAGCAGCTTCCGGGGAGGAGCTCAAGAAGTCGTTCACATCGACAATCTCGTGTTTACCGGACTCTAGAAAGTCGCTGTCAGCACTACGGAGTAAGTCTGCGATGCTCTGATCTCGCTTGACAGAGATACGTAGAGGTGCTCTCGTAATCAATGGACCGGCTACATTTTCGCTTCCCACCATTCCTCCTACACGGCCAGTGCGGGCCAGCATGAAGGCGATGTCCTCGTTGCCCGTGATTTTTGCCAACGTCAATGCAAGTGCAGTCATGGAAACTGTATACTCTGATACCTTGAGCCATTCGGGAATAGTCAATTCGGTTTCGTTGGACAACCTGCGGTCTGCCAGCGAATCTATCGTTTGGTTTTCTTTGAATAAAGCCTTGAAATTTGCGCCTTTAAAGTGTGACTGCCAGAATTTATGCGATTCACTCTTGTCAGAAGCATTTCGGTGTTGGACGATGCGCTTGAATGGTGGTCTACTACGGAGACCTGAGCTTCCAGACTTGTACAAGATGTTAAGCTCTTCGCTAAGGAGTTCAAGCATCAACTGATCCAGTAGCCCATGGCTGGCGTACCAGATTAAATGGGAAGGTTTTTGGTCTCTGTTGATAAGAAGACCGCTTGCATGAGAAGGGAATCCCAGCCCACGGATATCTCCCTCCAGGTCTTCCAACAGAGTTGCGACATCAGAGGACTTCTCCCAGATCACGCTTTCAGACTTCAAAACGACTTGGAAAACACCAAATGGGGTATTCACAAACCGCGTTCTCGTGATTGGGTGGCGGGCCATCAATTGTCCCCAAAGGCTCTGAATTTGCTCAACCCCAACATCCGCAGGCATTTCAAATGAGGCTGTACTTATCCAGCAGCGGAACTGACGCATTTGATCATGCTCAATGTACCACTTCTGCATATCAGTGAGCGGCATGATATCTTCGATGATCCTAGATGCAATTTGGCATTGCTCAGCAGCAACTTCCAGAATTTGCGCGGCGGTTGAACCATCAAGCAGGGAGAAAGGTTCATCTTGAACTCCGTCGAAATCTTCTTCGCCGATGTTTTGCGCCAGGGCCTGAACATTTCGAAATTGATATAGATTGGCCACAGAGATATTCATGCCATTACGACGAGCTGCTGCTACTACTGCCATGGCCTTTAAAGAATCTCCTCCTGCTCTGAAAAAGTCATCAAAGACTCCGATGGTGTTCATAGGAAGGTGAAGTGCCTCATTCAAAATCTCAAGAAGTTTCTTTTCGTCTTCTGATAAGGGTCGGTCCGCTTGATCTTCCCGAGTTCCATGTCTTGAGCTTCGAATCGAGGCAAGGTCCAGAGAATTGGCCGTTTCCTTGAGTTTTCTTCGATTCAGCTTGAAGATATTGGTCATGGGGAAGGTCCGAATTGGTATAAAGGCCGCGGGAATCATGTAATCGGGCAGTACTTCGCGCAATTTGGTTTCCATCTGAACAATCATCTTCGAAAATTCAGTCTCATCGGATGCAAGCTTTTCCCAAAGAACGTCTACATCTGCCGTAGTACCTTCGTGGTCCCGATGTTTCTGAAATTCTAAGAACGCAACCAGCTGCTCTTGTCCGGGAATCAATGTTGGATTGCGTACCTCGACCGCTGTGCCCAATCCACTCGCTAAGCGTATTTGATGTTCAATCTCCAAAATCTCAATTCGCCACCCTCTGATCTTTACCTGACTATCTTTGCGGCCGACAATCTCATAATCACCAGCCCTGGTCAATCTGCCAAGATCCCCTGTTTTATAAAATCGAACAGGCCTCCGTTGACAGATACTCGAGAACCATGCGGGAGGAGGGATAAAGATTTCTTTTGTCTTTTTCTCATCCCCAAGATAACATCTGCCTACCGTTGGCCCTTCAATCAGAATTTCACCTGGCGCCCCTATTGGCTGCAGTTTGTCACTATTTTGGGGGTGAACAATCCAGAACTTGCTGGCATACGGATTTCCGATGAGGCCAGTATAATGTGGTTTTACATCTGGGTCCAGGAAGCAGCAGCCAACAGTACACTCCGTGGGTCCATACATGTGCAACACCCTCTTCCCGGCCTCCATCCACGGGTCTGTGAGATCTTTCCATACACGCTCTCCTGCCAGTAAGACGCTTTTCAGCTTCGGAAAATCTGCGATTGCCATTGTTGAAAGAAGGGTAGGTGAAAGACTCATGAAATTTGCGTTCAAAGAATCAACCGCCCCCGGTATGTCGTTGAATCGAGACCACTCAGAAGGAATGCAGACGCAGCCTCCACAGAATAATGGGCAGAAGATCTCGGAAATACAGAAGTCGAGATTCAACATGGTCACCTGAAAGGAGCGCATATCGGAAGTGGCATTAATTTCCGCGTTAAGTGCTTTGATGCTTGTGGTTAGATTACTATGTTCGATCACCGCACCTTTTGGAATGCCTTGCCAGAAATTAGCATAAGTACTTGAATGTAGCCATATTCCCTGAAAGATTTGGATCTATGCCTCAGAGTCCACTTTAAGGGTACCTTACCTGTTGAGCCAGATGTAAAGATAACATAAGCAAGCTGGTCGGATTGAATTCCACCCTCAACTCCAGTGGCTGGCAGAAGATGATTGGATCTCTCTAGCATTGTCAAGTTCTCTTTGAATACAACGACTGAGTCCACGATTCCTTGGAACTTCTGACATTGGCTTGATGAGGCCAAAGCCATTGGTATATTGTCAAGTTGCTTCAAAATGTTTGCAATGCGACCAACTGGCATGGTAACGTCCAATGCAACGAAGGCGGCACCAGTTTTTAATACCTGCAATTTATCTTTAGTTTATTTTCCACAAACTAGAGGCATTGGATGAGTTCTTACTGCCAACATTGAGACAATATGCCATTTGGACTTTTCAAATAACAGAGGAACCCAGCTTCCGACAGTAACGCCGCGCTGGACGAGGTAGTTTGCAACACAGACTGCCTTTTTGTCAAGCTCCTCGTATGTAAGGCTTCCATCCCATGCACAAACAGCTTCATTGTTGGGAGTTATTCTCGCCTGTTGAGCGACGAGCTACGCAGACCTTGGCGTTAGTATATTTCTGGTTTGTCAAAGAGAATGAATCAAGAATGAAGATGATTGTCGGAGGATATGAAAAGGATCTCCGCTCTGAGAGCGGACAGAGGAATGCTTCTACCCCTAAGAATCGAATACTTACCTCATGGGCGAAGACGTGTTCTGCTGGTGGCATGCCCTCGTTCAATGCGGCAATATCAGTCTTGTCCGATGCAATTAAGGAGTCCAACTTCTGAATCTTTTCATGCATCGAGCCATAAAGTTGAGTAAAGAGGTTGTCCAATCGGGTCAGAATGAGATCCAGTTCGGACTTGGTCAGTGAAGACTTTGAACAGACTTTTAGGCGAAACACATTTTTGCCATCTTCGCGTGCGATAAAGCCCGGGGCTATGGCCAGATCATAAGTAGATTCATCCAGAAACTTGCAGACCTCGGAATCGAGACTGGTTGTGATGAGAGCTTTTGGAATACCTCCATTGGGCGTTTCCGAGTCTTCGGATTGCCTTACGCCGTCATTCAACTCCTCTTGAACTCGTTTATAGAGCTCCTCGATGGTATGTTCGTCATCAAGGTGGAATCGAAGGTGAAGAACATCTTTTTCCTGGCTGTGTTCTAGGAAATTGATGGATGCTTCATCATCTGCAGAATAGGTAGCGGATAAAATTGCCCAAGCAACCAAGACGTGAATATAGGGACGATCATTATACTTTATGATGTATAAATCGACCTGAGGCTCGATGTCAAGGAGCTCGAGTCTCAGCGTTTCCGGCACTGTATTTTCAGCCATTGTGAAAATTCAGGAAGTCGAATCGAAGTCAAATGTCAGAATGAGGGTAGAGGAAGCAAAAGTAACACGGAAACGGCGATCGTGGGAGGACGATATGTAGGTGACTCCTGCTGGGGCCTGTACTGTATCCGAAAATCAGGCGCCCCACTAACGCAAAGAGGTAATACCCCACAACCCAGCCACCTGAACCAACTAGGAAATACGTGAATCCTACGGAGTAGAGGCATGAAATCCAGGGCCCCGTGATATTCACTCAACGTTCTATTCATCTTTAATCAAACTCTGGAAGTGCACATCTCGCGAAATGATCACAATAGCTGCCCCTCGAAATCGAATAAGCGAGCAAGGAGCGCAATCGAAGATGAATGACAGACAGAGTCTCCAAATTATTATCAAACTACTAGACCCTAAATTTGATCCGGGTCTATCACACTGAAACATTTTCTTATACCCACTGAGAAGGAATTTGGTTCTACGAAAACGAGGTCCAAGAGTTGATTGAGTAGAGCACCAAGATGCAATGCCCCTTATGTCTTTTTGACGTCACAGAGGTCTACAGTATTGTTGCAAAATTATTTTAACCTCTAAAGTATCGATTTGCTCAAACCACTTACAATGGCCTCTCCGAAGATTCGCCCCCAATGGTAAGCTGCAAAGTTATCAATGGTAGTGGTGTCAGTGCCAGAGCAATGAAGCCAATAAGAGAGTTGCCCCATCCTAAGCCCAGATGGTCATACAAGGGCTGACCTGCCAAAGGTAATAGAGCACCGCATAGTGACATCAATATTGATCCTGTCCCGATTGCTGAGGCTGCAAAATTTGGAAATGCGTCCACAAGGTATGCTTTACTTGAGATTGAGACTACAGCAGTCCCGAAATTTTGGATCGCTGAAGCCATGACAGGTGCCATCCAGTGAACCTCCTTCTGAACAGTCCAGCCATAAAGAAAGAAACCGAAAGCAGAAATAATTCCACCCCCAATAGCTGGTGGAAGACGTTCCTGAGATTGAGTCGATCCTTGTGACACTTTCTTTCGCCTGACATACCAGTCGGATACTATGCCGCCTAAGAATAGACCAAGCGCATATCCTAGCCCTGTGAAGCTTTGAATTAGTATATGGCTTACTCCGCAAAGTTAGATGGACCTACCCCAGCCTAAGCAGTAGAGACCCGAGTCTTTCGGCAGGATACCGTAATGGCTCTCGAAGACCTCTGTCAAAGTGGTGAAGACAATGTATCCAAATCCCCACAACGTTGCGTAATGAAGTGCTATGACTAGTGCAACTGGGTAAAACGCCCATATTTTGAACGCCCTCAATATCATGACGAGCTTGAAGTTCGGTCGTCTTGGTAGGGCTTGGTCTGATGTATGCCGATGGTGAACAGTAGCACGGTGTGTCTCTGGGATAGTAACCATAGAGACTATCTCGAGTCCTGCAACTGCCATCGAAATGATCCAAAAGATCCATCTCCAGCTTCTCCCGTTACTCAAAATGGCACTGCCAATGAGAGGTCCCCAGCTCAAACCGGTCATGGGTAGTAATTGTGCGAGTCCAAGGGCCCCCCCTCTTTGCTCTGGAAGGAACATATCGCTTACGATCGTGGGACCAAGAGTCAAAGGTGCAGCAACAAATCCATTCAAGCAGCGGAAAACCAGCATCATGCTAATGTTTGAGCTGAAGCCAGTTGTGAGAACACAGCCGATATAGATGATGTTACAGGCGTGCCATACTGGAAGTCTTCCAAAGTGATCTGCGAGTGGGCCAATGAAGAATGGACCAAAACATTCACCAAGCTCCCAGATGCTAACGAGCAAGACATAGTAGGACTGATTTTTGGTCTTGAAGTCGTCCAAAATCAGGGGAACGGCTGGTGTGCAGGCCATGGTAGCAATTACACTAGATGAAAGTGATTAGCATGGCAAACATCAGAAGTGATCGCTGGCTTACTTCAGTAGCATCATGCATGACACGGTTGCTACAACCAACCATTTTCGCTTCTTAGGCCAGTTGAATGGATTAGCAGTGTTAGTAGCGAATGCATCTTCCAGTAAGCCCCCTGTGTTTGTGGCATCTGTCACTCTCTCTGTTCTTTCGGAATCCTTCGTGTTTTCAGTGATGGATTTGTGTTCCTCCATTTCTGCCTGGGAACGAGAGGCGCAATAATATCAGTTCCTCGTATCTTGATTCCTGTTGGTCCCAGTATTTGCGGGAAGACTTTCCCTGACGTCAGTGATACTAGCACGTTCTTACCTTCCTTAATTCAGCCTGGCGTGAAGAAGAGTCAACAATCTCTGTTGCTGTTGGCTGACTTGCGCAAATGAAGCAAATATAAACGTCTCGGATGTAACCCGGCATATGTTGGTATCGACGCCTGAGAAGGCGAAAGTTGATTGGAAATGTGATTCTCCTTATCTTGCAAGGTATTCACCGTATTTTGTTAGATATCGGCCCATATTCCAACCGCTTGCTAGGTCCTACGAACGGTCATTGGTCAAAGACTCCAGTGATGCAGCCTAGTACAAGTAGCCCTGCTGTGAGAATCGCACTTTTACCTAGTGATGAGGCTGATCAACTTATCGATCTGAGTTAGTCTTTAGTTGGAACTTTGCACAAATGCAAGTAATTTAAGCGGCTTCGGCGTTACCTCCCGACCCTAACCGAATCGAGATTGATGGGCCTTAAAACACCTACATATCATACTGTACTGTACTACAATTGACCGTTTGAATTTAGCCGCATTTCTTGCTAGCCTATGACAAGGACTCGCAACGCAGAAGCTCATGCGCTCCCACCCCCTTAATAAATGTTATTCCTGATAACTTCATACACCAAAATTCATATGGCGAAATTGCCGTGCGTCCGCCAATCTGATTTGAGGAACATCGCAGTACGAGCCACACTAAGAACGGTGGGTTATAGCCAATAGGATGTTGCGGAAACCAGAACTGCGTATCTTTTTAACCGGTCAGAATGGCACCTTCCGCTGTCGTTGTCAGGTATTCGCGCACATCAGAGATTAGCCGGTATAGTAGTATCTGAGGGATCTCAACAATGCATGGCTTCCCCCATGTTTCTTTCCAAATTTCGAATTTGAATGAAAATGGGTATGGATTGTTTCGTACTAGAAGGAATCCTGGATGGGTATACTCCAAGTGAAATGCAGATCCTGTGTCACCACCCACCCTGTGGTGAGATGGCGCAGCACCCATTAGGTTGCACAGAAAGAGATATTGGAGCCTTGGGGCGGCAGTTTAATGTATCAATCAATATATTTGCTTTTCGTCCCCTTCTTTCAACTATGACCCAAGCTCTTGGTCATAAAATATGTGAGCAAATTACAACTCGCTCTGAAAGCTTTACATCAGCTATTCTATGTAGACAGTAAGACCACAGGCTGACTTCTGTGCACCCAAATTTGCTGTGATATTTTGGCTGGGAATTGATTTGACCACAAGCCCAGGCTGACATTGAGGAGAGGTCGACCTGGCGGAACAGGAGGACCGCAGCTTGTATCATAGGCTGTTGATGCCTGCTTACTGCGATAATCAATTTCCTGGTAACACGAAGATATTGCATTGTGACAGTTGGAAGGTGGCGTGTATTGGTAAGCCAATCACGCAGTGAATCTGTCCTACCAGAACCTATCTTGATGCTGTCGATCCTCTCCCAGCCTTGGGGAACCAGGATATGATATAGTAGACGCTGTAAGCGTTTGATTTTAAGATGAGCCGCCTGTGATATCGAGCTTGGAGAACATAATAAAATCCAAGTAGGCATAATTTAGGCTTTGGGAGAATGATATTCACATGTGTAAGCGAGCTTAAGAGAAATGGTATTACGGTCTTTCATTACTAACCCCCTCCCCCTCCCCCTCAACTGAAGTCTATACTGTAAAAATAGTAAAGTTATCGCACACAGGATGAACGAAGTGTATTTTATCGGCAACTGATAAACAACATAGAGAATTTGCATCCAAAACTCCTTCCTATGCGCCCTCCTTTCTGTCTGAGTACTCAACAGTAATGCTCGTAGTCTGCCGAATGTCACTGCCAACAGGTGGGGTTGACGACTTTCTGGCGGGCACACTAACGTTCGCGCTCCTGGCTGCTCATCAGTTTCCGCTCTCGTGAGATTTTTGAATGGGGTCTGGGTCTCAACTTGCTCAATTGCATCCTCATCGTATTGATCCCAGGGATCTCTGCCGCCTGAGAACTGATTTCTGGTTTCAGATGTCAAAGCCTTCGCGTCTGGACCCGTGCGATTACTCCGAATAACTCCTTTGGCGCTTAGCGAGACATAGTTTGACGCACTACGGGAACCCTGCCGGATTCTTCTCCGCTCATCATTGTTGTGTAAGAGGCCAGAGTGGAGAGAGGTGATGAATGGCTTCACTTGAATGAAGCAAGCTGTGACGATGTTGACCGCCTGTGTGATCTGTGAGCAGAGGACAGACGTCCACAGGTCAAATGTTGGGTCGGTCGAGTTATTTGTGGGTAGAAAATATGCAAGCTGTGCGATGGCAGGTACGAGAACACTGTGGGAGTCTGTCAGGCATGGGCTTCTGGGGAAAATATTTGTGCATGTATTTGCTTACAGAATACGAAGTGTGAAGGGGACTATCACCAGCGCTTTGGTTCCCCTCGACCGTTTGAGGTCCCAAATCAATACCACAGATGATATAATTAAAGCAAGCTCTGTAATGACGTGAACAGCAGTATAAGCTATCCAGAATGAACCCTATCATGTTTGTTAGAGCATGGTCTGTGCAAGTTGGCTGGGGAAGACTTACCCTATGGATGCATTTGTTGTTGATAAATCGCCAAACATGAGGCGAATGGCATTGAAATAGTAAAGCAAAGACACTAACGACAGCCCACAGCGCCGTGAACGCAATCAACACCAATATGGCAATCTTTTGTTTCTTTACCGGGGTGAGGTTGCGGATGAGAAGTAGGATAGATATCTCAGAAAGTCCAAGGTTCAAGACATAAAGTATGTAATTCGAATAGAAATACTTCTCGAAAAGAAGTACCTGTTCTGCACTCAAAACCCGTCTCGGGGATCCAAGGCCATTCGAATCGAGACCCAGAACTGTCACAAGCTCCCCAATACTGAATATCTGAAAAGCCAGGTCAATATTATGTTCACACCCTTTTGTCAAATTGTCAGAAAACGGAATTTGCTTCCTACTCACAGCTGCGACGACAATAAGGCCATCTTCCAGGGAGAGTTGTCTTCTGGGGAAATATCGAATACAAAGCCGTGCAAATACCGTGATAATGACAAGTATTAGCAGTTCAATTGACACAATGCTCACAACGGGGCCCAGATTCTCGTCCGTGATTACCACACGTCGTTTTTCCACAATTTCTCCCATTTTTGTGGGCTACCGACGTGTATACAGAAGGTTGAGTGTAGTTATGAACCGCTTGTCAAGTTTGCTCGATTACGACATGACTTCTATATGTACACATTTACTGTTGAACTAACCGTATACAAGACAGGAAGAAGTGCAGTCAGGCCCAAAGGCAATAAAGGATCTTGGTGGTGTGATGCGAGTAGGCCCCAATGGTCATATAGGGAGAGATTTTCGAACGGCACAGTTGAAGCGAGAGCCTGGTAATGAACATCATTGGCTATGAGAACACTTACCATTTTATGCAGGATCCTACAACGTCGATCTGACCAGCTTCGCCTCATTTATGTTTCTTACTCTGCTACAGTATGTATATTCGGGGCTTCAAAATCTGCGGTACGACGTTGTATTCATGCGCTACAATAAACCTTGCAACAGACGGGGTTTCTGACATGGTATTTCTGTAATCCAACACACAGAATAACATACATAGCTCCAGAGCAGTTTTGGATTTTTTGAGCGTTGGTTTTCATTCTAAGACTTCCCCATTTGCGATCTCAATCATTGTATTCACAATGTTCAAAACTCCAGACTACCAAATAAACGAGTCGTACGAGCTGACGGACCGACGAAAGGCGTCTGAGGTTCTGAAACAAGACATAGACAAGAACGAAAATTCCAGAAAAGAAAGAATCGCAAAGAGGGATGTAGCAGATTTGGCACGCTTGGGAAAGCGCCAAGTTCTCAAGGTCCTTTCCACTGTAATCGATCACCAAACGAATCACTGACGCGCAACAGCGGAACTTTACTTATCTGCCGATCCTGAGTTTTGCTTGCACTGTAATTATTACTTGGGAAGCTACCTTTCTGTATGTTTTACCCAGAGCAATTTTCTGAGTCCTGCTGACACCAGCATAGTACCCTGGGACTTTGTCTACCAAAGTAAGACCATCGATATCAACTAAATGAGGAGAAACTAAACAAGAAATCAGTGGTGGACCTGCGGGTACAATCTATGCCTTCATATTAACTTGGGCGGGAATGCTCTGTGTTTTCACAACAATTGGGGAAATGGCTTCCATGTACACTACTTTATTGCAACCCAAACGAGAAGAGAAGCTCACATTTCTTCAGCGCCCCAACCAGCGGTGGCCAATACTACTGGGTAGCAATGCTCGCACCAAAGTCATATCGAAGATTTCTGAGTTATATCACAGGTAATCATTGCAGATGAGCTCCACCTTAAGATGTTTGTTCCAAGCTCACAAGATATTGTAGGTTGGATTACCTTGATTGGCTGGCAAGCTGTAGCAGCATCAACAGTATATATTTGTGCAACAATCATTCAAGGCCTTATTGTCCTGGCGCATCCAACACTTGTGCCAACACTTTGGCAGGGTGTACTACTAATATGGGCAATGGTGGCCTTCACAAGTATGTCAATTCTTAATCTTCATGCACGTGTGTATAGACTAAACTCTGATAGTCTTCTTCAATACTACCTTAGGCAATCTCCTACCACATGTGGAGGCCCTTGGCATGATTCTCCATATTGTGGGCTTTTTCGTCATTCTCGTCCCAATGATATACCTCTCCGCCCATGCAGATGTAAAAGTTATCTTTACGACCTTTAGCAACAAAGGCGGGTGGCCGACACAAGGAGTGGCATTCATGACAATTCTCAGCGGTGCCGTCTTTGACTTCCTCGGTTCAGATTCTGTCATTCATATGGCGGAGGAGACACAAAACGCCGCCAAGGTCTCGCCGAAGAGCATGTTTATTTCCATCATCTTCAATGGAGTCCTAGGAATCGCAGCCTTGATTGCTCTGCTGATTTGCGCTGATGATCTCGATGCGGCTCTCAAATCACCTATTGGACACCCATTCATTGCTATATTTCTACAAACAACGCAATCAGTGGCTGGTGCGATGCTTATGAGCGTTGTAATCTTTCTAATGCAGATGTTTGCAGCCATCGGTATCATGGCAGCAACTTCTCGTATGCTTTGGGCCTTTGCCAGAGATCGCGGCGTACCGGGCTGGAGGACGATGATCAAAGTAAATAAAATCCCACTAGAGCTCTTTGAGTAGCGCTAACATATGACCTCCAACTCACTAGGTTGATGGCAAAAACCATATCCCCATGTACGCTATTGCCGTCACAGGTCTCACATCTTGCCTCCTCGCCTTGATCAATCTTGCAGGTCCGATCGTTTTCAACGATATCGTATCCCTTACAGTCTCCTCGCTCCTACTTTCATATTTACTAGTGTGCTCGTTCCTATTGTGGCGCCGGTTGACAGGCTATATGTCTTACAACCCGCCCATTTCACAAAAGATCATTATTGGGGATGAGAATTCGGTGCCAGAACTCAGTTGGGGTCCCTGGCACTTGCGTGGTGCTCCTGGTCTATTCGTCAACATCTTATCGTGCGCATTTCTCGCTGTAACTGTTTTCTTCAGCTTCTGGCCACCAGAAGTCAACCCCACAGCGAAAACAATGAACATGAGTGTGTTGATGTTTGGGGGAACCACTCTGTTTGCCATCATTTGGTATGTTGTTCGAGGGAAAAAGACGTATGAAGGACCTGTTATCGAATTAGAACCGGATGCTTAGGAGCGAGGTCTCAGCACTATTAGAGAAGTGTTCAATACTCTGAAGAGAACTAATTCTCGAGAATGGTATTCTCAGGGTTATTCTAAAATTGTCGCACAACCGAATCAGTTTTACGAACTGGTCAGGACAATTGTTAAAATTTACTTCCTTTCACTTGGTTATACCAGGATAATTAAGTTCTGCCGGACTTTTACAATAATAACTTTTGATATTGTATACGTACAGAGCAAGGACCACATCTCTTACAATCATAAAGACGGTGTTGACTGCATAGAAAATTAATCTAGCCATTATTACTATAATCTTGTGGACCTGGCTAATAGAACGAGACATCCCCTTTACTAGGGTATTCCAATTGTGAGGTTACAAAAGGCCAATAACAGCTCCTGCGGTGACGCCCCTAGACCCGTACTCTTACATCCCACCGCCCCCAAACTTCATCATTAAACATTTCTGTCGTATCCTCCTTCGTTGTCGCACCCTCATCGTCACACGCATTCTTTCGTACCCTCACTTTATCACCCTCAGCGTCGCATTAAGGATGTGCCCCCGTGTAGCCAAGAGAAGATAGAAGAGCTGAAGAGAAAAAGTGGTAGTGGAAGCGGAGAAAAGGTTTCTGTCATATTTCCCCTCGCTTACTTCGCAGCCCCTGAATACTACTTTTTAAGGGGATAGCTCAGGGGGGCCAAGGGGACAAGGGCACAGAGTACTGTCAGGGGTTAAGCGAGCTCCACAGGCCGCCCATGTAACTGTTCCTGCCACACAGGATAAACGCCGTGACTTAGTTACATGTATAACACATAGTAAGCTGAATGTCTGTCCATTTTCGGGGTATCTAATCTTCGTAGTCAACATGCATTCCTATCTTGGCAATGCATGCACATTGCCACCTCCACCTTCCATTTCCTGAAAATCTCCGCACCAAACAGGCTGTTCCCCAGCTCTCCCCGCTCTCCCCACTCCTGCAATATGTGTTGCTCTGCAAAGGTCTCTTGGCTGCTTGTCGGACGGACTGCCGGCGGGTTTTCTGCGTGAAAATCTCCGATCTCTATATCGCCTCGCCTTACAAGGCTTGGCCACTGAGAGTTTCTTTGGTCTAGATCGTATAGCAAGTAGGGTATTTAGATTGGAGCCTAAAACAATCGGTGACCGTTTTGGCTGGAATATGCCGTGCTCAAGAGCGGTGATATGAGGCTCTGCATCGTGACTCTCTCTAAGATCTTTTGTTAAGCCAAGCCTGATTTGCTTCAATTTACTTCCTATGCATTCACAAACTTCAATTGAGCCTACTTCTTGACAACATGTTTATGATACTTTCAAAACTTACGAGTTCCATGCTTCTACATTCGACGCGGAGGTGTGGGCTCACTACTCTTCATAAGCCGCTTTTGCAGACCGATGTTTTGGAACAACAAGCGTCACCTGTAACATACCAACAATCCCCCAACCAAGATGCCTATTGGCAAAAGACTCCCCAATGGAAGACAGTCAACACAGAGGAGTTCTTGAACTACAAATGGCAGGTATACTCACGCCTCCTCAAACCCAAGAATCCCACTGACATCTCAGTCAAAAAACTCCATAAACACACCCTCCCAATTACTTAATTTCATGCGTTCCGTCCTACCATCAAGAATATCAACACCATCATCAAAAAGCAACATTCAGCAAGTCATCACCCAAAACGACTTCATCGAGGATGTAGAAAACGGCGTGCAAAAAGCCCCAATGTCAATCCGTCTCACTCCGCACATCCTCAGTGTAATAAACTGGGAGGAACCATTTACCGACCCTTTAATCCGTCAATTCGTTCCTTTGGGCTCTCGGTTACTTCCCGATCATCCTGAGCTTCGCTTAGACTCTTTGGATGAAACCACGGATTCCTCGGTGAAGGGGTTGATACATCGATATCCGGATAAAGCTGTATTTCTAGGTAAGTTAAAATTAAGCTCGTCTGGTTTCTTGATGCGGAAATGCTAAGTGATGTGATTGCAGCAACCTCCGTGTGTCCCGTCTATTGTCGCTACTGTACACGATCGTATAGCACAGGAGTAGACACCGCTAGCGTATCCAAAGTTCGTTTTCTCCCCATCATGAAGCGATGGGAACCCATATTCGAGTACATCGAGAAGACCACCAAGCTCAATGACATCCTTGTCTCAGGTGGAGATTCCTACAGCCTGAGTCCCGAGCAACTTCTAGCTATCGGTCGACGACTTCTTGATCTGCCTCATATCCTGCGAATCAGGTTTGCTAGCAAAGGCTTAGCCGTCTGTCCTTCACGACTGGTGGACCCAGATGATCGGTGGGCAGAGGCGCTAATACAGCTGAGCAGAGAAGGGAGGGAGATTGGAAAGAGTGTTAGCTTACATACACATTTTAATCATCCGAATGAGATTACATGGGTGACGGAAGCTGCAGCGAGTCGACTATTTAGAGAGGGCGTTCAAGTGCGCAATCAGACGGTTCTCCTGAATGGTGTTAATAGCGATGTTAAGACCATGACCCAGCTCATTCGTCGACTTGCAGCTCTCAACATCCAACCCGTAAGTTGAATTATTTCTACCGAGACTTCGGACTTCTCTCATATCACCCTTCACAACACTCCCATGGTTTGACCAGAAATTACCACAAGTCCTAACGGTATGGTCTTAGTACTACGTCTTCCAACACGACCTAGTCTGCGGCGTCGAAGACCTCCGAACACCCTTATCAACAATCCTCTCTCTCGAGTCTCAAATCAGAGGTACCATCGCGGGCTTCATGATGCCCAACTTCATGGTTACTCTCCCCGGAGGCGGCGGGAAGCGATTAGCCTGTAGCTACGAAAGCTACGATCGCGCGACCGGCCGAAGCTTATTCCGCGCTCCCAATAGCCATATGAGAGGCGGTACCGAGAATGGGAAGGAACTTTGGGATTATTGGGATCCGCATTGGAGTTTGGAAGGGAAGATTTTATGAAGCATAGAAACCTGGCGTGGATTGGATCACAGTGCTTATTATTTGGTGTTTGGTAAGGACGTGGGATAACTACTTATTCTAAGGGTCTAATACGTAAGATGTATTTGAGCAACAAAGGTTTCTGATTTGGGTCACTGTAACCGAGAATGTCTGCACAAAGTTACGCTACGGTTCAGTCTATGTGTGCGATGCAATGGATCTATATCATGTCTAATGACCAATTCCTATATTACATGCCAAAGCAAATGTACCTACATAGTAACAATTTGATACAATGGCCTGGTTTGAAGCTTCTCACAGCTATCTTTCAGCAATTCCAAGGTCTTCTCATTCTGCTCCTTCTCATTCCTGTAGTTAAATCTCAACAGCGGACGTCTTCATGATCATGGCATATAACTGCGGTGGCAGATAACGAACTTGCCGGTTTGCCCAAGTGCCTAAGTCTTTTAACTCCGCCAGATCAGTCTTGCTCTCCCCTACTCGACACCGCCACCCCCGAGCTTGTCGTTTTGAATTCTATAAATCTCATACATGAGTCTTTCCATCTTTCTCGCCAATTCCTTCAATGATTGCAAATTGGGACAATCATTGCGCTTGTGAAGATTGGGGTCTCGTCGCAATATCTCCATAGTCTCGTTCATGTATTCAACGCACATATTGTCCGCTGTGGTACTAGGCGTTTCCTTTGTGAAACAGCCCAAACCTGACATACTGGCACGAGATTCGAGGATTCGGCGAACAGGTTGCATTTCGTAATTTGCTGCTATATTCAAATTCCCCCGAGTGTTTTCCGTCCATGCCCCAATATCGACACCATAGACCTTTTTGGACAGTTCTCCGTGTAGAGAAACTTTCAATTTATTGATTTTGAAGAGGCTAACATCCGCAAGGAGGTTTCCGTTGTCGGCCATGATATCTCCACCCTCCTTAGCTTCTATAATAGGATGGCCTTCTTGATTTTCCGACAGAAATTTCGTTCTGATCGCCGCTCCGGCCTGGAACAGGGAATCGCGAGTGTCCCGATCATGTTCCAAGACCTGCACTTGTGCTTGTGCATGGTAAAGTTGTTTAAGTGCTTTCTCCAATTTCTCCTCCTCTGCCGAAAGATTCTGTTTCGTCTGTTTGCATTGTGAGCAAGATTCTGAAGGCAATATTGGAGCCAGTCTGTCGGTTTGATTCATGCTTGGAGACCGGCTTATGGTGCAAGAGTTTTCAGCCGCCGCCACTGCGTTCTCTTCCAATCCCTTCGGAAACTCCTTGTTCGAGCTTTCAATGAGATCCATAACCACGAGCCAAGTATTAGAGGTATGGGGATGCCATTTATGATCCAGTTTGAAAAAGAGCGGGTTGCCTACGATGATTCTGCATAGGCCAGTTTCATTTCCAGAAGAGATGCCTTGCTGCAAACCGAGCACTATACGTTGCGCGTTGTTTGCATGACATCTCCAATTGTTTCTTTGAACCTCCATCTTCTCCAAACCATCTTTGCTGTCTTGGAGATCAATTTTCAAAGCTCGAATGCGCGACTCTGCTGCCTCGAAGTTACTCTCCGAGATATCCTTGCACTTTTGCGACACTGTAAGTTCTACAAGCACATGGTCAGCAATGGATTCCATTTCTGTAAATTCTGTACGAGCATTGCAGACATGATCCAACGCTTCTTCGGCTGCGCATAAGTCCTTGCTCTTCTTGTCAAGCTGGGACTTCAATTCCACGACCTCCAAATCTCTGTTGTGAAGATCAGATACAAAGCGCTCAATCTCCGCGTTTCTGAGGTAGTTTGCGTTTTGTTTGATTTGAAAAAGTTCCGTTTCCGCTCTCGTTTTTTGCTTCATCAATTGAGCTATCAAATCATCGTTCTCTTTTTGAGGAGTATGTAAGGTTGAAGGGTACGTGCGTTTCATTTCTTCCATTTGAGCCCTCATCGTGTCTTCCCGTTCCCTGTGATCGGCTCTCAGCTTTTCGTTTTCGATACTGAGCTCAGCTTCAACCGATTTGAGGTGATCACGTTCCATCTTTAGGCTTGCCAGTTCCTTTTTTATGTCGTTGAGTGAGTCTTCGGTCTCGAACATGTGCTGAACCACTTGCTTGAGACTCTCTACGACACCAGCAGCTGGTCCAACTCTGCCCTCGCCGGCATTCAGAATGCTCCACAGAGTCTGGTCCATACCAGTTGAAGCCATCTGTGGACATGTAGAGACCCCGTCTATCGTGACAAGTCCACTTCTAAAAGTTGAAGGATGTCACCTTTCGTAATGAACGGGCTATTGAGGTGTGAAGTCTGCAATGCCGCGATCTAGGCCAGTGTTAGCTGGCAAGCTTTTTAACATCATGCTCTGAGATTTCTTCACCTTTGCACCAGTTTCGGGCTCACTGCCTGTTGGTGGTTGTCTGGAGTTGAGCCTGCGAGCGGCTTCCGAAAAGCGGGGACGCCTGAGAGTCGGGGGTTGTCAATGGAAAAGCGCTATGTAGGAACAAGAGGCGATGATGATGATAAAATGATACAGCTCACTATCTCACACGATAGAGCCGGGTGTGTGTGCCCTCAGGGTGGGAGAAGTTGTGGCGTTTGGAGTTTGAGAGCTGGACGTTGGTGGAGAGTGGTTGTTCGTGGAGTGATGGAGGTCGGAGGAGGAGGAACATCAAGGACCAAAGCACCTGCCTGCCCATGAACCTAACTATCGACCTTAGCTAGCCGTATCCTGCCGCGCCAGGCTTGGAGCTTCGCCTGCTACCTTTTTACTGCAGAAGATTTCCTTTTCTTCAGAAGACCAGCTTCAACTCCGGCTCCTCCATCGACGTTTGACAGATTTAAAACAACCCTCAGCAGCTCTACCTTTTCTTCTGCCATGTCTTCTTATAGACTTCTCATTTCACCTATCTCATCGTTGCTTGATATCAACTCAACTTTCGTGCCATCAAAAATTTCATGGTCAAAGAAAAACCTATATAAAGATATGCCATACAGCCTTCACTCATCTCTTACTCACCCTCCTCACTCACCTCCCCCACAAACCCCTCAACCCAACCTCAACACCCAACACACGGAAAGCCCTCCCCCCTTGCCCTCCTGAACAAACCCCCAAAATAAAATCCAAAAAATGCAAAAAAGAAGTCCCAGCAAGGACCCCGACAAACTCTGCAACTCCTACCTACCCTTGGTTTCGGAGAAGTTGGTTTATCTCGCAAATATGAGACATGAGGTAGCTTTACCAACTGGGCCATAGGACCCAGATGATGTACTTTAATGAACCTTACTTTTCCGACGACGATTTGTATCAACCGGATGCCAACAATCTAGCCAGCCGCAGGCGTCACCTACCTACCTACCACCCCTACATTCTAGTAGGTGTCTATTCTTGACTATAGCGCAGGAGTAATAAAGGAGGAGTATAATTTTTTTTCTACTACAAAGTGCCGTGCTGGTTCCCCTCCTTACCGTCCAACTCTGCTAGCCGCGCCCCTACCCCAAATCCTTTTGTTTTCATAATCCCTGACCTTGCTCAGTTACTCCTACGAAGTATAAGCAATGTGGGTACTCATGACTGTAGGGTTTACCAAGATTAGCAGTGCCTCTTTTCTATGTTTACTGCGGTAAAGGATTTTCACCAAGCGCACACGTAGTGTGCACATAGGTAAGACTTGACTCTAGGTGGAGCCGAGGGTTTTAATAACCAGAAAATAGATTTGCTGGGAGAGGGTTGCTTGTTTACCTATCTAGAGGACAAGGATAGTGGAGTAGGGGAGGGGAGGTTAGTGAAGGGGGGAGAATCTCGCTTTGTCTCCATACGCCAGCCATATCGAGACGCGTAGAGGGTCTGCATATAGGAGACACCTGAGCCTTGATTCCTTGAAGAGGTTGAGAATTACGTTCAGTGGGAGTTAACACGATTGGAATATAGAGTAGATGTCTGTTGCTTTAGAATTATATTCCCACTGCCAGAGTGAAAGTCCAGAGTGAAAGTCCAGAGTGACAGTATGTGGCTACATGAGGTAAGATCTTACAGTACTCCTCAAAGGTTCGCGGTAGAAACTGGTCTCTCGTCAGCATCATCCATCTTTGAATAGTGAATCTGTAGTGGAGACAGGACCCGACGTGTTGCCATTCCACCTCTCGGAATAGGTATACGATAATCATCGCATCAGATTCAAGACTTCCGATGAATAATCGGGTTCCTGACGTTAGTCGATATGCAGATATTTATTGGAACAGTACAAAGCCACGCCTCATCATCTTGAAACTCATCGAATTCGTTCTTGTAATGATATGTATATCTCTCATCCCCGTCTTCGGGTCTTCCTCTCTATCTCCACCATCCATGCCCAAGCCCATAAATCTTACAAATCCATAATCATGATTCCACAGCTCCAGCAAAAGAGAACCAAGGCGCGAAATATCTTTTATAACAAGAAAAAAATAGAACGCCGACGACAAGCGTGCCCAAATAAAATCAGTCAAATTGCCTGTCACGCACGCTACACGTATGGTTTTACATGGTTTCAAAAACAACACAACGTAATCAACATACATCTAATGATGATGTCCAATTTGTGTAAGCAGTGGAATCAACATTCCACCTACAGCTGCAAATGTGTCCCTCATTTGGGGCTTTGGTTTGTTCCTCTGGGAACTCCCTCCGTCTGAGTATCCGTTACTTGTGGAATGTTGATGTTCTTGTCCCGAGTCTTCTTGCATTGCGTGCATGGCCACATATCTGCGGATGATTAGTAAGATTCGAGTGAAGCGAGCTTTATGGGACACATACAAGAATGTACCTGCACTGAACAAAAGTAGCATGCCGGTCCACCACTGTCCTCTTTCTCCCTCGACGTGATTACCTCCCATAATGTTGACTAACAACCATGTCGAGAGAGCCCCAAACGGAGCTGCTAAGCTGAAGAGGATCAAGTGCCCTCGAGCAGCACGCTTAGAAAGGCCTTGTTTCAATAGGACAGAGGTCAATCCAAAAGCAGCGGGGGCTTTGTGTATCATAATTGCAACGAAAATAATTAGTCCCAATTTCTGATTTGATGATGACGTTGAAGCTCCCATTGCAATGCCGTCTGCAGCAGCATGAATTACGAGGCCCGTAGTGGTGGCTAAACTCCGTGTCTGTTTTGGTGTCGGGGCCATGGATTGTAGAAAACTTTCCGACTCTTCGTCAACATCAGAAGAAGATGTCCTACTTAAGTTTTGGAGATTAATTTCTCTTGCTGCGTGTGGAGTTTGTAAATTCTCTGAGGCGTGTTTTGGAAGTTTATCAATGAGGAACATTAGAATGAATCCCAATATCAACGATAGTCCAACATAAAATGTTGGGGGCTCTTTCTCTGCCTCGTGGGGATATTGCTCTTTGGCCTTTTCTCCTGGGTGAGATTTATCTGCTGGCGGAGTGCTTCCCTTCTCTGCTGGAGGGGATGTAGGTGTCGTGGTATCCTTCCCAACAATATCCCTCTCAATCATCACACTCAAATGTTCGTCTAAAACACCAGCGTCTCGCCGTATAGCACCTCGGGTTCTCTTCTCAATAAGCATTGGCGCAATTCCAGCTTTCACTGGCCAAGCGACCGCATCCCTTTGTTGCAAACCCCTTCGCGCATGCGAGTTTCCTGCTTCGCCCGCGGTATAAACTGCTTCAATGCCTTCGGGTATAATAACTATCAATGATGTGCCAACAAGCACTCCCATACCTATTGTTGAGATCAATCGAAGTTGTGATGAAGACAAAGTCATGGATAGAGGTAGAGCGCCGGCTAGGAATGAGCTACAGATGGCATTAGTTAAGCTTCGGCGCATGTCTGCTGGTTTTGGAGAATTGTCCTACGATAACGCCATCACCACGCTCAGCACGAGCAGTAAAAATAGACCGTCAAACATCTTAGAATTTCTGACAGCGGGCTATTTGAGTTGGCGGACTGCACTACGATACGAGTAATCGTATGGACACCACAACGTTTCTTTCTAGTCGTTGCGCTGCTACCGACTCATGGCGAGTTCACGGCGGGGAAAACAGGCAACGAACAGATTGAATGCTCGAGGGAACGACCGAGAGGTTGCGATGAGAATTTGGAGGGTATGGTTGGAGTTTCTTGGGTTGGCGCTCACTGGGCTGATGACACTTGGAGATTTCTGGAGTCTCGTTCTCCCCTGGGCAGGCGCCTTGCGTTGGCAAGGCTGAGGGTTGGGGATGATACCCCTGTCATATTTCATTACCACGTGATATCTTCTTACCTAGACTTTGTTACCTTGGAAAGGTGACTCTTGTCTCAGGCGAAGAGCATCCAGGAGCTTTTTAACTGATGTAGAAGATGAGGTGTTTAGCATCATGGAAGAATACGCGATCAAAAGGTGTGATATCACGTGAATCTTGCCTGAGGCCAAAAGAAGTTCGCATCCCCCTTTTTCTCCACCTCGCCCAATTAAACTACCGATAAACCACACCACACCCGCACTCACACCCTCCTTCCCGGCGCCTTACGCGGGCAGCTTCCAGACAGTACAATGCACTTAATCAAATGGTTTGAATTTCATTGCGCGTCTCTTTCAATCTTCTTGATAATGCTTTTGTGTTATCGAGGTTCAAAGGGTTTAGCCTCTACTCCACCTTTACGCATACGGACGCGTCGTCAAAGGCTTTTTTACTGTTACATATTTGCTCGTGATACCATCTCGTGGGTGCCTTCACGTAAGTAACTTTTGGGGCGTTCTCGAGCTGCCGTTTTCAAGTATGATCCTACAGTAATTCACGATTTGGCCATTCGGGAGGGACCGAAAACAGTGTAACAAAAGTATACATGGGATCGACAACAACACCACAAAGCCTCATCCATAATGTATCCACCTTCCTATGTAGCCAAGATACTAAGCTATACCTTGGACATTCAAGCTTTGAGAAGCTTTTGCTCCCCAGGATTGGGATCTTGATCTTGCGTGATAAGCTTTATCTTGTGGTAACACCTTAGAGGCCTTCCTAATTTGGCATAGTGGTGTTTTTCTTCGGTACTTATTACCAGGTTTTACTCAGGTACCAATTAACCGAACACCTGCAACACATCCTACAGCCAATCTCCTCGGTGACCATAGACGGACCTTGAACCCACATCAACCCCGCATCGCCGATAAGAACCAGATCGAGTTGCTACATCTGGAAAGAATTGCCTTCGTTGATGCTTGTATAGATGCCATGCATCTGCAAGACTTGGCCCCCTCTGTCAATATCATTCGCTTGAAGGTTTTATACTATCGGCCTTTTCACTGGCCCAATTCGGGTAACCCAGTCAGCTAGAGTAATCGCATCAGGTGGAGGGAGTCGGATCAATGAGAGAGCCGAGCTGTAGTATACGCGCTGTTTCCATAGTATCTCTATCTATTGAATGGGGGAGAGGATTTTGTACTTAAACTGCTCTGTGTTCCCTCTGTTTTCAAAAGGTCATCCTTCTACCAACCACTCTTCACTCACTCACTCCAGTGCAAAGTCCAAGGTTCTTCAATATGATTTCCAACGTCCTTCCAATCGTTGCTCTTGCCGGTGCGGCCATGGCTACTTGCCCTCTTTCCCTTGAGATTACCGGCACGACCGATCACGTTGCTACAGTTGCAGTAACCAACACTGGAAGCGAAGCTGTTACTGTTTTCAAGGGCAACACTGTGCTCAGCGAACACAACACCATGGATCTCTTGGTTGCTGATGCTGGTAAGAATTATTTCTCTGTGAAGTGACTAGAGTTGCGTTTCGGAAAATTGGTTGTGTAAGAATGAGTCTGTAAGCCTCATTATGTGGAAGCGATCATCTTGCTCGGAGTCGGTTTATTGAAACTCGGGTCCATTCCTTCAGCATGTTATAGAATCTGAATTTTGGCTAATGTCACAAATAGCTGGTGCTGCTCTTCCTTTTGAGGGCGTCTACGTCAACTACAAGAAGAGTGACCTCAGTGCTTCTTCTTACCAGACTCTCAAGCCAGGAGAAACCGTTACTGCTGAAGTCAATGCCGCCAAGACCTATAAGCTCGCTGGTATTCAGAGTGCTGCAGTCACTGCTATCCAAGGGTTCAAGTATGTCATGGGCGAGTCAATCCCATTCGCATTGAAGGACATGGATACCGAAGCATGTGCTGCCGTCACCTCCAACACCGTCAACATCACTCCAGACCAAAGTGTCGTAGCTGAGTAGGTCTTCGAAACGAAAATCATGAAAACAAACCGCTAACATAAGTTGAAGTGAGCACATCTCCAAGCGAGACATCTCCGCCGCACCAAACTCCAGAATCGGCAAGCGATCAGTGACATACAGCGGCTGCAGTTCATCCCGCCAATCCTTACTCCAAACCAGTGTATCCCACACCATCACCATGGCCAACGCAGCCTACACAGCCGCAGGAACCGGAGCCGACTACTTCACCACCTGGTTCAAGTCCACCTCTCAAGAGAGTAAAGTGCGCAGCATCTATACCTCCGTCGCAGGCGTGCAAAGCACCTCCCCAAGGATCTCCTGCACAGACACCTACGGAGATTGCTCCGGTGGCGATGCCCTCCTCTACACCGTCCCTAGCGCCAAGGTCATCGTTCCTTGCCCAAACAACGGGTTCTGGGGATTCCCAGAGTACGCCAGTACTTGTGCTGATGACGATTATGACCGTGCTGGATCGATCCTTCATGAGGTTACTCACTTGTATGGAACTGATGATTATGCTTATGGTCCAGCTGCCGCTAAGGCTTTGTCTGCTTCTCAGGCTGCTGCCAACGCTGACACCTACGAGATGTATGCTGGAAGTGTTAGACTTGGTGGATGCAACTAGAGTATCATATAGAAAGCCATCTATTTGATCTACAGTGGAAGGAGTGGAGGGTTGTGTAGGTGGATTGGGTAGAAGGACCTGATATACTTAAGGCGTACCTCGCTTATTTGAGGTTGCGCACGTGATCTTAAAGGAGAGCGCAATTTCTGCCGCATAATATAATGTTTGAAAATGATTCTTGGAAAGTCTTAATACTTCCGCACATTGATTTTGATAAAATGGGTTCCTTGACGTTTATCAATACCTGGTAGTGACTGAATCAGGAGAAATAGGAGAACCCCGAAGCTGGTTTTCTAGTAGCGAGGAGTTCAGTAATTATCTGTCCTTCGTTGTTTCAACTATCTGAGGACATGCATAGTCCTGAGTTGTTGTCTTTTCTCCAAAAAACATAGTGAATCAGTGACTAAAGTGATAATCGTCAACGCCAATCTTTAAGTTGTCTACTTGTGGTGTCCCAGAAATTTGGAATTATTGAGAGAAGACAGGCAAATGTCCGCAACAGGTAGTAGCTGCCCCAAAAGTATGGTATCATTGAGCTATTTTCTGAATGCTTCAATGTAATCAGGAATGACAATTCACGAAGCTTCAAAACCAGAGAATAACAAATCGTCCTGAACAGCAGGAATGACCCGAGCTATGGAGGTTTCCTTCTTTCAAAGCGTTAAATATACTCAGTCTCTATGGGTTCTTGAGAGGCAATACTGTTTTAGCCCTTCTGTTGGTCAGAGGGTGGATTATTGTGAACCAAGTTACTAAGTACTGTATGTAGTCTTGGTCTGTAATTCACAAATATTTAGATGCCTCATGAAATCCGTGGTTATAGTATGTCTCATCACTGTTGGAATTTAATGTTTGAATTTTCCAATCGTAAATGAACCACATCGTCTAAAAAAACAAGTCCTAGTCGCTGATATACGTAGAGGGTGGTGCTACTACTTTGTAGAAAGAGTATAGACGGACACGTGACAGGTTTGCTCTCTAGTGAATCTTTTGTAACACAGCCAATCAATTATGAAGCCTCAAGGCGATACACCCAAAATTAAGCTACACCGGTAGTCAGGAGTTGGTTCTTGCTTGACTTTAAAGCCATGTTAGAAGATATGTCCTTGCAGAAGGGCCATTGTAGTGGAGTTGCGGGTATAGAATCTTAATCATCGTCTGATTTTGCTAGCTCAGACTCTTAATTGCACGTTAGCCAAGATTTCAAGAACAGCCTAGGTTAACAAGATTGAACAAAGCTGTTTTATTCTATCCTTCACTAGAAAAAGATATATTGCACAATCATCAGTGTTTAGAAAATCCAATCATATACTGTAGTGGAGACTGGAGGCTCGCCAAAGTGGTTCCACCAGCTCCACTGTTTTAATCCCTGCACAACCCCTGCACCAAGAAAGTCGCGTCTCAATTAACGCGAGACCTTTGAAAGAAGCAAATTGGAACGCTCAGAACAGAAAGTGGTCCTGTCCCACCATCATCCCAACCTCATCAACTTGCACCTCAACTTTGAGCAAACGACATTGTATCAATACAAACACTCACTTCCCCTCCTACCACACTGCACTCATTTATTGAAACTCTCGCGATTATCGCATCAAGATTGATACAATGAGCAACGTTGAGGCTGACTGTAAGTTTCATCCATCCTTATCTCATCGCAATTTGAAAAGCGCAATATCGCCATGCGAATCTGGATCCTCGCAATGCGACAATCCGCGCTACAAACACCAGCATCAATAGAACCTTCTGCAATTACAATACTTTCAAGCATCATATCTCAAGCTTCCCCTGGCTAATTTTTAATTCTCAGGGTCCACTGGATCAAATCAGGCTGTCAACATCCACCTCGTCTCTCCAACCCAAACCTTACACAACTTTTACCCCAAATTTACATACCCCATATTCGGCGATGAGGAGACGATTTTTGGGTATCAAGGATTGAATATCAATCTCAAATACCATGCCTGTGATATGCGACCGCTTTTACAAGTCAGCTACAATAAGAAATTCAAGGCGGTAGGTGAGACGGAGCCCACTGATCTGAAGGCGATACTAGGAGGTTTTCTCCCAAAGAGTATGTTCACTCTGCAATAATACATAGTGATATGACTGACAATTCTAGCTGCATTCGAGAAAACCTCCGACTTCCAAGCCGCAATTTCAAGTTCCACCTTCTCCGCCTGGACGCCCCCTGGAGAGCTATGGAAGACCATCAACACCGGCTCAAAAACCCTGGAGATATGGAAGGGAAGTCTGGCAGATATGGCAGTTCAACAAATCGTCAAGCGCATCCAAATTCTAGTGCCATTCTTCATTGAGGGTGGTACAGCGATTGATTTGCGCGAACCGGAATGGTCGTTGGAAAGGTGGACGGTCTTTTTCCTCTACGAGAAGAAAGGTCAGGAGGGATTGGAACCAAATACTTCGCCTTATCATTTCATGGGATACTCAACGGTCTACAAGTATTATTTCTACCAAACGCTTGCGCCTCCTTCGTCACTTGAAGGAAAGAAACAGCAACTTCAACCAAAGACTACACATGACTTCACATTCCCGCTACCAGAGTTTAAATTGTCGTCTCTTCCTTCTCGTTCTAGAATTTCGCAGTTCCTTCTATTACCACCGTATCAGAAAGACGGAAATGGTTCGAGATTCTACAACGCTATATTCGATTACTTCCTCCAAGACCTTTCCACAATTGAAATCACTGTCGAAGACCCCAATGAAGCATTCGATGATCTCCGCGACCTGAACGACCTCGCCCGTCTGCGCACCCTCCCTGAATTCCTTAGTCTGAAAATCAACACAAGCGTACAAATCAAGTCCAAAGGCCCGGTCCCAAAGGAAATCCTCGACTCCAAACTCCTCGAAGAAATCCGCACCAAACTCAAGATTGCCCCTCGACAATTCGCCAGAGTGGTTGAGATGCAAATGCTCTCTCTCATCCCATTAGGTATTCGCCAGTCCTTGCTCGAGGTTTCCACCAAGAATATTCTGGATAAGCCGGCGAGAGAGTTTGAGTATCGACTGTGGAATCTGTGGGTCAAGATGAGGCTTTATAAGCATAATAAAGATATGCTTATCCAACTTGATCGAGCAGAGCGGCTCCAGAGGTTGGAGGAGGTTACTGGGGGTGTGGAGGCGGATTATGCGCGGCTTCTGAGGAATTTCGATGAAAGGATCAAGGCAGCTCAAAAGTCTCTGGAAGCGAATGGAAAGAGACCTGCGTCAGGCAATGATGATGAGGAGGCGGACGGAGAACCCGTAGCAAAGAAGGTCAAGGTGTAATGGTGGCAAGGGAAGGAAATACTTGATATAATATGGGTTACAAGGCGTTGATTGGTATGGCTTCCAAGGAATGCTCGCGGGAAATGATTTATGGGCAGTGTGCCAATAGTACGAGGAGAGAGTTTATACCCCCGCAAAATGCTTTTCTCTAGTAAACTCTGAACTTCAACTACAGTCCCCCAGTCTCGTGTTTTCCTCGTGCGGTTTCCGGAAAAGATTAAATTGTTAATCTAGGCAATCTTTGGAAACCCGGCATGAATATACACGTCGTTTACTTACAATGTAGTCTTTGAGTTCACCAGAGTTGGAGGTTTTCGCTAAATAGCGGGTCTCTGAGGGCCGAGGCTCTTACCTACATATTGCAACACTCCCACACTTCATCTGAGCATACACCTTTTCCGGAAACATCGCAAGGGGAATTATGATAGTCAAGCAAAGCGACAGCATAGAGGAAGGACGCACTGGGTATAAATTGTCCTTCAATCAGAATTTGACTTCTGTCTAAAACCTGGTTCCATTGACGCCTTGGACTCCCTTTCCTAGTTGTGACGCAACCACAGTAGCTTCTCTCACGGCTCTCGCAACAGTTCCTCTCACTCTTCCCTCTTCTAGCACCAAAAGTCCGCCAATCGTGCATCCACCCGGAGTACTAACTTTATCCCTCAGCAAAGCTGGATGTTCACCATCTAACACCAACCCCGCAGCACCTCTCATCGTTTGCGCCGCCATACGTTGCGCTTCTGCTCTCGGTAATCCCATGGCAACAGCGCCGTCAATGGTGGCCTCCAACATCAACGCGAAGAACGCCGGGCCACTTCCGCACAGAGCGGTGCTTGCGTCCATGTTGCTCGCTGGCAAGTAAACGACATCGCCTATCCGTTTGAATATCCAAGTCACGAGACTTGAGACGTGGGATGGGAGTGGTGGTGTAGTAGTCGCGATGACAGTCATGGATTCCTTGATCGCAGACGCCGTATTGGGCATTGCGCGGACGACTCGACAAAGTCCTTCTGCCTCTGGATCCAAGGGCACGGCTGAATAGAGGTATCCATAGATTTGGTCTGCTTGCAAGCCCGCGCAGATACTAATCAACATTTTTCCCTTCAAAGCCTCGACCATTCCTTTTTCTGCCAGGATGTCTTTCACCATGTAGGGCTTGCAACCGAGTAGGATGACATCTGCTTCTTGACATGCTTTCACGTTCTCGTTTTGCACGATTTTGACAGTGGAGATGTGGTCGGCTAGTGCTTTCTTGATTCTTTTCGCGCTTTCGGCGCGTCGGACGCAGGCTATGAAGCGGGAGGGGAGGCGGGAGGGCGTTTCTGAAGGGGTGGAGGATCCTGATGAGGATATGGATGCGGATGTTTGGAGGGATATTTCATGGAGCGAGGAGAGAATTCCGGAGAGGATTGCTATTCCCATGGTTCCTAGGAATGATATTAGCATTCTGTTTTTATATAGAGGATGGGGGTGTAGAAGGGGGTGTAGAAGGGGGTGGCTCTCGCTCGAGTTCTTTATAACGACGAGGCTGACCTTCCATCTCTCCAACTTTTTATTTCGCACAACAAACAGAGCAAACCAATTGCGACTTACCACAACCCAAGACAGTCAATGTCATTTCTGACTCAGCTTCTGTGTTTGATGCCATCTTGAGTCTCTTAATTCGATCTTCGCTACCTCAAAACAAACAATTTTTAACTTTCAGATTAAAGGAAGAGAGAGCCTTGGAGGGGTTCTCTTTTTGTAGCCCCAATCAGGGCGATAAGAAAGAGACGCCCACTGTGGCACAGGCACCCCACCTCATTCGTCCAGTGGAGTTTAGTCCCCTGTCAAAACTCCTTCACCATGTCACATCAAACATCCCCACAAAAGCTTCACCTCTCCTCTCTCATCCCGCTTCCATATGGCTCATCAGCCTCATCACCATCCCTCCAAAACAATGACGACCGCAATCCTGCAACGCTAACCTCCACCAACACAAGCGACAAAAACCACAAGACAAATCTCAGGTCCAGAGAGAGAAGAGGAAAGGCCAGGGAAAGAGGAAGGGAAAGCAACATGGATCCCTTCGAGGTGCGCATTCGCTTCACGCAGCATCTGCAGCATCTGAATGCCAGTGTGACGAGCGCGAACAAGGCGGCGCAGTATGCCTTGAAGTTTCGGGATATGGATGAGGATTTGCACAATTGTATTTTGGAGCAGTTGGAGCGGGTGGGTTCCCTTTGACTTTGTTCCATTTACTTTGCGAAGCACACGCGCTGATGAATGAATAGAATTCCATGAATAACCGTGCGAATATTATGTATTTCATTGAACACCTTTGTGATATGGCAGCTAGAGAGAAGCATCACGATTACGTTCGCATGATGCAACGGGATATTTTGAGGATTGTGGATGCGGTTGCGCCAGAAGATGGATCTGGAGCTGCGAATGTTAAGGTGGTGCGAAAGGTATGTTTCCATAGCCCTCCAATCTCTTCAACCAGAGGACCACCGAAGGAAAGTCCAACCCGAAAGTAAAACAGCCATACTAACACAAAATAGGTCCTCCAAGCCCTGACCCAAAAGACCTACCTCCTCCCCCAAACCCTCCTCGAAATCGAAGAATGTCTCATCTCCCGCGACACACACAGCCATCCCTCCTCGCCGACCTCCCCTGTGGACGTCGAGATGTCTGGTGTTCCCTACCGACCCTCTATCTCCAAACCCCCCAAACTTGATAAAAAGCAGGTCGAGCAGAGAATAGAAGAGGACCGCGAGAGACACAAGAGGTTACGCGAGAATATCTGGGCGATTTCGAATCCCGAGGGTGGCGATAGGGAGTTCAACAAGATGTGGGAGGAGACTAGCGATGTTGGAGAGGACGACTTCTTGCTGTACGAGGAAGAGGCGGTGGAGAGAGGGGTATGTGCCGGGGAGTGGAGGGAGGAGTTTTTAAAGATGCATGGGGGTTTAGGGGAGGTTTAGGGTGCGAGGTTGTAAATTGATCCGAGGGGAGAATATGGGTTAATTAGAACGCATGGATGAGGCCGTCTTTTCGAGCATCTAGCTCGTGAGTATTCATGGCGTTTTTGGGCTGCATCGCGTTGGCGTTAGGGAGTATTTGATGGGGGCGTTCTTGCATAGATGCAGTGGGTGAAATTAGTTGGGAGATACGATGCAAATGGCATATGGGCAAGTACCTATTCAAGGCATATTCTACATATTTACTATTCTTTGTATCCGCTCTCATCTTTCCTTTCAGTCTCAATTTTCTCAATTTTGTCTCTCTTCCTTGCTAAACTCTCATTCGTACTAATGGTATTTCGAAGAGTTTTTCAAATGCTTGTTCTAAGTCAGTCTAACGAGATAAAATATATGTATATATGTTATACGGATATATATCCGATGTGCCTTCTGTTATATTCTATACAAATCAGTATTACTTTCCTAGTCTTACATCAACCCAAAGCTCGAATAGGAAGATGTGCACCTCCTTCAAAAGACCCTGCCAAGAGAGCGCGGCTAGCACCAAAAATATCATAACTCACATTATTAACATTACATCTAGAGACTCATCTATAACCTATCTATTCAATCCATATATAACCGCGCACCCCCCTCCGTCTCCCCACCGTCAACTTCTGTAACATTGATCTTCCCCTCCTCATTCAACCCCACAATCTCCGCCTTCGCCGCAAGCGCCGCCTCAGGACACCACCTAAACATACTCTTCACCTTCTCCTCGCCCAATTTCTCATATTGCGAGCTCTTATTCACACCATGATACCCCAAGGGCCGTTCCCCCCACACGAGATCAACCGAGAACCCACTCGCCGTCTTCTCATCCGGAAACGTGCCCCCCAATCCCCGCATCTTATTACAAAACCACACATCCTCAAAAACCCCATCGCGCGACCCTTGTTCCCCAACATCATCCGCAATATCGTACTTCTGCACCACCTCCCGCGCCAAACTCACGTTGCGCAATGAAAGGCCCCCGTTATACGCTCCACCCGCGTAAGGGTGCCACGCGCCGACAAAGGAGAAGCCGAAGAAATCCTCGATCGTGCGTCCGCTGTTGCCGCATAGCACGCTGTCCGTTTGGAAATTCAACATGTATTCTGCGCTCCCCATCAGGTTCCAGAACCACTTGGAGGCCAGGAAGTGGCTTATCCCGAGGTGGTTCTTGAGGTACGAGTCGGTTGGGAGCTCGAGGATTTTTACTTGTCCTGTGGCGAGGAGACGTTTGAATGCTGCGGAGCCGTGGCCGTATACTGAGAGCGTGTGGATTGTGGAGCGCCGCGTGAGGAGGAGGATGGGCCATGTTGGGCCGAGGATGGTGGTGAAATGCAGGATTAGGGGGATGAGTATTGTCAGTGGACGGGTTTCGATGATTACTGCGACGGTTTTGGTGATGGGGAAGGCATCGTTAGGGGTGGTGTGTGGGGAGGATTGTGAGCTTCGAAGTGGCGCGAGGAGTGAGGTGAAGGTGCTGTGTGTGCTGTTTGTGGTGTACCAGTATGAGGTTGTTGCTGTGATGATGAGGAAAAGCGCGAGGGCGATGATGATGAGCGGTCGGCCTTTAATGGTTGTGGGGTTACATAATAGATTTTAGACGGGATATCGTGGGTTCGAATTGAAAATAGAGAATAGAGTTGTGGAGAGTGCAAAAGGGAGATGCAGATGCAGATGCAGATGCAGATCTGAATGGGGATCTGCGCCCCAGAATCCGGGATGTGAGAATTTTTAGGTTGGCAGTATACGTGTAGTGCCAATTTTCCAGCGATGGTCATGGCGTTTTCAGGTGTCCCGGGATAGTACTTGTACTGTCCAGTAATCAAGTCAGGATTCCCCGTTATAATATATTAGAGGGATTCTGTAGACTTTTAGGGTCTTTTTCTACCCTAGAAAAGTAGCAACGTAAGTACAGGGTAAAATTGATTAAAAGTTAAGTGTTTCGCTTGCTGTAGTTAAAATAGGTAGGAGAGCCTAGCTTAGTATTATATAGAGCGGGTAGAAGTAGGCCTCGAGGGGAGGGGGGATAGCTAACTAAGTACTATCGAAAATCGAGTCACAAAAATCTAGCGCAAAAGTCTCTTTTTTTACTTTCCCTTACGTAAGGGAAGACTTGTTTTCGATACTTGAAAAAGTTGTATTTCCTCGTCGGGTTTATCGGCGTTAGATAGATAAAAGCGGGTTTACAAGGTGGGTACAGGGGAAGGGCAAGGGGGGGCCTGACCCTATCCCTTGGCAAGTCTGGTAGAGTAACTAGTTAACAAAAGTCTTACTAACTTACTACTTTTAATCGATTTTTACGCATTTTCGGAACTGTTTTAGGCCCACCAAAATTTGCGGAATCCCTCTATTACTCGTGAACACAATAAGCGCTAAGTACCTAGATACAACACTTACGCTAAACCTAAGCAGGCCGTGCCAAGTATCAAAATGGAACGTCTCGTCAGAAGTAGGATAATAGACAGGAGTATATCGCGCCGTGGACGTGGTCTTGGAGGAGTGTGCAAGGGGATGTAAATAGGAGCCTTTCATTTACCCCTTGACTTCGCTAATTTGGCCGGGTTTTTGTAGGTTAAAGAGTCGCCTTTACTACATCCGAGTGGAGGTATGTTAAAAAGAAGAAATAAAGTACGATTGAGGTAGAAGAAGTAGTTGTAGATGTAGTAGGAAAGGTAGTTATACTTATACTTCAAAAAGGGGACAAAAAGTACGCGAAAAATCATATACTCATCGATCGTGCCTAGGCGACGACATTCTAAACTTTGCATTATCGATTATACACGCTTTAGCTGGTTTTCAAGGTGTTTTTATAACACTGAGCAATTTAGGCGTGTGGACTAAATACGAATCTAATAGACTGACGTTAATGCTTAGAATCTGTTCCTACCGGTAGAATACTTGTTACGGAGTAAGGGATAGTAGAAATTCAACACACGACTCTAAAGACAAAACCTTGTACCTAACATTCTAGATTTATCATTCCTCTCACAATCCCTCTTTCATTCATATGTATGTAGCAATTCTGCTTCTTTCCGAGCCTAAGCTATTTTAGGCAGGCGTAGCGCAGCGAAAATGTATCTTACCGAGTTAAGTTCTGTAGTCTTCACTTCCTAAGATCGTGATCTTCTTCCCTTTTCTAAATTTGAAAGAAAAGTTTGGGGGAGAAGGGCCGAAAAGGAAGGGCGCGGAGGAGGAGGCCAGGGTTTGTAGAAAACATGGAGTGTTTGGTCTTGTGAACTTTGGCTATACTGATCAAAATCATGTAGTCCAGAGGCCCAAGCTTCCTGGTCCTGGTGTGTAAAAGGATGGGGTTATTCGAGGTAATCTAGAATGGTACAACATAAAAGCGGGGTTCGTGTTTCGGTATGAGGTATTTGGCGTAAGTGTTGAAACTCCGCCACGAATACTGTTGATCCTGGTGGTACTGCATACGCCATCTAAGATCCGCTGTAGTCTGGGGTTTTTCGGACCAAGAATTAAATCTCAGTCCATTGTCTGCTAAAGCACGATTCCGTTTGACTTTTGATTGTTGTATGTTTTCTCCTACAGTTGGCTTTCAAATACAATACGCATAAAGCTTTGTGTAGCTCGAAAGTTTCTTCTCGCTTTACAATCTCGCCTCTGTCTCGAAGCCTGATGTATCTGGGGAAAGAAAAGATTGAGAACTTAGAGCTGTGGAATGGGAAACTCGCGGGTTGCAATCGTGTGGATTCTCCTAATATCGCCGAAGAAATTGAGTAACTTGGTATCTCTGACGAATCGAACAAAGTTGTAGATAGCTCTCTCTACATTCAGCAAGATCAACCAATATTGTATGGATTCCGAGAGTATTACCCCTCTTAGAGATATTCGAAATTTGAACAAATACGGGCCCAACAGTCTCGAAAGCAGTAGATGCAAAGCTGATGAAACTCGTGTATCTATGCCCATCGACTAAAAACTTATCAAGGCTCAATCCGAGTCACAGAACTCCCAGGATCTACAAATAATCGGTAACTTGACGAGAACTGCTAGACATCGCCTATCGCTGGCAATCTGGTTTGCTTTTGGGAAATTCAACCCACTAGGTTTCATAGCAGTATGTCAGCATAAATAGATTCCCTTCACAAGAATGCCTGCTAATACAAAACAAGACGTTATACGGCATAAACATGTTCGACATTCATAGTCCCGGTCAAACTAAGTCTTTTGCGATAACGACAATTGTGGTTTCCCTCGCGACATATTCGGCGGCGATAATTTTCTTATTTGGAATAAAGCAGAGACGTGGTATAGTCAGCTATCGCAAAGTTCTCAAACAAGCAGTCTGGCTTGTCATTTCACGTTGGGTTCAGTAAACAGACGATGATGGAGACAAAACCCCGCGATTCAAACCAGGTGACGACAACGATCGGCAAATGGAACTCGATTCCATGGAATTATGGAATTCCAGTGGAATAGGGGGTATGGAATGGGATATTCCACACCCCCCCTCTGGAATGGAACGGAATTCCAGTTGCCGATCGTTGGGTGACGATTTTGCGAAGTTCTTAGGTATTGACGAAACCGGCAAACCACTACCTGAAAAGCCCAGGTTCTCGTTACAAGAAATGCTTTCTGGTTATTGGAAGAGACATCAGAAGGAAGCTATTGGGGAGGCTGCTGCGTAGGAGATGGGAAAGTGACGGATAACGAATTTCATATGTCTTTTCTATGAATGTGCGGAGAGTTGGGATCTACGGAATGAACAGATTACTTTTGAAAAGTGCCGACGACTTTCTGTTGAGGTGGTTCAGGCAGAAACGGTTTATAATTTGGGCAATGTAATGTTCTCTACCGATACCACCCCCTTTTTTATGTCTCGCTTGGCGCTTTGACCTCTTGCTTTCACCTACAATATCGACACAACATGGATGCAATGAACGAATCCACTCTGTTGATTATCACACAGGTTTGGGAGTATGTAAGTATTGAGTCGCAGAAGTACTGTCTTCAAAGTTTGCCCTTCGCCCTCGATATGGCTGAGAGTAATATATGTTACCGTCTCCCTGAGTGGTGATTCTCAGATATCGCTAAGGCTCTGTTCACTCAGAATATTGTCCTTTAACAATGTCCCACTTTTTGATGAAAATGGCCGTATTCAGACGTCGCCGAGCGTGTTATGCTTCCTTTGGCCTAGTGTTGAATCCGTCTACGTGAGGACACTGTAGATCGCATTTTTGATCTACACGATGTTGCCCTGTAATATCGCTTTAGTAGTAAAAGTGAAAACAACCTCTCGCGGTTGTTTTCGTCCTTAATGTCGCGCTAAGATAGTCTACGAACGACTGTTTATGCCCCTATTCCTATAATTTTACTGTCTCTAGGCATTCCTTTTACTAGCTAGGCTCTAATATAATTAGGATATTTTTATATAATTTTTATTCTTAACTATTAGGGACTAAAGTAGTAATACCTATAGAACGCGCTAGCTTATTTATACTTACTATAAAGTCCTAGGTTTGAAGTACCCTAATTAAGAGTATAAGAGCCTGTAGCTACAGCGTGCGTGCCCTGAAGCAAAGTCCTCCCTTAAGCCCTTAGGAATTGTAGATACAGATGTAGATTAAAGACCTACGGTATACGTATTAGCGTATCTCCACTGGATATTAAGGTATAATATTCTGAGTGAACAGAGCCCCTACCAATATTAATCACCCGTGTTAAAAGTATCAGAAAAATGGCCTAGTCTACTTTAATTCTGTGAAAGTGTTCGATATTGTCCTCGGATGTTTGTGTAACTGGCACCGATGTATCGTCATCTTTTCGTAGCTGGGTAAAAGGTATCGGTTCAGAGTTTTGCGCTTGCTCACCTTTACCTTTAATTATTTCAAAGACATCCAGATCACGTTATGAAAAGCTCTTAAGTTTCTTATTTTGGACTGTGCTTATTATTATTTCGTATGTCTAGCTATGGTGGGACATCGGTATATCTAAACGTAAAATTCTGGGAAGTACTTACATTTGTTTCATGCCCACCAGACCTTTTTTAGCAACCGTCTCCGACACAATAGACTTCCGTCAATCTTCAACCTCTTTCCGTGATATCAGACTCTTATAAAGCCTTGTGCCCGCCGAACTGAGAGTACCCAAGGCTCTGAAATAGCCTCACTTAGTCTCCTTCCGGCTCATTTCGACGACGAAGAGCTGCAAAGGTTGATCACAGATGTCACTTTGTGGGAATCAGTACCTCTATTGTCTCAAAAATGATCTTAGCTTCTGGAGCGGAAGCTGTATATAACCGAGTTTATAATTATTGGATTATGTGGAAATTGGGTTGAGGTGTGCCTCTGTGCATCTTCTTGATGTCAGGTTGCTGTGCCTAAAGTTAAGTGGCTGTGTTTTTAACACAATACCAACTGACACTCAAAGATGCTTGTTCCACAAAAGCCACAGAACGTGTTTTACAATTAGACTCCTTCCTAAGTATCGGAACAATGATAGAGGGTGGATCATCTCAGGCTTAATATAGCCACGAACTCTTGCACCCTTGGTGGCTCTACATAACGTCAATCCAGTGATCACGCCAGAAATACCACCTCCTCTTCAACGCCCCTCCTCCCCATCACCTCAATAACCTCCCCATCCATAATCCCATGAACATAAGCCGGTCCAACCAAGCGAAATCTCTGACCCTCAAATATCCCTCCCAACAACGGTCTCAGAACCAAACAACAAGAACAATTCCTCGGCACAAAAACCACATCTCCAACTTCCACATCCCCAACCACCATAGCCAACCCCCCATTTCTAGTGACACAACAAGACTTACCCTCCGACATTTCCGCAAGACAATCCAATAACCTAGGAGGAGGCGAGGAATCACCTATAGCTTGTTTGATGTCATTTTCGAAATTGAGTCTTGAGGAGGTGGTATGTGACATTCTGGGAGTGTAATTGGAATGGTCTCGATACCTAAGTAGACCGAATTAGTACTGGCTGTTTTTGTGCAGTGCTATGAGTAAAAAAGCAGAAATACCTATCAAGAAGTAGAGTTTTCCAGAAGTCATCTTCGGGAATTTGATGGGTTGAAGTTGATAAATACCAAGTTCGGGCGGTATCCCAGTATTTTCTCAAGGCGTCTAACACGTTTGGTTCCCACGTATTTGAAGCGGACCAGTATAGAGATCTTTCGGCATTACCAACGTATTGACGGGGATGAGTCGTTTTAATTTCATCAAATGTAAAACCATGTAATACCAAGATGTTATCATCCGTATGAGAAACGGATGAAACTTTCCTCGTAACTTTCGACCCACCAGCTTTATAGTATTGAGCGTCATACGTTGCTCCCTCCGCAATAAAATAATTCGTGCTAAATGAACCCCCGAAGTTGGGCACCCAACTTGATATGTATCCATGAGCTTTTTGGTCCCCCAATCTGTCTTGAAGTGCTGTTGACAGTCTCGGATCATTGCAAAGAATATTCAAGTCCCCCTCCTGCTCAATAATCTTCCTCGTCGCACGCTTAAACACATCTTGAACACTCCGGGAATAATCAATCTCGACATCAATTGGTGCCGCAACACCCAGAAGCGAAAATATAACATCTCGTGGATCTAAACATGTCCGATGTCCATACATCTGTACCAATTCAGCCAGCGATATCTTATCTTCCTTTCGCCTCAGAACAAAATCATGGGTATCAACAAGATTAATCAGACAGCCACCAAGTTCTCTTGGGGCGAGGAAGCCGGATGGACTTTCCACATCCAGGAACCAGCGGATCAGAGTCATTTTGTGAATTTGAAGTTTGTGGTGACCGCAGAGGATGAGGAGGTTCTTGGCCATGAGTTGTTCTTGGAGGACCCAGAGTCTGTCCCAGTAGCCTCGAAGACTGAAGACTTCGCGAATTGAGTTGATCCGAGATTGCAATTCGCTTGATTCCGCCGGGATTTCATGGTTAAAAAGGATATCATTTACAAATCTCGTGGTATCTGATGACGGCCAGGTACCTTGTCTCAATCCCTCTATCGGCATCTCCAATTCCTCCCTCTCAAATCTAATCGAAGTAAAAGCGTCCAAACATCCCGCAATGTCTTCCGGAAACCCAGGACTATCCATCAAAAGTCTAGCAATCTGCTGCTCTGAGGTCTCACCAAAAGCGACCCCATAAGACGTAGAGCAGTACTCAACAAACCTCCTCCCCGCAACCCAATACAAGATATCCAAAGTCTCAAAAGCCAACTCCGCATGACGATCCCCACTCCCCAGCCAGGCAAGAACACCCCCCGCATTCCGATAAATCCTCGACATAGCCCTCACCTGACAGCTCTTCTCCTCATCATTCCCCTGATCAATACACAACGCATCAATCCACAAGATTCTATCTTCCTCCTCATAACGCAGGGATCTCAAAGCACCTTCTAAATTGAACCCGATCGGAAAACTATTGCCATTGAGACGGATTGTAAAGGTGGACATTGCGCTGACTTGCGTCTCGCTGATGCTGCTGAATGGGTTACCCCATGTGTAGGATAGAGCTTCATAGTGTGGCGGGGAGTGGATAGGTGCCACGGCCAGGTTACAACATATTGGCGATTCATGTCGTCCTGGAAGGAGAGTTAATAATCTGAATTCCCCGTCGATATCGTTTGCTGCCTTTAAAGGTCGGTACAATGCTGGAGTGCTGGAAATTGGATCGCTCATTTTGTGAGGGGAAGCTTAGTAAGGTTATTATTGCGAGGGGGAAAGATGTGAGCGCGGCAACCACAACCAAAACATGATTTTGGAAAGATTCAAGGGTGGGGCTGTTTGCCTGCCTGTTTCTATAAGTGGTTACTTATGAGAGTTAGCCTTGGCTTATTTTAAGCCCGTTTCTTCCCAAGCGGAGCCGCCAGAGAAGTAACCTTTTGTTTACTCGGGGGGGAGTCGTGATGGAGGCGAATCCTTCTAGGGACCATGTATAATATGTTCAAAACCGCCGATTTGCCACATCATTGCACACTACAAGTAGCTTTGGATTCCCTCCAGAGCCGCTCTAGATGGTTTAACACACAATTTTCAGTTTCGAAAAAGAGCAGTCTGCGCAAATGCTTGTAACATTTAGGACGAACGTTGAAAAGAGCTTTGTTTAGACGAAGAAATAGATCAAGCTCTGGCAAAGAAACCCCCCCTAACCACTTGGTTATGCTGGCGTAAGAACAATGAAAGCTCCAAACCCATGCATCATGAGTCTTTCCCTCTGCTATAGGCTTGCAATTTTAAAATTCAATGACACTTTTCTAAACGACAAATGTTTTCACAGTCATGAATTCATGTTTACTTCGTAGTCTCCAAACGCCATAGTTGCCACTGCTAAGAACGCAAAAATGCCTGCAACCTGCCACCGAGTTTCAACAAGCGCCTTGATCCGAAACAAACAAATGCTTTTAGTCGAACTGTGTTTTGTTAGCTTTTTGATATCCACAGAAATGCTATACAGAGTTCGACTCACAGGAGTTAAGAAAGACTCGGCCACAAATCTTGCGCGTGCATTAAGCTAGTTTTGCCATTAGTAACCTCATTCCAGGTCCCAAGCTTTGGTAACATACGAAGAGCTTCATCTCTGAGATTTCCTTGTCCACTTCCTCCATGAATTGAATGATAAAGTCGACCAGCTTATGCTTCAGCATCTCCTCGGTATGGAAGTTCGTAATCAAGAACGAGATATCATAACCCTAATACCATCAGTATACAACATAGCCCCTAGTCCGCTACACCGCATACCTTGACAGGTTTCCTCCGTAGAATGAAGAATGCCTCGGCTCTCTGCGTCAAGAATCTTGTAAACTTGTGCACCAGGATGTGTTCGATTTCATCAGCCTGCTTGATTTTGATGCTTATGCGGACACTGTTGATGCTGGGCTCGATGAATACTCGCTCATTCTCGTTTCGGGCTACGGTTAGGGGGTTCAAAAGAACTTCGGGAGAAGTCTGGGCCTCGATTTCTGGCACATTGTGTCTTTCTGAGGTTTGGGACGCGAAGTTCGAGAGGCAAAGAGCCGATGTGAGAGACGATCGGACGCATTGGAGGTAGGGGCGCAATGATTGAGACTGGAGTAGATTATTAGCTTGCAAGACGATGCAGATATTCGGAAGCCGTGCGCCTTTAGATAAAGGGGGTACAGCAAGCTAAGGTGGTTATAAAAGGGGGCTTAGCTTACCATAGCTGGAGTTGATATTGTGATGCAACCTCCTGCTGCTCTACCCGTACTGAAGTCCCGTCAGTCGTGCTGGCTCGGCTGGCCTGGTCGTCAGTTGGTGGGGGGTCTTGGCAGACAGGCATCCCACCAAAACGTAATGGCGCTAGTCACTCATACGCTGTCGCTGCCTCGGAGGCTATTTGCTATTTATTTTACTAGAGTTCCCCTTCAACCGCCTTTACCAACACTTCTTGGTTGAAGACCTCGACCTTTGGCTATCTGGTGCCTGGATAGGAGTAGAATACCCACTTATCCCTTCTTTTGTTCATTTCTTGCACGGGCAGAGATTCATTCGGCCGATTCGGTCCACCACCCCGCCACTATGGCAACCATTCCTGGTTTGTTTGCTCCCATTCGCTCTTTTGGTTGAACTTCTGCTAATATGACCCAGTGGTCGTCAAGCATCAGGGCAAGAAGTACGATGTCGAGCTCGATCCCTCCTCCCTCGGCGAAGTCTTCAAATTCCAACTCTACTCATTAACCGGCGTAGAGCCCGATCGCCAAAAGATCCTCGTGAAGGGTGGCCAGCTCAAAGATGATACCGATTTGTCCAAGATTGGCGCAAAGCCAGGACTAGTCATCATGATGATGGGAACACCAGGTGACGCGTCCAACGTTTTGACCAGACCAAAGGATCCTGTCAAGTTCGTGGAGGACATGACTGAGGCAGAAGCTGCTCAGCAAGTTGGTGCTACTCCCGCCGGTCTTCAAAATCTAGGCAATACGTGCTATCTCAACTCGACATTACAGACCCTCCGCGCTATTCCAGAGCTCCAGGAGCAACTCGAAAAGTACACGCCGGGTCCATCTTCGGGACCGCAGGGCAATACACTTGGAGATCTCAGCATGTTTGGGCTCGGCGGTGTAGGCTCCTCGATGGATCTCACAGCTTCCCTGCGAGATTTGTATAGACAAATGAGCCAAACTCAAGAGGGCTTTCCTCCACTTGCATTCCTGAACGCACTCCGTGCTTTATTCCCCCAATTCGCACAAAAGGCAAAAAACAACCATGGATACGCACAACAGGATGCAGAAGAAGCTTGGTCGCAAATCATTTCCCAGCTTCGTCAGAAGTTGAAATTCACGGAAACACCCAGCGGTGATACGGAAGCAAAGGAGATTTCATTCATCGACAAGTTTCTAGCTGGAAAGATTTCATCAGTAACGGAATGTGATGAGCAAGAAGCCAAGGATGCCGGGGAGGAGGTTGCTAAAAGCGAAGATGCCTTCTTGAAGTTAGACTGTCATATTGATAAAGATACCAACCACCTGAAGGATGGTATCCTAGCTGGTTTGTCGGAAAAGATTGAGAAAACCTCATCTGTTCTTGGTCGGGATGCAGTTTTCACCAAGACATCACGAATCTCACGGTTACCAAAGTACTTGACCATCCACTTTGTTCGATTTTTCTGGAAGCGAGAGGCACAAAAGAAAGCCAAGATTATGCGAAAGGTTACTTTCCAGCATGAACTAGACGTGGTGGACTTCTGTACCGACGAACTAAAGAAATTGATCATTCCTGTCCGTGACAAAGTTCGCGAGGTACGAAAAGACGAAGAGGATGTTGAGAGGGCTCGCAAGCGCCAAAAGCGTATTCACGACAAGGAAGTTGCAGATAAAGCTGCTGGAATCACGGATTCTGTTTCCGAGTCCAAAAAGGCCGACAACAAGAAGGATTCCGAGAAGAAGAAGGACGGCCCATCAAAGGATGGAGATACCGAGATGGAAGATGTTGTTTACAAGACTGACGCAGAGGTTGATGCTGAGCGTTCCGCGGCTGTTCTCGAGGCCAAGAAGGAATTACATGCCATGATCAACCCAGAACTCTTGAAAGACGAAGGCAACAACAAATCCGGCCTGTACGAACTTCGCGGCATCGTAACACATCAGGGAGCCAGTGCAGATAGCGGTCATTACACTGCTTACGTCAAGAAACTCGGTCCATTGGATCCCAAAACTGGAAAGCGCGGCGAGGAGGATGGAAACTGGTGGTGGTTTAACGACGACAAGGTTTCCGAGGTGGAGTCGGAGAAGATTGCTACGCTCGCTGGTGGTGGCGAGTCGCACTCTGCTTTGATTCTTCTGTACCGTGCGCTTCCGATGCCGACTGCTGATGGTCTTGCGGATTTGTAGAAGTGGCGACTGGCGGCGTTTCCTTGGCATGATGGATGATGGGCTGGGCTGAGGCGGGGGTTCGGGGAGGGGAAAAGCGATGATGGGTTACGAATTACAGGACCAGATAGGTTTTTACGCTGTGAATGAGGACAAGAATTAGACTATCAAGTGACGATACCATGGCCATGATATTTGTATTTGTGTCTTCTGCTTTTCTATGAATGTGTAATATGTATAAAAATGTACCCAAACCCAAACCACCGCCTCCGTCTCAAGAAACGGCAAACCCAATCATGAAAATATTGAAACGAAAACGAACGCATTGTGTTTTTCCTGCTTCTCAAGTTTTCAGCCCAAGCTCTGGAATTCCAGCTCTTGTGTACTATCTCACTATGTGCTTAATAAGCATGTAAGAACAAGACAAGCTTGTTTCCATTGTAACTGAGGAGCCCTCGGGGTCCCACCAGCCCTGTGTCTCTCTCGCTTATTTCCTAGTAAGACATAGCCTACGCAGCTGTGGTACTGTAGCCTACCTCGCCTCGCCAGCATCACACCCTCTTACCCTTTACATTCGTACAACCTTATTCCCAAATCACAATCCACGAAAACCCCCTCACTAGCCGGAAAACACAAAACCCGAAGGGCGGCGAAGGAAGAAAATCGATAAAAGAAACTCCCCCGTTAATAAAAAACAATCATAATCTACCTACCTACCTACCTACCCTACAGCCACGTAAACACACGCATAAAAATGCTCTTAAAAACAAGCCCAATTCATCCATCCCATCTAACAAAAACGCCATACTCTAAACCATGCCTTTTCATAACTCATAACCACCATTTCAACAAACCTCTAAGTATCCAAACCCCTCCTTTCAAACTCCCTTAATTCCTCTCCGTCACACATTCCCCCTCTCCACTCTCCTCGGCGCCCTCAGCTCCGGCGAACCAGACCCATCCAAATACCTGAACCCTGCACTCGGGATCCTCCCTCTCCCATTCCCTTCCTCTCTCCTATTTGACCCACAACAAAATTCCGTACACTCATCCCAATTGCACCCACAATACTCAATGAGACAGCATTCAAATGAATTCATCAACGCATGACCGACCATTTCGATAGCACGGTTCGTTTTACACGTCCAACACCATCGACTCTTTTCGCCGTTAGAATGGTTTGCGGCGTCGAATGGGGATGAAGACATGAGGTTTTCTGTCGAAGGGTTCCCGATGTCGAGGTTCCCGGGGAAGATGGAGGTTGGTCGTATGGGGGAATTGGTTGGTGGAGTATTTGTGGTTCTAAGGGATGTTGGGGTGGCATATTCTTGTGGGCTTTGAATAGAGCTCGGGGATCCTCCTAGTAAGGGGGCGCTAGAAAATGGAGAGCGTGGTGTGTAAGGAGGAGGTGGCGCAGAAGGAGTTCGAAATCTTCGAAGTTTCCTAAGGCTGATTCGTCTAGATCTTCCATGGGGGCAAGTGACTTGAGGTTCTCGATTTTCAGGCATCGGTACGGCTTGCATTTGTGGAACTGGTTCCAATTGAATCACAGTGTTTGGGATGACTGCAGAGGAGCTGGTAGGTTCAGTTGCGGTTCTGACAAGATTGAGTCCCAAGTCCCGAGCTGTTGCGGGAGGGGTAAATCGAACCCTTTGTGCTAATCTTTTGCGTTTGGTGTTTGGCATTGTCGGAGGAATTGTCAGGGCTTGAGGAGGAACTCCTGCGATAGGAGCTCGAGTGAAAGGATGTGAATCGATAGTTGCATATGAACTTCTTGGTGGTCGAAATCGTGGTGGTAATCGACCTTGTATGCCGCCTTGCACTCTAGCAGGTGATTGCTGGGTATTGCATAAAGGTGAGTTGCCTGAAGATATTGTTGAGTTTGGTGAGTTGGAAAATCCAAACCATCTTCGGAAACGACTTGCTTCTTGGTTGTTGGCACGACGTCTGGGAGCTGCAAGTAGGATTTGACCATCTGTCCAAGATGGCATTCCTGGTGGTGTTGAGGGCCTAGCAGGTGGCGCATGAGGAGGTGCCCTTGGTTGTGCGTATATTTCGTGTATCGACTGAGTTGGACTGCCTTCGTTGACATCGATTGTGGTACAAGCATCATGGTATGCTGATTTTATGAGGGCAACATCGTCACAACTGAAGGATTGCTTTCGGCGTGGGACCTTGGAAACACAAAAACTGTCATGATGGGTGAGAGACTTGGTCGGGCACAAATGGTCGACAGACTTTGTGCGTGTGATAGATCTCATAGTGAGGTTACTCTTTTGTTCCGTAATGGTCGTCAGCATTGTGCCCTGGCCGTAGAGAAATGGAACGTCTGGTATGACAATGGATGGCATTTTGTCTTCTCGTGCCTTGGTATTTTCTTCTGCTGCTGCTTTTTGTGCTGCTGAAACAGGTTCCTGTCTGTTGCTATTCTCATCACTGACTGAAAAATATGAGGCATTGAATATCGAATCGTGGGGGCTCCCGAGGTCTTCTGATGAGGTCCGCAGGACAAACGAGCCTTTATGCCGGAGCTGTTTCTTCGACATGGTTGAGTTGGGAGATTGGGTTCTGGGGAGGAGTGGTTGACGTGAGGCGCTCGAAATAGCAAGTGGCTCTGCTGCAGAGCTGGCCGTTGCCATCTCGAATATCAAAGGTAAAGAAAGTTGGTATATAGATCAAGGATCAGAGAATACTTCCAAAATGGAAACAATGTTTGGCTCGTTGCCACAAAGCTTTGGCAAAAATATTCGTTGAATTGTTCAGGTCAAAAATGATGAAGAGAAGAGAAAGATATAAAGATCCTGAATTCGGAAAAGGAAGGAACGACTAGTGGTACAGATACAGGTACCGAGAGTTCTTACTTTTAGTATTGGTGTTCTACAAACCATCGCCCCTTCCCCTTATGACAACGCCATCGCTATGATACCCATGGATAGGTATACCCATACCTATCAAAAACCTGCAATTACACCTGCACCCACATTAACTAAGATGTATCAATCCCCTCTGCCGTAAGCGCCTTTTTATACTCCTTGGTCGCCTTGTGCAATGTTTTGATGGTCGGTTCCATCATTTCTCTCACCACTTTTCCACCGCCTCCAATCGCGCTAGAGTTCAATGGCAATTTCTTGCCCGTTCTCTCAAAATGATCTCTGATCTGCTGTTTGTGCCTTCGGATAATCTCGTCTCTTTCGGCATCGGCATCATTTGCCACAGAGTTGATGCGATCCATGGCTCTTTCCAAGGTCTCTACCATTTTCGCCAATTCACCCGCACGATCAGGGTCTCCTGAGAGAAAGACAAGCCAGAAGTGGTGGAGAAACTCTGTCGTCGTTGCGTGTGTCAACGTCAGCCTATCGAATATTTTCTGCGAGAGACCAGATAATGAAGACTGGGCATCGGACCCAATGATCTCTGTGCGGCGAGATTTCACTCCCTCTAAGATTTGGTCTTTGGCGTCGTTTAGGCTGGATTTACTGCCTACGTGTGGGACTTTTTTCTCAGGCTCTTCATCACTGTCACTGTCTTCTATAACTCCAATAGCTGAACTCAAATCTAATCCTCCACCAACTCGGTGGTTCATGTGCTGAGGATTGACGTCGAAACGCATGTTCGATAGTACCTCAGCAGGTACTTGCTTCGCATACAGAGCAGCTTCAGCAGAAACTTCCGACTTTTCATTGGCGAAAAATTGGCTTTGTTGCTTGATATTGAGCATAATCCGGTTCTCTTCAGAATCGCCTTGCAGATCCCGCAAGGCCAGAGCATTGAATGTCTCTTCGTCCATGCCAATGGGATCTGCCGGGTCGACATCCGACGGAGCAACGTTTGCCATAATCTTCTCGCTCAAGCTATTCAAGATTCGAACGATTGGTACTTTGGCTACTGAGTTTTGTCTCATGGTAAAATCAGCACGATTTCCACCTTTGCTGCCTCCTTGATTCTCTTGATTTCCCTCGAGATCAATCACATTTGGTATGTGTAAGCCCAGTAAGCGCTGAATTGGACCTATGTCTGCAGTAGCATCCAGATATCTATCAAAAGTAGGATCTGTGCCATCAGTTTCGACAATTCGCTCTCCCTTGAGTTTCTTGAATAGTCGACTCAGAAAGAATCTAGACCAGAATTCGTTTTCATGGAGTTTGGGGACATTCTCATCGTAGACACGCTTTATCAACGGATGCTGATTGAAAATGAGTTGGATTTGCTCAGCACTAATATTCATCTTGAGCTCTCCATCCACCTGTCGTGGCTTCACGGCAGACAAAACATTGTAGGAACCTTTCTTCTGGCTAGTTTCAACAGCAAAGGCTCTTAAAATGTTCGTTCGCGTAGACCAGAATTGAGAATTGAACTGGGAATTGGAAATGGTGTCTGGTTTCGTCCGTAATGCTTCCATATACGTGCCATGAAGCGAGGGGTCTTTCTTCATCAGAGATTGCTGGAGTTCTATATCGACTTTCAAGGCATTGTCATCAAACCATTTGGCCGCAACTAAGCCCTGTTTCGAGGTCACCGCGCTGGCCATTGCCATTGCTGCTGAGGCTGGAGCTGAGCCATTTGCCGTCGGCACACTGGCATCCTTTGCTTTGAGGGCACTGATCAAGTTGGTCAAGACATCTTTGACCGCATTTGCCTCGCCACGAGGATTGGATGGTGAGTTGAAATGAAACAGATGAGTGACCGCTTCCGGGGCGTCAGGTGATTTCTCAAATATCTTGAGCATCACCTTGGGGGCGGTTTCCGGGGTCTGCTGTAGATCTAAATATGCAGTTCAGTATCTTTTTTTTACAGACGAACGCCGCCAAGGGCTTCACATACTGGTGATGTCTGCAATGGCAATCGTCACCGCTTTGTCCGCCGAGGCACCCAGAGGCAGCCATTGAAGAGATTTCTCGTTTTGGGTGATGCCCAGAGTTCCATCTTTCTTCTTATAGGCGGCCGAGCCCTTGGTAATCGAGGCCATTGAGGACGGAATAAGTAGTTATGGATTATCTTGAATCCCGAGCGTGAGCGTGAGCTTGAAGTGGTGGATGGAATGGCTCTCTCATCTGGACACCAAGGCTCGCTCGCCAAGGGCGATGAAGAGCCGCCGCCGCTTGAATGTTGTCCTAACTTCTGAGCTGTTTGAAGGGCGTCCAAACGCAAGGCAAGACAAGGAAACGCAACGCAGCTCTCAAGACTCAAGCCCGGTCCCTCAGGTCCAGATTCCCTTCCGCGCACACGGTGGCAGCCCTGCCCTGAATGATCGGGACCTGATGAACGACACGTGACGCGACTGAGGTTAGCTGCAGTGGAGATTATTTGACGTTGGAGATGGTCAGGCTATGGTCTACGGGATGTTGGATGTTATTGGAGATATGAATCAGAATTCAAGCCTTACCCTGCCTTCACTAAGAAAGGAAGTGCCCTGGCCACCTCCGGGACTGGCACACAGCCAATGAGAAATGAGAAACCCCGCCCGGCCCGGTTGTCCCGACATCGGCTCTTCTCGGCCCGGTGATGACTAACGAGTTGCCGACAACCCTTGCCGCACAAGAATGCGTCCCCGCTGATTGGTTGCCGCCAAAAATACACTCGCCCGGTCATCTGGGTTTGCCTGTACTCGTGGCCATCCAAAATCTTGCGGTTTATCCTTCTGCTTCCCGCCTCTGCATCTGTATCTGCATCTTTGAAAGACTAACTCCGCCACTCCTTAGAACTCAATTCCACCAGAGCACTTCGTCTGCTCCGTGGATCTCACACCCCCTCCGCCTGCTACGACCTTGATCTTTCTCGACTGTATTGGCCGGCACAATGCTCCGAACTTCCCTACGCCAGAAGAGCAGCCAGCTCCTCAAAGCTGGCTGTTCTGCGCGAGCTCTCTGTACATCGCCCTCGACCCGAAGCCCTCTAATATTCTCCAACAACACCTCGAAAGCTCTTCATGCGTCGAAACGAAACCCATTGGCAGCTGTCTCCCAAAAGAGACGTGCTGCGGCCGTTGCCTCGGCGCCAGACCCAAATGATAACTTCCTGTCAGGAAATAGCTCAAATTACATTGATGAGATGTATATGCAATGGAAAGAGGATCCATCAAGCGTACATGTCTCATGGCAGGTCTACTTCCGCAATATGGAGAGCGGCGATATGCCAATGTCGCAAGCTTTCACCCCTCCACCAACTCTGGTACCTTCGCCCACCGGAGGCGTCGCAAGCTTTATGCCAGGCCTAGGGATGGCTGCTGGTGAGGGCTCAGATGTCACCAACCATTTGAAGGTCCAGCTGCTTGTTCGTGCATACCAAGCTCGTGGTCACCACAAAGCAAACATTGATCCTTTGGGCATCCGGCGCGAGGCGGAAGAGTTTGGATATAGCAACCCAAAAGAGTTGAGACTCGAGCATTACCAGTTCACCGAAAAAGATCTTGATACCGAATACACTCTTGGCCCTGGAATTCTGCCCCGATTTAAGAAGGATGGGCGAGAGAAGATGACTCTGCGCGATATTATTGCCGCATGTGAGCGCATTTACTGTGGTTCATATGGTGTCGAGTACATTCATATCCCAGACAGAGAACAATGCGATTGGCTCCGTGAGCGCGTCGAGGTGGAGACACCTTTCAAGTACTCAATTGACGAGAAGCGACGAATCCTCGATCGATTAATCTGGAGTTCGAGTTTCGAACTTTTCTCCGCCACTAAATACCCCAATGATAAGCGATTCGGTTTGGAAGGTTGCGAGACCTTGGTTCCAGGAATGAAAGCCTTGATCGATAGAAGTGTGGACTATGGTGTTAAAGATATCGTTATTGGTATGCCTCATCGTGGTCGTCTTAATGTCCTCAGTAACGTTGTCCGCAAACCAAACGAGTCCATTTTTAGCGAGTTTGGGGGTTCTGCCGCAGCCGAGGACGAGGGATCTGGTGATGTCAAATACCATCTGGGAATGAACTTCGAGAGACCCACTCCATCCGGAAAGCGGGTGCAGCTCTCCTTGGTCGCCAATCCTTCCCATTTGGAGGCAGAAGACCCAGTCGTTTTGGGCAAGACCAGAGCCATTCAACATTACAACGATGACGAGAAATCTCACAAGACTGCCATGGGTGTTCTCCTCCACGGTGATGCAGCTTTCGCAGCCCAGGGTGTTGTCTATGAGTGTTTGGGATTCCACGCTTTACCAGCCTACTCAACTGGTGGTACCATCCATTTGGTCGTGAACAACCAAATTGGTTTCACCACAGATCCTCGTTTCGCTCGTTCCACGGCCTACTGTACTGATATTGCCAAGTCCATTGATGCCCCAGTCTTTCACGTCAATGCTGATGATGTCGAGGCTGTCAACTATGTTTGCCAACTTGCCGCTGATTGGCGTGCTGAATTCCGAAAGGATGTTGTCATCGATCTTGTCTGCTATCGTAAACACGGTCACAACGAGACTGATCAACCTTCTTTCACTCAACCACTCATGTACAAGAAGATTCAATCACATGAGTCTCAAATTGATATTTACATCAATCAGTTATTGAAGGATGGTAGCTTTACCAAGGAGGATATCGAGGAGCACCGCAAATGGGTTTGGGGCATGTTGGAAGAGAGCTTCGCCAAGAGCAAAGATTATCAACCAACATCCAAGGAATGGACCACTTCCGCTTGGAATGGCTTCAAGTCACCAAAGGAATTGGCTGCAGAGGTTCTTCCTCACAACCCAACCGGTGTTGCTGTCAAAACTCTTGAGCACATTGGTACAACTATTGGCTCTACTCCAGAAGGCTTCAATGTCCACCGTAACTTAAAACGTATCCTCGCAAACCGTGTCAAGACAGTAAACGAAGGCACCAACATCGATTGGTCAACCGCTGAGGCACTTGCTTTTGGCTCATTGGTTAGCGAGGGACACCACGTACGAGTTTCTGGTCAAGATGTTGAGCGTGGAACCTTCTCGCAAAGGCATGCAGTTTTCCATGACCAGGAGAATGAGAAGACATATACGCCACTTCAGCACGTCAGCAGGGACCAAGGCAAATTTGTCATTGCCAACTCTTCCTTGAGTGAATTTGGAGCCCTTGGGTTTGAGTATGGTTACTCCCTTTCATCTCCTAACGCGCTTGTCATGTGGGAGGCCCAGTTTGGTGACTTCGCCAACAACGCCCAATGTATCATTGATCAATTCGTCGCTTCCGGTGAAGTCAAATGGATGCAAAGATCTGGTCTTATCATGTCGTTGCCCCACGGATATGATGGACAGGGACCTGAGCATTCTTCTGGACGTATGGAAAGATATCTCCAATTGAGTAACGAAGACCCACGTGTTTTCCCAGCACCTGAGAAGCTCGACCGTCAGCACCAAGACTGCAACATGCAGATTGCGTATATGACCGAACCTTCAAACTTGTTCCATATCTTGCGTAGACAGATGAACCGACAGTTCAGAAAGCGTAAGTTGATTCCCTCTTATTTCCGTCTAACATCTTTCTAACACTGCATAGCTCTCATCCTTTTCTTCTCCAAATCTCTCCTCAGACATCCTCTCGCACGATCGCCAATTGAGGAGTTCACTGGTGATTCCCAATTCAGATGGATCATCCCTGACCCAGAACACGGCAAGAGCATCGTCGAGCCAGAGCAGGTTGAACGTGTAATTATCTGCACGGGACAAGTCTACGTCGCACTCCACAAGCACCGTGCCGACAAGGGTATCAAGGATACCGCCATCACTCGAATTGAACAGTTGAACCCATTCCCATGGCAACAACTCAAGGAGAACCTCGACATGTACCCCAACGCCAAGACTATAGTTTGGTGTCAAGAGGAGCCTCTTAACGCCGGAGCTTGGTCCTTTACTCAACCTAGAATCGAGACTCTCTTGAACCAGACTCAGCATCACGACCGCAAGCACGTTATGTATGCTGGACGAAACCCAAGTGCCAGTGTGGCCACGGGATTGAAGAGCAGCCATACTAAGGAGGAGGCTGAGCTTTTGGAGACTGCTTTTACTGTCACCCAGGATAAGCTTAAGGGGGAGTAAATGGTGATTGAATAGAAGGTCAATGTAGAAAGGGGCTGTAAGTGTGTAATGATCGGGGGATTTCTGGTGTTCTTTGGGCCGCGTGTAGAAAAGATGTGGGAGAAGGGAGAAGGGGGTTTTTTGCATGGAAGGGAGAGGAGGAAGAGGATGGGAGGACAGTGGGGTTGACGATTGATGGCGAGGGGTTATAGAAGCCCGTAGTCTAGATTAGCTACTTCCTTGTATTATTGTACAGCTTTTTTGTTATCTCTCTTGGGTTTTGTTTGTCCATCTACTTTTTTGGGCATGTGCTTGTTTGTCTGTTTTGAATGGTTGTAATCTCCCTGTGTGAGAAGAGAGAATATATATTTACACCTACTCTGTTTTTGATTTGGAAAGAAATTTGCTGGGGGGTGAGATGTGCTTGAGATTGAACGTCACTGGCGGTACAGGGGTCTGGAGTCAGTGTGTGACCGGGTGGAATATATATACACAAATAAACCTAGAGATATCAAGATAATACAGTGTAAGATTGCTGTTTTAAAGTCTAGAATAGAAGTGGTAGAAGTGATGTCTCTATCGTACAATACTAATAGTAGGGACCGTAACACGTGTTGCGATATCAAACCTGATTTGACATACCTAGCTAGGTACTAGGGTAAGCGAAGACTCAATAGACATTGATGCAGGCGGGTCGAAAAGGGAATGGTCGAAATATGAGCTTGTAAGTATGAACTGGCACACTTGAAGAGCCAGTTGGATAGAGGTATCCACGCTTAGAATTCTTCATAACCATGTATTATATTCTTCGCAATCTATCCCCGGGTATCCGAATCCGAACTAAAAACTCCCAGCTATGCACCGAACCCTCTCAGGTCATAATAACTCAATCATCATCCTTCGAACTCTTCTCCTTCCCCTTCTTAGTATCATCATCTTTCTGATCATCCTCACTCTTCCCTTTCTTATCTTTATCACGTTCTTCCTTCAACGCATCATGAACCACCTCGCTTCCCTCGTCTTCTCGTTCATTCCACTCGACATCGTACTCATCAGCGATGATCTTGATCTCCTTGCGTAGCGAATTTGCTTCTTCGATCATGGATTCCCATTTTTGCAGATCGAAGCCACGGGCTTGGTAGAGAGTGTTTTGACGCCGGGAAACGGTCAGGTTGAGAGCCGACCGATAGGAGACTTCTCGGTTGTGGTAGAGGAACCAGAGGTAGCCGAGCATGATGGTTGAGAGACCTGCTAGGTAGGTTATTGGTTCCATAGTATCCTGTCAGATTAACATATTTAGCTTGTTTCTTGCCGAAAAATTGTATGATCATTTTGAAATGTGTGGTGTAGTCCAACTTACCCAACCATAATTCGTCTGAAAAGTAAAGTAATAACACCCTCCCCACCACGCGGCCAAAACCCCAAATCCACCCGTAGCCAGTCTCTGCGCACTCTTGTGTGCAAGGTGATCACATTCCTTCTTCACACTCGCCAGATCCGCAAGCTTCCGGGATGTTTTCCGCAGACGGACTCGCAAGTAATGCGTCCGATCATTAAACGACGGAACCCCAACTCTTATCTCTTTTGAGGCGCCCTCAATTTCTACTGCGAATTCCGCCCCTCGTGCAGCATCCCGAATGAAATCTCCTATTTCCGTAGACGAGGACCACCGCACAAACTTTGGGTCTTTTTCAGCGGCTTCCCCCTCCCTCCCTTGTCCAGAATATGATTCTACCCCGCCTTCTCCAGGCCCACCTCTCAGTCCTGTCCGCATTTCTACACGTTTGTCTTTTATCGAGGACTTCTTGGAGGCATTCTTCTCCTTGATCTTGCCGAGCTTCATGACTTTTCCGTCAACCAGTTGCTCATCCGTACCTTCCTCGTCTGCTTCACTATCTTGCCGACGATCGGGCTTGATCTCATCTTCTGCACTGTCTTCTGCGCGGAAATACACATCTGGGATTTTCTCCTTGCCGTCTTTTCCGCGGATCATGGGCAGCTCGGATTGAATGAGGCGTTCCAGGTAGGAGAGGGGTTGTTGGGGGTGCACGAGTAGGGCGAGTGGTTCGATGGATTTCCTGTCCGAGTTTTTGTCGAGGGTTGTAAGGGGGAGAATTAGTTTTAAGAGGCGTGAGGGAGTGGTCAGGAGTTTGCCTATAGGTGTACCGAACGTTGTTAGACGAGCTTGAAGGGGGGAGGTTATTTGTAGCGAAGTGAAAGGGTGAACTAACCTTTTGTCATTGCACCGGCACTGCGATCCCTTCTTACGGGGGGCTGATCTGCTCCTTCTCTATGCCATGGCGTCCTTGCCTGGAGCTCCTTTTCTTCGTTGATGGCATTGTCGATTTGGTGGTTGAAGCTATCGTCGGTTTTGTCTTGACCCTGACCCTGCCCCTCGACATTCTCTTCTAAGCCTTTCTTGCTTAAGTCTTTGGCTTCCTTGGTACTTTTTGTTTTCTCGAAAAGTACTCTTCCTGATGAGAAGGCTCGATGTGAAAGAGGGGAGAATTGAGGAGAGAATCGACCAGGTTGTGATTGCTGTAATTGAAGCTTGTCGAAGACATGGAAGTTGGGGATACGAGTATGTGATGGTGACGCTCTCGGCAAGACCCGAAGAACCCCCTTCATACTTGGCGGGATATCCTGGAGATTGGACAGAGAATATCGAGACTACAAAGTCTTACATTTGTTATCAGGTATTGACATTTTGTGAAGGTATCTTGATGTGTTTTGTCTATTCGTTGTTCTGTTACATTCACTGTCACCCGTAACTTGTTCGCTGAGACCTTCCACCCTACGTCATATTCGAGTACTGTAAATAGCAAAAATAGAGGTGTTCCTAACAGCTGGATATCACGTGCTTGTATCACGTGGAAATCTACGGATTATGGTCACGCGGTATTATAGGTCACTTATATAAATTCATTGTGCACAAGTCTTTCCACGAAGGTATTTTTTGTATTCTACTCAGAATATTCTTCTTGAGATAAACGTGAACAACCTCCATCGAGAAAGGACGCTTCTCCGAGGATTAATTTGTTTACTACGCCTTTGCCGCGTGCCAGTTGGAAACTGTAAATCCAAGTCACATACGAAGTAAAGGAAAAGTCAACCATTTGCTTAGTTCTTGAGTAAGAGGCAGCGGGAAAATTCAAATTGGTTTAGTCATAGGCGTGCGTTCGTCCATCATCCCCTTCACTCCACGCTGTCTTCTTCTGTCTCCGGTTATCGCTCTGGAACCTCACACTCTTGGAGCAAATTTCTTCAACCATCAAGAAAAAAAGGGCAAGAAGCGGAGAGATAATGCAAGCAAGTAGTTAGGAGCTGAAGGAAATTTTTCTCGTGCTGTGGGTAACTGACTGAATTTTGCATTTTTTTTTAGGAAGGCGGAAACCATTTTTACTCTCTCGTCTTCGTTTTCTCGGTTAGCGAGCTTCCCGCTCGCTGCTATTCTCGCTCGAACCCTTTGACCCTTGCGCGTCGAGATCTTTTTGTAAAAGTACCGGTAGAGAACGAGACGAAACGAATTGCGTCGCTTGTCGAGAGATGAAATTCAAGAGCCACGAAGAGATTCTTCAAACAAGACATTACAAGCGAATGCACTTTTACAGCTGACTCGCTAAGGGTATTTATGTTGGTCATTCAATAAGGGGGTAATAAACGCCAGCCTGGCCACGATTTTGTCTGCTAAAGTCTTTCAGGCGAATCTTAACGCAGGTGTCGTTGTGTATAAGAAAATTTTGAAAGCCATGTATGAATTTGGAAAGTATATACAAGAAGCGTTCTCCATTCAATGCTCTATCTGACGTTAGCATCACTTGCAATAACGCATATATTGCCATCACGACCAGTTTTCGACTTCCTAGGCTCCTTTTGAGGACCAACACCTTCAAACCGTGTGCACACTTACCCGACGCTGGTGAGCTTGGAGTTGTTATTGGTGGCGGTGTCTCCGGGGTTCGGTTGATTCCAACCAGCACTTTGCCATTCGTGGCACTGATGCCGCTCAACTTGACGTGCCGAGTAAAGTCGCCATCGTAGTTTTCACATGCTCTGTAAAACTTGCCACGGTTGATGCAGGTGATATCAGAAACATCTAGTTCCAGCGCCATTGTATTGAATGATTGCGACTTTTCGGTGTCAGCATTGCCATATTTAATGTTGCTAGGAATATGGAAGGCCAGGATGCCAGAAGAGCTGTATTCGGATGACTAGGGAGCTAAGTACGTGGGCAGGAGTCTGGCTTATATGGCCCTGAAATATGCCCCTCCTTTGTTGTACACTCCTGTTCCGATATTTATGTAGGTTCCGTGCGGTGGAAACCACTGGTCAGCATAATCCTGACAACATTTAATGAAGGCATGAGAGTTCACAAGAGACATCTGAGGAAGGACTTTGCCTCGACGGGAAACATTGTTCATTCATACTGGAACCAAGTTGACAGAGGAAGAAATCCCCTTTTTGCAGCACTGAAAACTCCCCCGCCAGTAATATTTGTAGTGACAGTGGCCTCTTGTACTGTAAGATTACATTTACAGTGTAAGTATTTACACATACAGCTGCCCACTGAACGTTCGTAGGAGTGATTTACCAGCGCCTTGCCAATAAACCCCATCTTCCTGGTTAAGTCCGATGATTACATTGGAGAGAGATGCGCCTTCTTGGAAGCTGGATACTGCATCCATCCCCCTAAACTTGCCCTCTGTACATCGTGTGCCACGGTCGAATTGAAACATTCCCCCATCAAATGATTTTCCTAGAGCGATGGTCTTAGTGGCAGCGAGGACAGAAGTACCAGATCGTTTGGAGAGACCCGGACCAGATCTGAGTCTATCTTCTGGTGGCTTCAAGCCTTTTGGCGTTGTTGTTGTTGTAGTGAGTGGTTTGCTGTATGAGGCCGCGGAGAAGGTAGCTTCGCCTTTGGACTTACTTTTGGCTTGGATGGAGATCCTGGATTCCAGGAGACACTTTTCCGGTTAGTGAAGGGGATAGTTTCCCCTTGTTATACGAGTTTCTTTCCCCTTCACTGAAGCTTGAGCCGCCGTACTTTTTCGAATCTCCATCGTTCTTGCAATCTTTGGAATCTGGATTATTCTTGCAGTCTATGGAGTCTTTAGAATCTTTAGAGTGTTGTGTATCTCTAAAGTGTTCGGAATCTTTAAAGTCCTTGGGTATCTTTATAGCCTCCGAAACCTTCGAAGTCTTTATAATCTTTGGATCTCCGTCCTTGGAAGTTCCTTTGTCAGTTGGGTTTCCACCTTTCTTATCATTTATCATCTCCGAACAGTGTTTGAAACCCAAGTAGTTAAAGTAAATAGAGGCACCTACTCAACTTAAATTGAGTAGCGATTATTGTAACTTTATTTAACCCGCCTAGTATTTGAATTAGCTTGATTATCATCGAAGTAGAGCGGAATAAGTTAGCCCGAGTCCTTGTAGAGCGCCCGGGGTGCTCTTGCCGGCTAGCTCGATCGAGTTAATTTAGGCGACTCCCTTTCTAGGCTAAATACCATGCCTTATTAGTAATAGTAAAGTAGTAAAGTAGGTTTATAACCAGTTATTACATGTCTATAGAATGTTGGAATATGGAAGGTCAGGGTGCCAGGAGAGTTGTATTCAAATGACTAGTGAGCTTAGTACGTACTGTGGGCAGGAGCCTGGCTTATATGGCCCTGGCATATGCCCCTCCTTTGTTGTAAAGGGTCTGGACAGCTCAGGTCTCCCCCCCCTTCTTGTCACTTTCTGATATACCTCCACATGAATCGGACGATTCAATTGGCTTAGAGGGCTATATTGTAGAGTTGTAGCCTGCCTATAACAAGTGGTATACAGGGGAGGGGCGACGCGAGCTGTTCATACCCTTTACACTCCTGTTCCATCCATGCACACAGGTTCCGCGCCGTGGAAACCACTGGTAAGCATAATCCTGACAACATAGAACAAAGAGATAATAGTATGATTATAGAAGTACTTAGAAAAGTCTTTCCAAGTAAAACACTATTTCTTGTAGATTACTTAAGTAGTATTTAAGTAGTCGAATCTACCACTTAGCTCAGGCTTCCCACTCCCCCGTATGCTACTTGTTATAAGCAGGGTAAAACCATAAAATATAACCGTCCAGGCCGATTGAATTGTCCGATTCATGTGGAGGTGAATTTATATCAGAAGGTGACAGGGGGCGGGGGACGCGAGCTGTCCAGACCCTTTACTTACATTCAACTCAGCTTAGCTGAAGTGGTGATTGAGTTTGATTGAGCAGTTTATCAGTTCTTTCAAATGCTGTCTCCGCTCGAGTTGTCTAGCCACCACCTCGACCAGTCTTCATTGATTGAGCCTTCGTCGTGATTTGGTTGTGAAACTGCAGTGTATTTATTGTTCTGCCCTTACTTCAAGTGTATCAGATTTAGGACATGATTCTCCGTTACAACCCTGGAATACAAGACCAAACCTCTTCCTAGAAGCCGCTGATACACCAAGTGTGAAAGCGACACCAAGGAGGTTGAAGCTTGAGGATTTCATTGGGAATGCTAATCGGGAAGCATTTGTTTGAATGGGTTCAGCTATGCTCAGAAAATGATCGAAGGCATGAAGTGCTCGCAGAGCCTCAAAGAGAAAGGAATAAAAAAGTTGAAATCGGTGTAGAAAGAAAGAAACTTGCTTTCCAGAAGTATTGACCCAAAGCAATACTCCACTACATTGGTTTCCGTGTACAAGTCTTCGCCAATATCCAACATTAGGCTCACCTCAGGCAAAGCGTTGCCGTATTTGAGAAAATTTAGAACAATTGACTCAGCTATGCGGGTTGCTCAAATTTTCTTCTACTTTTCTTGGGTCAACTAAAAGGAGAGCCTTGACGACTTCAGTACAATTCCTTTTTATAGGTGTACCTGGAGCGATAACTAGTATTCTCAAATGTATTTTGCGAGTCTGATGTTGGAGCCATGGGACGACGGAAACAATAGTTTTAGAAATTATCCGTATGCTTAGAGATAATTGGTTACCTAATCTGCAATGGGAGCTCCGTACGCAAGTAAGAAACATGGGGAATGTTCCCAGGATGAACTATGCACATCCCCCACAATTAAGTCAAAGTTTCGGACGTTTTGTTTCATCCCAACTAGGTGAACGTTGGCCCACACTCCAGACGCAGACAGCTCATGCTGGTTATAATAGAGCTACGGGTATTTCCCATAAGCATACCCATGTTTTTAACCGCGTGCTCCGTCTGTACCTTTCCATGAATGTTTCGCATAAGAAGTTCGTTTCTTCAAAACACCAACCCGTCCGACATGATCACCCGCGTGCATGACCGCGCATTCGGGCCATCTTGGCAACGTCCGTCATCCCATCTCAAGCCAAGCTAACCTGGCGATGGATAGGGCAGGTTTACCGGTAGCTGTGGACATGGTGCTCCGTTTTGAAAAGTGACCATGAGAATTTTGAAACGACCCGGATCCTAATATTTACAGCTCTACGCAAATGCGGAAGCTCCGTGTAAAATCGAAGCTTACTTACCCTTACACTTGTCATCTGTTACACTTATCCCAACTTCCATCTGATTTTGCGCCTCTCTCACATAGAGGCTCATACTGTAAGGTCGTTTGCAGTAACTTTCAATGTCCACCGCGATCTTGAAACTCTCAAACCTCGGGATATGGCATCGCCAAGTACGTTTCATGCTTGGCGCCGAGTTGCTAGAAAGTCTAAATTGGGCGATGCTAAGATCAAGGAGAGACGTTGTAGATCGTTGTATATAAAAGTATCAAGAAAGTCTAAACATTTCCTGACATTCGACAGTGCTTCTAGAAAGGACATATCCCCAAGATAGCTTCGAAATGGATCAGAAGGGTGAGAATACAATGGCGTATTTATTGTTATAATTGTCTAGGACAATACGTAATCGTAACAAAGCTTCGACTGATCAAAACCATTCGTGGAACGTCAAATTAGATTGGAAGTAAGTATTTCAAAAATCCATAGTGATTAACGAAGAGAGCTATTGACTGCTACTTTTCAGCTTTGCGACAAGTAAAGTTCTCAACATCGCAAAAAACTCTGACGCGTACCTGGGGACCTTAGAATAGATCGCAATAGAAAAGGCTATAATTTAGAGTAGAGGTGATTCAAGGTCACCCGCGAAGAAGTACAAAGATAATTCTTGCACGTTGAACACTTCTGAATCTTTTAATAGCTAAGAATGGTAAAACGCTTGGATAAAGTGCACAAGGACGCGGCTTGGCGCTTGGTTTTCCTTGTCTCTGTGGCCAGCAATACGAGCGGAGTAGATCTTGGAACTCGAAACCTTTTCCGCAAGGGGTCGTAGCCAGGACAGCGAGGATCTACAGTATCGGTACTGTACGCCGGAAGCAGAACAGCATTCGCCCCATCTCTTCAAGAGACATGTGGCATTTGAGGACTCCTGCAGTCCCAATGAAGATTATAGAATCTGCTGCGGGTCGGATGCTTGCGATACGTAGGCACAATTGATGAGACCACCCTATGTCTAGAGACACGTGATTAACATTAATCGGACCACCACGCTTTGATTCTTGCAAGCGTCTTTTCACTGCTCTGCTCAGGTCCCATTGAACTGTAAATATGCTTGCTTAGTTTACATAACAAAAGGTATCTAACTCAGGTTTGAGCGGTGTGTTATACGGCACTTACCAAGTCACAAAGCAAAGGCAAGAAACGATATGCCGCAACGCACCCTCTGAGTAGAAGAAAGCTGATCAGTGGCCTAATACCGTACATGTGAATAGAACCGGGAGTTTCATAACCGCGGCTGAATGAGAGCGTTGTGTTGACATACGCAATACGTAGCTCATCAAAGTCAGGGAAAGCAAACTCGTGTTTCAGTCGGCCAGTAACTCTTGAGATGTCTCGACCGATAGATGGTGGCAATTGCCGGCGAGCTGGAGATCTGGAGACCGGGAGATAGGATAGTTCAAGAAACATTGACTGTCTTATAAGAAAGTGTTGCAGGTTACTTTAGATATGAGAATGGCGACATGGTGATCGAATGAAATACCGTATATTGGCGATATTCTCCGTCCAAAGTGCCATGAGTGGCTATGAGTGACAAATACGCAAAGCTTGATTTATGGACACGCGCTTAGTGATGGTTATCTGGAGGAGGTTGGTGTGTATAGGAGGTCAGAAAAAAGGGGGGTTTGGCTGTAGGCCGCATGATATATTAGGCAACAGGATTATAAGCGAGCCCCTAAGCCTAGTGCAGATTTAGCGTATAAATCGGCTCCCCGCCAGTTTGAGCCTGGGAAGCCTGAAAAGGCTCCAGCCGCGAGCGAGCGACGCTTTCTTTCATCACACCCCTCCGAACCGAACCAACCCCTCATATTCAACACTGGCGCCAATTTTCTCGCTGAATTTCCAAAGCGGAATTTCATGCTTCCACGGTAGTACAACTAAAAGCTGGCAGATGGCATCGTGTCCAGAATGTCGCCAGAAGCCAGCGAATCCAAACCAAGCACCGGCCGGAGAACCGTCTGTGATCATTGCAGAAGACGTCGTAAGTATACACAACACCACATCCAACCTCATATCCATCTCCAAATCCAATTCCAATCCCCCTGTGTGGCTACCGCCGTGCACAGCTCTTGCTCATCTTCAGCAGCTGTGCGTACCGCCATCTCCAGAATCCATTATCTTCGATTTTAAGCACTAATCACGAGATAGGCATTCGATGTGATGGCGAGTTTCCCTGTGCACCTTGCCGGAATGCCTCTCTGAGCTGCAAAAGAGATCATATTCCCAAACGGAGAGGTCCCAAACGCGGGACGGGCAGAGTCATCAATGAACTCAGAGCCGACGATGGGAAACCAAACTTGAAGACGCAATCAAGTGGAGGATCCGCCACTGGAAGTCAGAGTACAGGCACCCCCTCGTAAGTGATTCCCCTTATTTTCTAATATATGTCTTATGTTCTCAGTGAGGATACTCATTGAGAAATTGGCGAGATCTCGTACCTACCAATCGGCTGCTCGTCCTATTTTATCATGCCTTCTTTGTCGGTCTTTTTCCAAATTCACACTCAAAACTTCTCGTTTGTTTGGAAAGACCAAGCAAATACTCTGTCATGGTCTTGTCTGACTTGTCAACTGGTCGGCCAATTTGGAAAAGTTTGACCGATATCCGTTGAAAACTGCTAGGAACAGTCGAAACCTAAAAGACACACAGTGGAGCCCTCCTTGGGTATTGACCACGTGATACACCTCGGATTCCATTGTTTACCGTCTCACAATTCCACCCCTATAATATTCCTATTGCCCAACTAGCCATCAAAAAAGCCTGTTTTCATTCTTTTGGCCCCCAAGAGTACTAACATTTCCGCAGCATCGATAGGTGGCTCTCAGAAAGTGCCGATGAGCATGCCTCCCCAACTGGCCAGAAAAGATGGCATCCCAATTTATCGGACGTGGCAGAGCCCACAGATGAGCCAGCTGGGATTTTCACTACCGACCAATTTCGTCCTACATCTGCTAGCTATCTTCATCTTGTTCCAACGTGTATTGATCTCTTTATGGAGCATATATACCCGATAATGCCAATCATATATATCTCCACTCTGCGCGCTTCCATCACTCGACCACTCGAAACACCCGAGAAGAATCTGTTATACTCTCTTTGTGCTCTTACTTCTATGCATATGTCTGGAAAAAGTATTGTTGCACCTGGACCTCCTTCGTGGGAAGCAGCTGGCCGGTTTTTTCTCGACGAGTGCATTTCAGTTCGACAGTCTTATGATTTCGTCGAGGATAAATCCTTGGGGGCTGTCATTTCTTCATTTTTTGTATCAACGGCTTTCTTCGAACTTAACCAATCTCGCAAATCTTGGTATTATCTTAGAGAAGCATTGACGATGGGTCAGGACCTGGGTCTGCATGACGAAAAAACCTACATTGGTTTGTCTCCTGCAGAGTCGCTTTGTCGGAGAAGGACATTCTGGATTTTATATGTCACTGAAAGGTAATGAAGAAAGCTCTATATGTGCCAGAAGTCTCTAACAAGTCCTAGATCATTTGCGATTTTACGCCATAAGCCCCTCACTCTTCAAAAGACACCCGATTTTCCAACCACCCTCCATGAGTATGAAGCACCGGAGATCCACTCGGGTTTCATGCATCTGGTACATTCCTACCATCTTCTAGATTGTTCGTTCGTAGATTCTTGGAACGAAGCGTCTGCAAAGCCTGGCTGCGAAACAACCTACACTGACCTGCAGAGGCAGCTTAACCTTCCACATCCGGCACATATATCTTTGACCGACATCCAGAAGGCCGACATCCTTGTAACGAAACAATGGCTTCGATTGATAGTATGGCAATCTTCAATGAGACAAGGCCTTCTTTCCTCGAATGCCGAGGAGGAGAGTATGACTTTCCGTTACCCGCTGAAGATCGCGCATTCTCTCCTAGACGTCATATCATCACTTCCTACAAAAAGCATCGAAGTTCACGGAATGGGAATCTTCGAGAAAATATTCGAGATTGGCAATACGATGGTAGATGTTATGCAAGCCTGTGGAATGAATATTACGAGTAGCAACTATGGTGTTACGCAGGATCCACTTTCAATTTTTGTTAAAACGCTCAGCCAATCCCCCAACTCTCAAAGACAGTACGCTAGCCTCCTTCTCGCTAAAGCAGCCGAAAAGCCGGAAATTCAAAGATTTTCACAACCCTTGACAGCTCCTCTTCCGGACCCCGGAATTATACCACAATCCCACGATGGGCTTCCCGACCCGAGTCTTGAGCCGCAGCCTCCTCCAGTACCGCAGTGGCGTGGTAGTATAGTTGGCGAGATTGCTGATGAAGGGGGTTATGAGGGTGCTCCGCGAAGTAATGTGGCGTGGAATGAGAATTCTAATTGGGTCCCTGACCCCAATGAAAATGTGGAAATTCCGGAAAATCCAATTGTTTTTAAGATGGAATGACATGATATATGCCCCTGTCTCTCGCATTTATTTCCTTTTAGATACCATTCATATCTTACACTCTGTCGTTATTATTTCCTAGAGTCGTTCATGGGGCTTCTGCGTTTTTGTAACATTACTTTCTTGCTAATGATTCAGTTTTGCATTTTTGCGGAGTCTTACTGTATCGATCACGATCATGATCAATGGCAATATTCATTATCTCAAAGCTTGAGTTCCCAAAGCTTCAACTCCACATGCTATAATGGTTATGAGGTTCTGGTCGCCAAGCTCTTGCCGCGCTTCTCCGGTTCCATTCCTTATGTCATGTGCAAACTTTCGTCGACAAGCATGATAGTTCATATAAGGAAATTTTAGTAGCATGGAGGATTCAAGATATTCCAAAGCATACCTTTGATTTGTGTTCATTCAATTATTTCGTTGAGGTAGTAACCACCCATTCCCGTGCAATCCTGATCTCACCTAGCAACTTTGCTTGCTCTGGTCTCTCGAATCCAGCCATCACAATCTCATCATCCATATCCGTACTCCTCGCTACACCTATAATATCCATCTCTACTCCCCCTTCGTTGCTTCTCTTACCCGCAGTTTCCCAAGACCTCTTCCTATGTGCGTCAAGGCCACCAACAATGGCTGGGGTGTAAGTCTTGGATGTCATGTCAGCTTTCCAATCGCCTGCTTGAACATCCCATCCAACTTTCACTCTCCTGACGCCTCCAACCTCGGACACATCTTCCCACTTCCACTTTGACTTTTTGAAACCACGATCGCGAATCAGTGACATGAGAACGGTAGCGTTGGCGATGAAGGTTGCAAGAAGTATATCTAGAGAAGCGAAGAGGGAGCGTCGTGCCTGCGTATTGCCGTTTGCACTCGACAGGAGTGGGTAACTTGGTAGATTGTGAAGATTATACAGAGAATTGGCAGAGCGAGACGGATAAGGATCGTGAATTTTCTAGTCATACGGTTAGCTGGGATGTAGAAGGACTGTGACAGACAGTAATACTTACTTCCAACCACCTAGTCTGCTTGCGAAAATCACTGGGAGTGGGAACACAACCAAAGCGAGGTTTGCTATCCCGTTTTATGCACCCATGGATACCAAAAAAAGATGACCGCTTCTACATCGTATACCAGGATCTGGAATAACCTGCCAGTATCCTGAAAGAGGATCGCATGTTCCAATTGCTGCACTAACCGGCCCTACATATGTCACGAAGAGGAAAGCATAAAACCAGTAGAGGATTTTCTTGCTTTTCTTGCTCGAGCTCGCAGTGCTCGTGATGAGGTTATGCAGAAAGGTACTTGTGCTCAACTTGATAGTCCAGAGGTAGGTCACGTATAGAACTCTTGTTACAAGCACCAACTTGCTTCCGGTTTCTCGTCTTCTTATGCCGATAGCACTTAATCCGTCGGTGATAGTATTATTTGTGCCGTAAAGAAGTACCACATGAAGTGTAGCTTGTCGTAAGAGCAGGGGAATTACACCCAGTAGCATAATAATATCCTCTCTGTAGGATTTCTCTGTTCTAATATATCTTCCTATGACACGGAAGAAGATGATCGTCATAGCATAAACTGTGCACCACTGTGATATTGTTAGAACATGGCTACTTCGAATATCAGAGGTTGAATTGAGATCTTCTTCGATAAACAACATACCCAGCTTACGAGCAACGTTGGCTTGTCATCTCTGAAGTCTCTGAAATCAGGCGGAGTGTCAATGAATCGACGAAGTAACTCCATAACAATTGTAGACTCTTATCGTAGAGTCCGTCAAGTCACGATCTCATTTGAATTAAAAGGCAAAATACAGAAATGAATAGAAAGCAAAAGCTCGAAGAGAGACGATCTCGAGTAGGTAGATGATACTCTGTACATGAACTACTGCCGCTCTGTTCCCACAAATTTGGACCTAGGTATACTTGGGATACCAAGTCCCCGTTCCCTGCTCCCACAAGCGTATGGTTTTGACAAGGTAAATCGGCTTATTGTAGCACTGTTGGGGTCTTGTTTGCCCCGCAGTTGGTCGTGATGCTGGCTGGCTGATGCGTCTGGGGTCGGAAAGGAAAACACGAGCCTCTACCACCGATCTTGCCATCCACCAAACCCCTGGGAGAGTGATGAAGATAAGGTATCATAGGCTGGCTTTTTGGACTTCGGGGAGATTTAAGATCCTGTTTAATGCTCTATTAATACTTTCCGGAGTACGTTTGACATGTACGGAATATGTTACTCGAAGCAGGATGATCTTCGTTCTAAGTACCGTGGTACATCGTCTCCAAGGCTAATGCTGAGGGGAAAGGGTGGAGTATCGGTAAGTCTCTCGATGTGTGAACTGCAAGCTGCTTCTCGCGCTAGAAGTCCTTTTCGTATGCGTGGAAGATTGCGATGAGCGGTTGCTCCCTGTGGTAAGACTTTTCTCTCTAGGGACCTACAGAAAGCCATTCTCAATGTGGCATAAAGAGCCACTCTTAGTGCACTCCACACTATCACCCCAGCATCAGCTTTGGAGAAGATCTACTATGGTATGCGCCCATTGATAGTAAACATTGCATTCAAATCGGCAAGCACTCGTGTTTCTCAATGAATTCTCTGGCCTGATATTATTCAGCCTCTTGCACCCAAATCTTCTATTTTGAAGATATACGGAGTATAAACAGCTCCACCAACGTCCAAAATACGGGAGGGACAGCAGCTGGCACAAACCTCGAAGTCGACCACGGAGTATTGTGCTGGGGCCCAACACACATATCGTTAGACGCAAACTCTATTTAATGACCCCCACATCAACTCGTGGCAATAATGTGACACTGCGGCACAGAAATCAGTTGGAGAAGTAAGCGAGTCAGAAGAGGACCTGGAAAGCCATATATTTTCCAGCATTTCCATTTGTTGCTCTAGAGGTGGTAACTTTATTAAATTAGATGGTGAAGGGTTGATTGTGAAAGATAAGGTGCAGTGATGGTGCATTGACTTGCCACCACGTTTAGGTACGAGAGAGTTCCTGTTGACCTTCGTTCTAACCAGGCCACCCACCCTCGTTGAGAGACATTTTCCCTTGCAGACTGAGACTCAAATAAGGTTTCGGAGTGCGGACCAGGAAAAGGGTTTTGCATCGGACCTTGAATTACCCCTGAGCCCTGAACTCGGCTAAATGGGCGCTTTGTCCAATCAGATTGCCCTTTGCCGCCCCATCTTTTCAACATCATTCCCAATGAGAGGGTTCAAGCTTCCGCTACCGAGCAAAACATCGGATCGCAGGTTTTCAAAACGAGAATCCCACAAAGCTTATGGACTTAAGCTTCAGTATCAGTGAGTCCATATCACTGCCTCCAAATTGGAGACTCGCCTCGACGCCTCACCGCTTCTATTGGCCCTCCCAGCCCTGTTATCTAAATAAGAGATTGGGGAAATGTAGAGACCGTAGTCCGTCCGCCTTATCTATGAAGGGTTGGGAGAGTTGTTTTGGGCTTCATAAGCGCGCCAGCCTCGTTGCCTCTGATCCCGACATTTGACGGCACTTAGCGGCCTTCTAGAATCTGGAGATTTCCTTTTCGGGACTACGGAGAATTAAAGGGAAGAAGTATAAGTATACTACTTCGAAGTAAGTAAAACTCCCAGGCCCAGGTTCCACGTCATCCACACTTATCAACGCTACCGTAGTATTTTGACTGCCACCCTTGGTTGTCGGGAAATTAATTGCCTATGCCATGATTAGGTGTGCTCGTGTAAGGCGTTTCTATTACAGTATCAACACCGGCACCTCTTCCTGAGATACCTCATGGTATCGAACTTGATAGTGTTTCTTGAACAGTAACAATGGGACCAAGATATACTCGGATTCAAGTGTTACAGATTCGCCGTTATTGCTTGAAAGACCTAAGGGTGCTAAGGTCTTTACTTCAAAGGTGTTTGATGGTTTTCGAAGTGGCCTTGAAAGAGAATTCGCTGAGACGACGGGTCATGGCGCTAAGAATGGAAAACGTTTTTATATTTCTGAAGCAGCATATTACAACACTGCTCATACCTCACTGAGCCGAAGGTTGAAAGGAAGGCACTTGCAAATGATAGCAATTGGGGGTCGATTGGTTAGTCCTCCTGTGAATATTAGTCGCATATTTCTACCACTTACCCCTAATAGGCACTGGCTTGTTCATTGGCTCTGGATCTGCACTACAACAAGGCGGACCAGCCTCTCTTTTAGCAGCATTTATACTCATCGGGGCAATTCTTTACTGTATAGTTCAAGCACTCGGAGAGATGGCAGTAACATTTCCTGTATCTGGCTCATTTTGTGCTTTCACTACTCGATTTGTAGATCCGGCATGGGGTTTTGCTCAAGGTTGGAACTATGCCATGAACTGGCTGTTCGTCATGCCACTGGAGATCATGGCTGCTGCGATTACACTTGAGTTTTGGGACTCAGGAATACCGCCGTTCGCAAGTGTCACGATATTCCTTAGCTTCATCATTGCAATCAACCTCTCCTCCATCAAGGGTTTTGGCGAAGCCGAGTACATATTCAGCATCATCAAGGTCACCGCAATCATTGGTTTCATGTAAGTATCGCACTCGACATGAAGGTCAAATCTGCGTTGCTGACAAGATTTTAGAATTTTAGGCGTAGTATTAAATTGTGGCGGCGGTCAAGATGAGGGTTACATTGGTGGAAAGTATTGGGTTGCACCTGGTGCATTCAACGATGGCTTCAAGGGTTTCTGTGCCATCCTAACCACTGCTGCCTTTTCATTCTCTGGCACTGAAATGGTTGGTCTGGCCGCGGCGGAGACCTACAATCCTAGCAAATCTGTTCCCGGCGCAATCAAACAGACGTTTTGGCGCATCACTCTGGTCTGTAATTTTACAAATCTTTTTTCGGCAAACGTTGACCAGCTTCTAGTTTTACATAGTGTCAATTGTTGTCATTGGTCTTTTGGTCCCTTCAACTAGCCCCCAATTGGTCGGCAGAAATGATGTTGATGCAAAAGCATCCCCTTTTATCATCGCTAGTAAGAATATTTTCCTATTTTTGCTTTCAGGACATTTTGAAAATCTAACATCGACCCCGAATAGTCACAGGAGCGGGGATCCAAGGTTTGGACAGTGTCATGAACGTGATCGTCTTGATTTCGGTTCTGAGCGTAGCAAACTCCTCCATGTTGTAAGTAACTCACAGTTCTCCCTAAAACGTCTTTCCTAGCAAAAACCACCAACACATCTATAGTGCCTCAAGTAGAACTTTGGTTGCATTAGCAGAACAAGGTCAGGCTCCTCAATTTCTAGCCAAAACAGACCGTAAAGGTCGACCCCTATATGCCATAGCATTGGCCTCGGCTGTCGGACTGCTTGCATACCTTTACGCCACTCCGATCCAAGGTCCAGATTTTACATGGCTTCTGGCTCTAGCTGGTTTGTCGGCCATCTTCAACTGGCTCTCTATTGCTGCTGCACATATCAAGTTTCGGAAAGCTTGGGCAGATCAAGGATATACGGCTTCTGACCTGATATACACCCCACCCGTTGGTGCGTATGGGTCATGGGGATCCTTCATTGCCCTGGTTTTTGTTCTTGCGGCTGAATTCTGGACCGCAATTGCACCACGGGGATACCAGGACTTTTCAGCGGTCGAGCGTCTCAGTTACTTTTTCGAGACATTTCTAGCATTGCCAGTTGTCTTGTTATGTTATATTGGGTATAAACTCACGTATCGGACAAGTTGGGTTAGGATTCAAGATATCGATCTCCAGACTGGGAGGAATGCGCATGAGATTGATGTTGTGCGACAGAGGTGGAAAGATGAGCGTAGCGAATGGCCGAGGTGGAAGAAGATTTATCACACGCTGTGTTGATTAGTGATTATTGAATTTAGCAGTAGATTCTATGGCATTATGTTAAAACTAAGTCACATCTACTTGGCTGTTCAGTGTTCACATCTACTAATTACTATGCTGATGTTCAAGCCTCGTAGCAGGACGCACGAGTTTTGAAAACTAATGCAGTAGTATTTCTGTCTATTGTCGCAGATTAATGGCACATGTCAATATAAATATCCTGCTCGTTGGTGAGATGCTTACTAACAGAAAGTTCCATCAATTAGACTATTGTTGTAACCGCCATAATATAAAATTAAGGGATATCAATATATTAGTCGCAAGTATGATATTCCATTCCATGTTACGCTTCTTTTATACCTTGGTAAGGTGTGGAAGAAGTGGGTTAGTAGGTATAGAAAAGCATGTAGCGAGTAAACACTGCCACGGAATGGACGAAGTGGGCCCAAAAATTTAGCCTCAATAATCATAGTCGATTTCATTTGAATCCATGTGAGTAGGCACGCTTCGTGGTGTAGACCCAACTAAAGCAATGTATATTTGGAAGGGGAGTGAAGTCAACCCATTATCATGACCGGGCCAAATTGGTTGGTTGTAAAGAATCCTTTCGTAAACCCTTCATCCCCCGGGTTCGATTCCCGGCGAACGCAACCAGTCTTTTTTTGCCCACTTCACCACCCGTAATTTGCACTCGGAAGCATCTTTCTTCTATTAGAAAGAGTGTATTTGAGGATGAAGATATGACGTCGCACACCAGTAACTCGGCAAATATCCGGTAAATAAACCTTTGTTGGTATTTCTGCAGCGGAGTTCAATGTACTCAAGCTTTATGGTTGTAGAGGAACAGAAGCTGTTTTAGACATTGGATGTTCAATTGACTGCTGCAGACAGACAAAAAATCCGATTCCATTCCATCCTGGGTTTGTTTACTTCAAGCAGGTCACATGATTGATTGATAATGTGCAGTTTTTCCGACAACTTGCTAAGCAGTATTTTCTGGTCGTCAATCGGATTTAAAAATCCCAATCCTTTTCAAGTCCCTCTTGAAGATTCGAAATCATAGAAAAAGGAGACTTTTAGTCTCGACTTATCATATCAGCTGGTCAACTGGTATTACATATGCTTACATAAAACGATAACCAATTCTGCCTCCGGAAAATTGCCGGTTACAATAATTGCTGATCTAGCATGAGGGTCATCTATTTGCCCCCTCCAAGCACTCTTTTTGTTTCTCTTCCTCCCCCTTTCTCTCCTTCGATCCCTATAAAGCTTCAATCGTTCTCGATGAGGCTTCTTCTACTGTTATTTTCCTTCGTTCTCGCATTTCTCTCCATCGCGTTCAAAGATAACATAACCACACAATTTACAGCACTCACCAGTCTACTAAACCAAACAACATTACCTACCAAGGCTTCCCACTCCGAATCTTCAACCAATATTTCGAATCCGCAAACATGACAGCTGCTCGCAAGATTGAGAAGTCATTTCTGGCAATCGAGCAAGCTGAGGGTGCAGGAGCTTGAGTCCGTCGCACCATCGGCACAAATAATTTAAAACACTTCTCTCCCTTCCTCATGCTCGATCACTTCAATATTCCACCTGGAGCAGGATTTCCGGATCATCCACATAGAGGCCAAGAAACAATCACATATCTGTTGGAGGGGGCGGTCGACCACGAAGACTTTACAGGAAGTGCGGGCACAATTTATGCGGGGGATCTACAATTCATGACGGCAGGTAAGGGCATAGTTCATGCAGAGATGCCCAACCAGAATCAGCGAGCGAACATCGGAATGCAGTTATGGGTTGACCTCCCGGAGGAAGATAAGATGTCCGAACCACAATACCGAGATTTGAAAGGTTCACAAATACCTCATGTCGATGTCGATGGAGGCAAAGTCAAAGTAATCATCATCAAGAGTCATAGCCATGGAACTGATAGTTTGCCGGATTTCCGACCAACAAAAACCGAGATTTCTATGCTCGACATCGAAATAAAGCCCGGTGGAAAGATCACCCAAAAAGTAGATGACAATTGGAATGCATTCGCATATGTTCTGGGAGGAGATATACGCTTTGGTGAAGGAGAAGACAAGACAGTTATTGGCCAGTACAATTTTGTCAAATTCAAACAGGAGGGAGATGTAGTGGTTGCGGAAGTCGATGAGAATGCCACCGAAAGTGGTCGCTTTAGTAAGTTCCTATTTCTTCTGATGTTTGAAATATTCCCAAAGAGGTTCAAGAGAGGCTTTGATTCCGAAAGGTAGAACCTATGGAAGTCTATTGGGTTCTAGCTTTGGTGGTGGAGCTCGCTTAATAAACCACAACGCCTTCCTGTGCTCCCAGTGAAGCACCCTTCAAAAAAAATTCATACACAACGTGAATGAGGCAAAAAAAGGGAAACGTCCATGGGCGTTATCTTGCGTTCGCCGGGAATCGAACCCGGGGCCAATGCATTTAGATCTCTCGAGTTAACTCGTGAAATTGGCAAGCATCGATTTTACCACTAAACCACAAACGCTGTTTCTTTTTAGTTGGAAGATATCAGATTATCCAAGTCAATATTCCCATTTGTGGGGAGTTTATTTCCGCGAGATCAGCCCGGCGCTAGTGCGTTTGTGGAGAAGCACAAAAGTCTCTCTTCAGTCGGCTACCACGAACCCTTACTAATGCTTGGCCGCCTCTAGTTCTTGTAGCCGGAAAACCCCTCGACCAAACGGTTGTTCAATATGGTCCTTTCGTGTTAACAACCCAAGAAGATGCATTGCAAGCTGTTTCAGATTACCGAGCTTCGAAGAATGGCTTTGAGCGTGCCTGGGGATGGAGTAGTAAAATTGGAAGGACAAGGATACTTTGAGCTTTGGAAGAAGTGCTCTTCCATAGGCAGGACATGTTTATAACGATAGACTAATTGCATTCATGGGGTTTGGGGTACCTATCCAATATTGGAATGGTTCAAGCTACTATAAGACAATGTTCGGCCATAAAAGAAAAACAAATTCTTCAAAACAAATTCTTCAAAACACCCTTTTCCTTAGATGCCCGGGGCCTTTTTTCCCCCGTTACCGACAACTAAAATACCCTCGTTTTCGTTCAGATTTCCAACACTGGAAGGTCTAAGGAACTTGAGACGCTTCGCCCAAATCCTTTCTCTTGATGATACACGCTTCTTTGTTGAAATGTTAGATTTACCGGTCAATGTTGATGCCGCCGTTAACAAGAGATTACAAATTAAAGTTGGTCAGAGCAAGGTTAGCGAATATTTCAATGCCAGGTAGTAAACCAAATTTTCTCTTTCGCCTCCCCCTTGTACACACTTACTTTTATTTGCTTCTCACGGCCGTAGAAGACAGCGAGGAACAAAGAAGAAATTCCATCACCCATAGCTCCGGGATTTGTGTAACGCCACTCCACACTCGCTCTAACAAGTCCTCTAACAAGCCCATTTTCATGGCCAAGATGGGGTTCTGGGCTTCCACCATATGATGGAGTATAATATACTGGTTGAATGGAGTTGAGATCCTTTTAGAACCGTTTACCGTTCCAAGACTCAAGAATACTAGTAACCTCAGCAGCGCTGGAAAAAGTGGCGTTATAATCGATAGTTGTACTCTAACTCGAATGTTAGTTTTATTTAGTAGTGGTATTGTGTTTAAGATGTAAAATCTCTCCTCTTACTATATCACAGTGCATGTATATTTCTAGGTCAAATGAATCTAATCAAACTTACTCATTAGAACCTTTGTTATATATCGTGGCTTATAACGTCCGTAGCGCCGGCGTTGTCATCTATAGCAGCATTCTCATTTGAGTTTTGGTACTAGACCATGTTAATACTTAGTACACACTTTAAAAATTAATATACTAAACGTCTAGCATAATTGTTTTAACTGTCTTGGTATACATGTTAACTAAAAGTAAAAGTTAATACTAATTTTAACTTAAATCATTCCACACAATTATTTTAGTCATGCGAGGCTTTTAGAAGAACACCATTCTAAGCTAGGTGTATAGAGAGTATCAACTACGTTTCTTAATCGACCAAGAGAAGAGATCCTTTCTTCTTAACCCCGCTCATATGACTTAAGCTTGGGAAATGTTATCAAATCACGTATCATGTCAAGCTCACTATACAATCCCAATAGCTCGTTTAATGATCAGGATCTTCTCAATTTGACGGGATGCATATAGTGGGGTTGCATTATCCATTGCTATAGGCCGATTTTCAGGGTTACATCGAGGTTTGACGGCACCACAAAACTGTGGGGAAAGTAAATGAGGGGAACCTGGGTAGAAAAATTTGAAAATAGTGGTTATTGTCTCTCTTCTTTTACAGAACCGTTTTTGGTTGGTCTTTCATAGTACAGTGATGCCTTCCCCAGAGCGAAAACCCGAACTGGAGTTTTTTACAGAGCTAGGGTTACAAGGATGCACTTTTTGTCAGTTCAAAGACAAACACATGAGTGTTTATGATCTAAGCAAATCATCTGAAGACGGTTGTACTCTGTGCACTTTGGTATTCAATGAAATATCTCCATTCATATCTAATTTCAAAACCGAAGAATTTGCGGTTTACCATGAAAAGGACGGCTGGGACATGAGCGCTGGCAAGGCTCAAGACCTCAGGTTCAGGTTCCTAGGCGGTAAAGTCTACTTACCTATTACATCTTTTTCAGTAACTAATAGCATCGATTATTCGGGCCCGGAAAGTCTGCAGTGTGTGGCTCGCTTAGTTAGCGAATGCAATAATCAGCATGACTGCCTCCAAGACCAGGCAACAAGGCTTCCCACAAGGGTCATCGATTTTGGGAAGGGCAACGACCGAATTTTACGACTTTACTGTCCATCTGAGGACGAGACAGCACGTTATACAATTCTCAGTCACAGCTGGGGTGGCATTTCACCATTCATAACTCTACGTAGTAACATAGGGGCCCGGAAGGAAGGGTTCGACATTGGGGAACTGCCAAATACCTTCCGTGATGCTGTGACACTCACACGAGAATTGGGTATACGATACTTATGGCTGGACTCCATCTGTATCATACAGAAGGATAGGTGAGGTTTCCTGTCACCCCTTTGATACATGCTTTTCCTTCTGTTTCCTTCTGTTTCCTCAGACAAAGGCTCTTAAAAAAATGCTCTGTGGTTGGTATAGAACAGATAGGTCACGTATCTGATTATCAGGGCTCTTATGATAATGCTGTGCCTTTGTTTGGGGATGTTGTATATATTTCTTCACAAGGCCGGAGACGAAGCCCACACCCTTAGTATTGGTCAGAAAGACATTTCAAATTCCACTAACTTGCCACTTACAGGAATGATTGGGAATCCGAAGGTCAAAGAATGGCCGACTATTACTCGAATGCCTACCTGACAATCGCTGCCTCTCGAGCTGCAAACAGCTCAGCGGGGTTTCTCCATTGGACTGATACTGGTAGACCACGAACCATCCATTGTGAGAGCTATAAAGCAAAGTTTGATATACTCGTGTACCATCACAAATATACAGGGCCCGAATGTGAAATCGGCAACCCTCTCTATACCCGGGGCTGGGTTTTCCAGGAGATGATTCTTTCCCCAAGGGTTATTTCATACGGCGCAAAAGAGCTGGAGTGGTATTGCCGAAGACGCAATTGGTGTGAGTGCTTTGATGTTATCATACCCGAAAAATACAGTGAGCCAACAAATCCACTCCTTTCTTATTCAACTCCTGAGCCTCATTCGCCTCATTAGCAGAAAAGCCGAAAAGAGTTTTCTACATTGGACTTCTGGCCATGGGGAAAGGTTGTAGAGGAATTCACCAAGCGTAATCTTACGTACGATAGTGACAAACTTCCTGCTGTATCAGCGCTTGCGTCACGTTTCAATGAGATTCTAAAGGTTCCATATTTAGCTGGAATATGGATGAAAGAGCCTTTCGATAAATTCATGTGGAAAGCACTACTGTGGGGAGCGGATGGTCCTCCGGGGGAATTCATGACGAAGCCAGGACCACCATCATGGTCCTGGGCCTCAGTGAACCGAAATATCAATTACAGCCTCTTCTTTCAAGCCTCCACGCTTTCGAATGATTGTGTGACACTCATCGAAGCAAATACACAATTACGTGGAACCAACCCTTATGGTGAGGTAAATGGAGGTTATCTTCGTGTGAGGGGAGTTCTTATCACGGCACAACTGGATTCCATTCCAAGAAGTCGACAGAAAACAGCCTACGAAGCACCAATAGGCAGTTGGACTATCCTGAGTAGTGGTGGTGATGTCCTCAAATCGTTGAAGAAGGTCCTCAAGAAGAACGATTTGTACTTCAACTTGATCGAATTTCATGAAGACACGACACTCGAATTATCACCTGCTATCGACTCTTCTTGCTTACCCACTAAGAGGACCTACCAAAGGAGCTCGCGCTCGGGTTTGGAGGCCGTGGAGGCTATGAGCGGTATCGTTCATTGTCTCCGATTCCTACCCACCGATCCGGAAGAGTTCTATCTGCTTTCATGGTTGCTGGTATTGACCTGTATAGATAGAGATACTCAAACTTACGAACGACTTGGATTAGCGGAAGTAAGGATGGTGGTGGAGAACAAGGATTACTTCCGCGAGATAGAGCCACAGGAATTAACTATAGTATGAGCATTGGATGGGACATCCTCAATATCTTCTTGGGTATAAATAGATAGATTAGGAGTATACAGATGATCTGATGGCTGATATTTGGGGCGATATTAGGAGTTGTCTTGCACTGGATTTAAAAGTGCTTAACATAACGAGAAAATACATTTCATCAACTTTCATGACCCGAATCGGTTTCCTTTTTGTGTCTTTGGAAACCATCTAGTCAAATTGTAAGAATCAAGTGATACGAATCTTTCAAGGTGCTTCTTGAGAGAAAGCTACAACTAGACTAGACTAGAAGTTCATCCCTACATTGAATATTGAAGCTAACAAGCCCTCCTTTCTTAATAACAATAATACAGCTTCTGATAACGACCGTGTGTAACTTATACTAAATAACTTTGCCGCTCATCTTATGGTTATTTCTTCCCTAGTTTCTGTATAGTCCTTAACCCAAAATGTTAGGATGAACTGTTGTTATATTACCCTTAGCAAACATAATATAATACTTAAGTAGTATAAGGATACTTACTAATAATAAGAACTAACAGATCTTTCTACCGTTGAATGATTTTCCCTCTTAGCCCACCGCTATAACATCTATAGTACAGTACGGATCCCCTCCCCCCCAAAAGTACTATCTTACCGCATTCATTTCCGTTCAGTTCGGTACTTTCTCCAAACATAATAGGGGTACGAGGACAGTATATCTAATCCCCCCCCCAAAAAACACACACAAAAAAAAAACCACCAAAAGAAAAAAGAATTAAAGCTTCCTTCTTGTGTACTATGTATGTATGCTATGCTACGTAACTATCCCGTACTATACAGTACGTAACTATCAACCAAAAAAAAAAAACGATGGGTATCCCAAACAAAAACAAGATGTCCAACCAAAAAATTCCAACAAGTGAACCAACCAATCCAAACCAATCCAAATCCGGTAAAAAGAAAAGAAATCCATCCATCATTACAATCCACTCCTCATATACCACGTAAGGCAATCTGGTATCCAAATCACTCCTTCTCTCTCCCTCATCAAAACAAAACCCCAATCAACCCCCCTCCCAAATCATAAAATCATAAGTCATCACATCACACCACCACTCTCCATATTCCAATTACACACATCACTCCAACCACACAAAATCCCTCTCCCCAACCCTCACACAACTCAAGAACCCCGAGTCCGCAGTACCCAGTAAATAACTCCTCATCAGCGGACGCACAACCTCCCTCGCCAGCCCCTTGATCTCCTCCATCCTCCGTTCAAACTTCTTCATGTTGTCCCGGGAATAGACTTCAGGCGTGAGTTTGAGGAAGCGTTTACATTCCTCGTGACCAAGGTACGTGGAGGGGTCCGCACCGATCGTGCGGAAGGCACGGCCGATGTGCGAGGTGGGTGAGGTGGTTGAGGGGGCGGAGGGGTGATTGTTGTGGTGGGAGGCTGAGGATGTGGGGGAGAGGATGAGTTGGGTTTGTATGGTTGTTCCGGAGGCGGAGGAGGTGGTGTTGGTTCGGGAGTGGTGATTATGGCCGTTACTTGATCTTGGGGGGTGATGGGAGCGTGAAGTTGGAGCTGGTGGTGGTGGAGGAGATGTCGCATCCGCAAGCCAGGACCGGAAGAGTGATATGACAAGCCAATCAAGATGCGAATTATAAGGCGTCACTCTCTCCCCTCTACTAGTCGTGAGACTCAATCTAAAGAGTTTCCCCTCTACCTTGCCCACCATATCGGCTAAATCTTCAACTTTATCCTCGATGATCTCTAGCACGGAATCGGGTAGTTGGGCTCGGATGTGGCGTTCGCCTTGTGGCCAGGCTCCTACGACATGGATAAGACTTTCTTGGAATATCGTTTTGGATTGGGCGAGGAAGCCGAGTCGAAGGTATGAGGATGGGTATTTGGCGATTTGTTTCCAAAGGCGGGAATTAAATTGTAGGAGGTGATGGTCGATTCTTGGTCCTACGACTGCTAAAGCATCATATAAATCTGCCAGTGTGAGGAGCGACTTGCAATGTCGGTACGCCGTGGCAATATCGACAGCATCGAGCGCGGGAGGGTAATTATAAAATATTCGAAATAGGTTATCGTAATCTGTCAGGATTTCCTGGTCTTCGTGTGATATCGGGACTGAAGGCGCGTGCCCATGTGAGGAGGTCATTGTGAGGTTTGCTACAGAGCGAAAAAAGGAGGGGTTCGAAGTGGGAGGTTTGTTGCGAACTGGTGGAGGTTTCGCATCGTTTGCGCCAAAGAGAGATACGGCTGTATTCTCCTTCTGGACCAGCATTGGAATATCATCATTTCCAACTCCTGTATCCAGCTCATATCTCCATCTTTTCTTGACCTCGCGATTATTCCTCGCACCATTTTCGGAATCCTCTCCAATGCGCGCCAGTTCCCCTCCCCCTCCTACTTCCTCTGCACGCGACCATTCCTGACTTGTGCTTGCTTCGAAAAATCCGGAACATTGTGTGAGGATGAGTCGATGTAAAAGATAACGATTCGTCCGGGAGCCGACCTTCACCAAGATCTCGACATCGCCAGTATGTGAAAACTCGGGGAATTCATTCGACACATAGCCTCCTCCTTGTCGTCTACCTCTGCGGTGGCGGGACGAACTTGTGACGGACGAGGGACCCCTCCTGGCAACGGCATTGCTACCAGAAGGCTCGAGTTCCATCTGCGAAACCATTTCTTCGTGTTTGCGAGATCTTCAATTCAGTTCATATATTCCTGTTCCCTTCTAACCGCAATGTTAGCCACGCAATGCATTAATTGGCGCCACATTTGAATTTGGTGTTTGGGTTTTGGGATCTTGGTAGTAAACAAGAATATGAAAAGTGGTTCACCAGTCAACATCAACATCCATCCCATCATCGTCGCGCATAGGCCGTGTTGGGTTGGGTTCGCGGGAAAGTTTGTAGATCGTCCGAAGGAGAGGAGATACAAAAGACTGCCCTTCCCTTCTTCTTCGTGACACTCTCACGCGTTACGCACAGCGCAATTGCGCTTACGATCTCTCCTTCTACAGTATTCTTTCCAGAGCTCTCCGTTCTTTGAATGGCCGCACAGCCCTCGGCCTTATCCAGGCGTCCCTTCGTGTTCTGCAGAACCTACACAATGTCTCCAAGACCCTGGCGTCGTGCAGTAACAGCCGTGGCAGCAGTAGCTTCGAAAAAAAGCGAGAGGCGTATCGTCGTGTCGTGTCGTGATAAACAATTGCTGCGGTTGGCTGCATCACAAACCACCCAAACAACGAGAACACAAAACCACCAAAACAGGAACAGAGAAATCGAGAGATCAAGAGAAGATATAAACTCGTACCACGTACCCCATCAACATACTTAGCGAACGTCTTCCCTCGGTTCAAGGCAATTGCAGCAATCAATCAATCAATCAATCAATCACACTTTGCGATCACGCTCCAGTTCTCACGCACAGGCTTCCCGTCTGCGCTGCTTGCGGAGTGGCGATCTCCAGAGGCAGAGCCAGAACCCGAAGCGACTGGCCCACGATATCTTCCGAAATCGCTCAACCAATCCACCACTGCCGCAAAATCAGGGCAGCGCACCGCACCCTCGTCGACCCCATCCAGCAAATCAGGAAGCACAGAGGGGCTCCAGCTGTACAACGACAGCTACATTCCCTTCCATTCTGACTCTGGGCAGCGCAGCACAGATACTACTGTACAGGAGCGAATGGCGACTTGACCGGGACAAGAGGACGACGGATGCAGAGATGGATGGAAGCGTTGTTGGCCAGTCAAGTTGCCTTTCGGCGCCGCGTTCAGAACGAGCCCACGGAAGCTTTTCCCTGGTCAACTCGAGACGAGATCAACTCCCGCCAATAGCCGTCCTGTTGGCCCTCGCGATCAAGACCTGCAGTAGAGGAAAGTGTAAAGTGGCTGGGAGCGTGAGTAAGGTACGGCAGTCTACTTGACTGCTTCGCATTCCTCCAGCTCTTACTGTATTGTAAACCAAGAAATCACATCCAATCAGTCGAACTCTAGATGAACACTACAGTACTACAGAGAATCAGAATCAACTTACCTCCGTACAGTACTCTATCTAACTCCCAACACAAATAACCTCTCCCGATTCTATCACCAAATAGGTAAACAAGAAAAGTACAGAAGATAACAGAAAAAAACCCCATACCCTACCTCCTCGTTTGCGAAAAGATCCGCCGATTTTAGTCTGCTAGCTACTGGTATTACTACTCACAATAAAACCACAACAATCCATCTAAAAGCTATAAGCTTCGCCATCAAGGTCAATTACCTTCTGGGGATTTGTCTGGGATTTATTTTATATTTTTGCGATTTTCTTTGCACTTGTTGTAGCCAAGGCCGTAGTAGGTGTTTGGTACTGAAATCGGCGGATGATTCCGTACACGAGGAGCCTACCTACCCACCTACTTACCAACTCAACACACACAACACAATCAACAATTACCCACCCACTCAGCATAATAATTCCGCCTCCAATTCCAAATCAACTCCCAATCCAACTCACGCGAGCAAAACAGCCCTGGAGCAAGGGAATCTCTCCCGTGACCCTTCTCTACCACTCTCCCGTCCACTCTCCTCACCCGTACTTGCCTCACTTTCCAATCCAAGCCTATCCACCCTCCACCTCACCAACACCTAGCCGAGGTACGTAAGATCTTACCTCTTCATAACCACCACTGCACAACCCCAGCTGGGCCAACCACAACCATTGCACATCTCTGCACAAAAACCACAACACCACAACACCACAACACCACAACACCACAACACCACAACACCACAACACCACAACACCACAATACCACTACACCACAAACTACACCACCCATCCCTACTAAACCATACTGTACTCGTATTCTAAATTTACTCTCCTTCTACAAAGTACCTTTCCCCGAGCGTACCTTTCCCAGCCCAGCCACCTCGGTAACTCAAGGAGTCAAAGGTCAATAATGGTTACAGTATTCCTCAGGAGTCAGGACCTCCGCCAGACCCGGGAAACCCTGGTTCGTGTCCATTCTGCCAGACGCACTTCCGAAGTTTTTCTCAAAGTCACGCTTGGTGAGGTTTTGGAAACGCACAGCCTCAGATTTGATTTTGGGCGAACTGATGAGAGGTGGCATCGTGATAACGTGATATTTTGATTTTGTAATTGTAGCGTTCATGACAGCCAATAATAAAAGCTGGAGGCATTTCCTTGCCAAACCGCTTGGGTGATGTCCTAGTGTACATATGTGAGGGTGCCTCCTCAGTCATAAATGATTCCCGATAATGTCCCCAGCCAATTCAAGGCGAAGATTTCCCAAGCAAATAACGCAAACTCCATTGATGAAATAAGAACTTCTTTTAAACTCCAAACCATTAACTCATATCCATCTCAACCTCATTACCTTGCTCAAGAGGCTGCACTCCGTTAATAGCGATGTTGACCTCTTCCATCTGAGTTTCATTATTGATGCTGGAAACTCCGACGAGCTTGGGTGTCTCAGCGGCGTCCATGACCACTTGTCCTTCGAAGACGGGTACAGGAGTCTGCAAGTTAGCCCACACGATTTCTAGATTAGTACTTACCAGTCGACCTTGCTTCAGAGCTTCGTCGAACAAAAAGTATCCCTCACTTGCTTCGACAAGATAACTGGCTAGACCTTTGCTTTGAAGAGCGATTTTGGCGTTGGTGACGGGAAAGTGATTATCAATGAAGCGACTCCATCCTTTGGCGGCAGCTTGAATGTGTTCATCGCTACTGATTCGAGACCATCCAATACCGAGATGTCGCGTGAAGTCATCAATAGTTGGCTCCGTAAGTCCTGGTCTCTCTGGTGAAGAAGCTGAAGGTGTCATGAGAGCTCCACTTTGCATCGACTCTTCTGTGATGGATGGTGTAGCGCTGCAATCAAGCCGTTGACTTTTGGTGGCGCGAATGATGGGTCTCTGTGGGCTGGATGAGAGTAACTTTGCTTGCGCTTCGGCTTGTGCCTTTTCTTGTTCGGCTTTCTCCTCAGCCCATGTGCCAGTTTGACTTGATGCTTCGATGGCAATGCCACTGCGATTGGGCTTGATGAGGGTCATGCCTTCACCATATACCCACTCATCTTCGTTCTCAGATTGAGGAGTTGGAACTTGGATGGGGAAGTATTCATCTTCAGTGAGGTTATCGGCAGCCTCGTCGCGTGAGCGCTTTCTTCCTGCGCCTGATGATGGGACGCTTTTGTATGGACGATTGGACCAGGCAGATGATGGTGTTTGTGGATTGCTGCCAAAATGTGAGGTAAATGACAGAGGGTTGTGGTCCATGAAGGAAGATTGAGGGTGGTGTTGCGCCGAGAGGACTAGAAGAGGTGAGGACGACATATAGGATTGGTCGAACATGTTGAATTGGTTTGTAGAGATGAGGTTTATGAGAGATGGATAGCGGTAACTAGATGGAAGCTGACAACGGTTCAAGGTAGATAGAGTAGATGAGTAAATGAAGTAGATGAAGGTCAGGTAGGTTGGGTACTCGTAGGTATTTGTGAGATGGAGGTAGGATGGCGATGGAGTCGAGAGGTACTAGGAAGAGTAAGAGAATTGAGAAGAGCGGTGGAAGGTTGAAGGTTGGAGGCTGAGAAAGTTAGAAGAAGGTGTGCGAGGGAAAAGAAGAAGGGAAGAATCTGAGAGGTCGACGGTGCTCTTCAAGTAGAAGGGAAGGAAGTTTTAGTCGGGTCGGGGAACCAAAGAAAGACACTGGTTGGCCTGCGTACCGGGCAACGGCAACCGCGAATCCGCGATGTGATGCACGAAAACCTGAGGCAGCAGCACCACTTGGAAGCTTTAGCGTTGATGCAATCAACCCTGTTCTTTCATCCAAGCGCAGAGCCAAGGTGAGACAAGCGGGGGAGGAGCCCTGTTAGGCTGATAATATCCCGCCAATTGATTGGCTAGTAAGCAGACCAATGAGAAGCTCAGAATGGATTACGTCATGAAGGAGGCGTCCAATCTTCATCACATGACTTTTGAGCATCTGCACAATTCTTAAACTCTTTTGCTCCACTTTGGAATCAATTATGATTATTTCCTCGTACGAACATACTTCCCTGTAATTATTATCTGGCTTTTCCAAAACTCTTTTTTTCGAATGACATCAAAATCACGTTACGCGCTGGGCCCGGTACGGGACATTCCAGCAAATCAGGAAAGACCTGGGTCCGAACTCCAAAAACCAAGCGAATTTCGGTAGCACCATGGCTCGAGCATGCGTGAGGGCCCTGTCGAGCCAGTCTCGAGCCAGTTAACGCAGACTGCCACCTCTGATGTGCGAGATAAAGCCAACATCCTTGGGTTCTCAAGAGTACAGTCACAGAGTTAGTCCAAGCCATCGCGAACTGAGATTGTTTCTTGCTACAACTTCATCCGCTTTTTGAATTCCTTTGGTGTGAGTGGTGAAATTGGATTTAGAGTTGAGGTTGAGGTGGCTGGGACACGTCTTCGCTTAATTATGTATTCGAGGTTCGAGGGTGTAATGTCCAAATCATGCCTTGATGATATCCCCAGTTTTGTTTGGCCGATTGCTTCCCGTAAGTTGCCATTTTCTCCAAATGAGTATGAAACTATGTCCCATCGAATGCTTCTCAGCACAGAAGCAATGTATTGCGGTTCGCCAGAACATCATGTAGTACCTGGTGTACTAGGTCAAGGAAGGTCTCCAACCGGGGCTGACGAGGGTATGGCCCCCCTCCAATCCCATGATTTGGACGTTATTGACGACAAGTCGCTTGAGTGTGTCCAAAGGACCGCAGTAATATTGGCGCCTGAAGGACTGATTGATGAAAAGCCATCAGTGGGGGATAGATTGACGATGTTAGAGCCCATTTTCAAGGTCGGGTACCGAAAAGCCTGGCAGGCTCGGTCCAGATATCACAGATACAACGCATAGTGACGGTGTAGATATAAATACTGCCTGGTTACTGATAAGAGCAGAGAAGATGTAGGCTGGATATATGAAGTTTCGGGCGTAGTTGAAGTAATAGGAGTGTTATGGTGCGTCCATGACTACGAAGTATTCGGCTGGCTTCACATGTACGTTGGACTGCGACTGCCAATCATATCTGCATCTGAGAATGAGGCCACCAGAGGCCAATGTGATCGGTCACTGGCAGCGAAAGGATGGCATTTAGAACTAGAGCTCCAAGGTTGAATCTAGAAGATGTGATGTGGCGCAGGAATTTTATTACGTCACGTGGCTGGTGATATCACTCCTCAGGCATCAATGTTTACCTCATTTCGATCGTGGGGCAGTGACAGCGCAATCGAAGAGCGTATCTCGGGCATCAATGCGAGAGCTTCAAATTGCCATATTCTTTGGCCATCTCGAGGTCGCAACACCAGAACATCACAACCACAACCATGGCTTCTGTTACCTCCCTCGATAAAGACATGCGCAAACTGCGCCTGGATCGTTACACTCCACAAGCCGCAAACGAAGTTCGGTCATTCATTGAAGACTCCCTAGGGGAACGTTTGCCGCCGGGAGATCTTCTTGACAGCCTTAAGGATGGAGTCGCTCTTTGCAAGTATGTTTCCACAGTGTCGCCCCTCCAAGAAACATTCTGACTTTGCACACTTCCCAGACTTGTCAATTTAGCATCACCCAATGCGCTTCGATTCAAAGCGAGGGCTATTATGCCTTTCGTACAAATGGAGAATATCTCCCTATTTCTACAAGCATGTCAAAACCCCCCCTTCAATCTCCAACCACACGACATCTTCCTCACGGTCGATCTTTACGAATCGAAAGACCCGGCGCAAGTTCTACAGTGTCTGGGTTCATTTAGTAGAGCAGCGCATCGCATTGCGCCCAATCAATTTCCCAATCCGATCGGAGGAAAGTCCCGTGGAGGAGTTATGAGCCCTCAAGGAACAGGCGCGGTTGGTGGTGGAAGTTATGGCAGGCCCAGAGTAAACTCCAACACAAGCAATTCGTCCTCCGCGTACAATCCAACGAGAGCGGCGCCCTCTCTGACCTCGAGTAAAACTGGCGATTCGAATGGCGGCCGATGGAGTCCAACGAAAAATGGAGGTACGCCTCTGTCCCCTGGCGGGGTTAGTAGCTGGAGTAAAAAGGCTGACGAAGGGGCTACATCTCCGGCTTGGAATATCTCACAATATGGTTATATGGGAGGCGCAAGTCAGGGAAATCTAGGGGTATCATTTGGAGGAAGACGACAAATTACTAGCGCTGGTCCACAAGTTCCGAATATGGCAGAGAAAATAAAGCTGCGAAAGGAAAGAGAGGCGGAGGTGGAGCGAATAAAGCTCGAGACAGAGAAAGAGGAGAGAAGGAGAAAGGAGGAAGAGGCTGCCGAGGAAGAGAGAGCGCGATTAGCAGAAGAAGCAAGATGGGCCGAGGAAACGAAGAGATTGCGGGAACAGGAAAGACAAAAGGCCGCGGACGAAAAGCGGAGGTGGGAAGAAGAAGAACAAAAATGGCGAATGGAAGAGGAGAGACGTCAAAAGGAGGAGGAAGAAGCCGAGATAAGAATGCAGGCTGAACGGAAAAGAGCTCGAGGAAATAGCGACGCTAGATTACGAGGTCAATTTTTGAGCCAATACCAGGCTGAAAACGCCTCAAACAATGGTAAAGGGTCTGAGAGCGATAGGATCAAGGAGTTGGAAAGACAACTAGAACAAGCAAGGGAGAGGGAACGCCAATATGAGAACGAGAGGCAGGCAAAGATGAATCGCAGAAGAGGTAGTCGTGATGAAAGCCGCGAAGAAATAGAGGAGCATGATTTTTCAAATCGCATGAAAGAACAAACTTCTAGGTCACGGGCTCAGTCACGAAGTCGTCCTCCTCAGTCGCATAAGAATGGTGATGAAGATTGGCGAAAGAACGAACGCGAATATCTTCGAAGAGAATGGTCTTCATCTCACGGTAGCGAAGACCAAGCATCTCGACCTCTACCAGAACCGACACTTCCGCCTCGTGTAACTAAGCACAATTCAGGATCACGACCCCTTCCAGAACCTACACCACGAGTGGCAAAACATAATTCCGGCTCAAGACCACTTCCTGAACCCGCACCGCGCCTGGTGAAAAATAACACGGGCTCCAGACCACTTCCAGATCCAGCAAAGTATGCCTCATCGTCAAACCCATCAGCGCCTAAACCGCCTGCTCCTAACCCTAGAATCTCATCTCAGAACCGGACCGATCGATTCTTATCCTCAAACCCAGCTCCACAACAAGCTCGACCGCAAACTACTTATGCCAACGAACTCGGTAATTTCGACAGTACCGCTGAAAGAGATGCCGAAGAGCGTCGCCGTAAGGAATCTCAAATTAAGACCAAGGCCGCAGGCTGGGCATCCAAATCTTTACTAGAAAGGGAAATGGAAATGGAACGGCAACGACAGCAAGAATGGGAAGAATCCCAGAAGGAACTCAAATCGAAAGTTCCTACTGGTTCTGGTGTTGATGGGATTGGTGGTGGGATCAATGGAAAATGGGATGTTAACCAGTGGACTGGCTATACTGGAGGGAATGGTCAAAATCGTGGCTCCCAGGGTATCGGAAGTGGGCGACGACAGATTGTTGGACCTAGACCTCCGCCTCCCGGACGTTGATGTATTTGAACTGGGGAATGAGCCGTAAATTGGGATGGTGCTGCATTTCTTGGAGCGGGTGGGTGCTTTTGTTGTACAACTGGCATGAGTGTCTGATAACACTGATTTTACTTGGAAAAAGGCCAGGTGTCTTACTGTCTGCTTCTTTGAAATTGACATGAAGTACGACGAGATAACGAATGCCAAGTTTTCTATTAATGAATGAATGAATGCTTGGAGTCTTCCTGTGGTTCAGAGGGTGTTCGGTTCGGAGCGAGGATTGGATATGATACTCCTGAGATTAGATAATTCTTCTTCTTCTTTTTTTTTACAATTAGCTTTTCCTTGTGTTACTTGAGAACCGTCTACATAAACATGCCTGATATTGAGCTCTAACATGGCGGCTTCTGGTAGACAGGAAAAGTTGTAGAGGAAAGTATCCATTCCTGTTGGCTTATTTAACATTCACGAATATTGTTGGTTTGGTTATCTGGAGCTGTGAATATGATTAGCTGGACTTAATAGGGTATTTGAAGTCGTTGTCCTAGATTCTCTGGGGTGATGATATGTTTGAAAAAACTTACGCTGACGGAAAGAGAATGGATTCTCTGAATCTCTGTAATCTTTCTTCTCTACTAAGTAGGACGTCTCTCCTCTGAGTCTTTAATGAAACAAAACCCGTTACCACCCCCTATCCCCACACACCGTGCTACAGCTAGATACCTCCGATCCAACATCTCTATCCTGCATCTCCAACACGCCATCAAGGGACGTGGTAGCAGGTTCATGTCTAACCAGCTTCTCACCATCTAGCTGGGGTTTCTTTCCAGCTGGCATCATATACACACCACCTTTCTCATTTCGACCCAAAGATCCTGGGTCTTCGTCCATGGCCCGTCGTCCACGTGCCCGTGCCCGTGCTAACTTCCTTTGTCGTCGTTGGATCTGGAAGAGGAAGCTGAGCAGGATGAGAGCCCCGACTGCTGTACCAGCTACGGCACCTATGATCCAGGCGTGGGTTTCTCGTGTAGGTGATGTGGGAGGTGGGGGGGAGAGGGGGTGGTGGCTTGAGAGCGGGAGGGGTACTTTGAAGGTGGCTTGGAGTGTACCTATTGGGGATGGTGATGTAGGGAGGATTGTTGCGAAGGGTGTTCCTGTCGTCGTTTCGGTGGCAGTTTCAAAGTTCTTTAGGGACGTGGCTTGTGCTGTCGCACCGGGAGGAATAGGTCCTGTTGTGAAGATTGTTGGTATTGGTATCTGTGTTGCCTGTGGAATTTGCGTAGCACAGTAGTCGAGGAAAGGTTTGAATTGTGGGAGATCATTGTCTTTTGGTGTCTTTGATGGAAGTCCTGAAGGGGAGTCTTGTTCAGAGCTGTTGTTCTCTGCGCATGCTTTACAGATGCCGTAGTCCGTGAGGAAGGATGATTCTGTTGTTGCGCATAGAGCGGGGACTTGTCCTATCGCTTGGGCGTTTAGTAGGGTTGTATCTAGAAAACTGAGTAAGCTGGATACTCTGTTCTAGGTGCGATGGAGGAGGGGACATACTACACTGCTCAGAACATATTGCTGGTATATTGCCCTCGTCTCGCTTAGGTGATTGCAGTATTCCTGCTAGTCCCTGAGGAGTTTTGCGTTGTAATTGCATTGTTAATGATTCTCAATTATTCCTGCTAAGTGTTGTAATCGTGGATTCAATTACGCGACTATTCTCAATCGCTCAGATAACCAAAGATAAAAGTACTTGTTGAGAGGTTCTGGTACAATTTGGAGTTTTACCAAGCTGAACTCGGGTAATGACGGCATCTGCCTGAATTAGGTGTGTTAAGAAAGAAAACTCTCTGACAGATAACAGGCCCATGATAGTTCTAATCTAAATATGTTCGCAGTATTATGAGAAAGGTGAAGAGGTAAAGACCATTTGTTTATGCTTTGTAGTCCCATTGTTGACGAGCAACTTGCGATAGTTCTAGCCATTAGAAATTTTCGATCTGCTGCCGGATATTTGTATCCCTCAGTTATACAATTCCCGTTTCTTTTTTGGAAAGGACTCTGATTCTAGGTAACTACCAAGCTTACCAGAATAAAACATAATAAACAAGCAACCTGAAGGCGGAGGGGCTATCCTTGGAAACCTCCATCTCCATCCGCACCCGCTTCTCACCAAGTCACTTCCGAATAGAAATGGCACTTGGATCTGGATGATATACGCCTATCTTTTAACTCTACCGAACTTTTCAGCGAGAATTATGGAATCAAATTGCTTTTCCCGAAAGACGCGGATTAGTGAGCACATTTTATATTTTATTACTCTACAGGCATTAGGAGGATTAAAGCGAGAAATAGTGAGCTGGTTCTACAACCATGAGCAACCATGCCACTACACCGGCGACCATAGGAATCCCCACGTGTTACTGTATATCGCAAGAACCAACTCCTGTGGAAGGCTCTTTCAAAAACTGGAAGGAATGTGGTATCACCGAAAAAGCGTGGAACTTTCCGAATTCAGTAGAGTCCAAAGCTTATTTGGGATCTTGCCGAAACATACCAAACATGACTACCTATAGAGAAGTGTTAGGGATACTTTAGCTATCAGACTCCTATCAATGGCATTGTTATTTTTATGAATCTTGTCATATCAACGCCAGCTTCTCACTGTCATATCACTATACACATGAACAATCCTTCATCATTGATCTTCAACACTCAATCAAACTAGAAATCTCTTTGCCCAGGTCTTTCTCCAGCTAACTCTGATCCCACGGGTTCTCTTGCTGGTAGTTCTGGCCAGTCCTCGGCAGGAAGCTCATGGTGAACCTTTACCATGCTATCACCATGTATTTGAGCCTTGTATCCTGTTATATCATCCTCCCCTCCCCTTTCTCTCATTGCCTGGGCATCACGTACTTTTCGATTTCTTCTCCGACGCATGAAGAAGAAAGAGGCAACGGAAAGAAGGACCAATGCTGGACTAATAACTGCTCCCGCTACCCCGGTATGGTTCTTGCTTGTTGATGAAGTTTCTGAATTGCTTATTGGCGAGGGAAGAGTTGTTTCGTCGGCTTGGAGGTTGGCAACAGAAGCAGTGACGGGAGGACTTGACGTAAAATAAACGGTCGCTGTTGCGGTCGTCGTTTCGGTGAAGTTTGGTAGTGAACTGAAGCTTGTTATTGAGGATGTAGGACCAGTTATTGCGGCGGAGGTGATCGATTGAGCTGGTTGGGCGCAATACTCTATGAAAGGCTGAAAATCGGACGGGATCGCAGCAGTCGGATCGCCAAATTTCTGAACACAGTCTTGACAGTTGTGGTAGCCCACTTGGAAGGTCGAATTTGGTGCGCAGAGAGCGGGTGAAGTTCCAGTCTTTTGCGCCTCAATATAGACATCATCTGAAACTTCAATTGAGCTGGACTCTTTGAGGCAAAGGAAGTAAGGAGAACACTTACTGCATTGACTGTAACAGACCGCCGACAGTCTTGTTGAATCCCTCTTCCATAATTGAAAAGACTGAGCGATTCCACGTACAACACGTGATAAATGTTGCATGTTTGGCGAGGCAAGAATTGGAGCAACAACTTAGGTCAAAGAATTGTGGTCAATAAAAAAGATGAGCAGAATAGCATTTTAGAACTTTTCGAGTTTTATGAGCAGAGAACATTAAAGTAGAGTCTTACCGGTTAAAATGCAAACCAATTAATCTATTAATACTTATAACCATGCCCTCAGGGTAATAAAATGCAAGAATTCTGCATATTCAGGGGTTAAATTCGGGGCTACTGTACACTGCTATTGTACAGCCTTGAATCTTGGCAGCAATTATTTGCTATGATACTGATCACCATTCCTCTTATGGTACCGATAGGTAATTACGATTTGAACAAGCGAGGGTGGAACTTGGTGACTGTACAGTACACGTCCAGTGTACAGCCTTAAATTTTGAAAGCCTTACTTACACGGAGATATTTCAAACTAAATTGCAATCCGCAAACTCATCTTTTAGTTCATATTGCTTAGTACCAGTAGAAAAGGCTTATAAATCAACATACAATTTCATGAATAGTCTACTCACTTGAGCTTCCCAAACCAGCAAACAACCCCTTCAAAGCACCAGCCCTAAAATAATCCCCATCTCTCTCCCACCCCTTCCGCACAGACTCCCTTCCCACTTCCACAACACTTCTAACCTGCTCCTCTGTCCCCCACCCGTGGACTCTACTCCCCCAACAAATCAAATGACAACCAACATGAACCGCAGTCCTAAACGCCAGGTTCTCATCAATAACACCATACCCCTCAATAAACGAATCCATGATCCAAAGCCCAGCATCGATATCCTTGAAATGTTTCAGCTCATAAAGCTCAGCAATCATCTGGCCGAGATCAAAAGTGTGAAGCGAGAGATGGGAAAGTTCCCAGTCAATGACGCAGAGATTGAGGGGTTGGTTGGGTGATGGAAAGGGGGTGTTTGGGAGGAGGACGCTGATTTTGTCAGTTCAAATTTTCGAAGGGATATTAAAAGAGGGTAAACCTACTTCCCACTCCAGAAATCCCCGTGGATCAAACCTCCTCCCTCCCCCTCTCGATCTAACCTCTCCATCACGCCCCTCATCTCCCCAACAACACTCTCAAAAACACCCCTACAGTCCTCCAATAAATCAGAATAGTTCGCGATGGTATCAACAAGTCTCTCATAATTAACTACAAACTTCAAATTCCTCATCTCTTTATTGCCTCTCATTTTCTTCCGCAGCTCTGCTTGTTCCGGAGCGGCGGCCCAATCATGGAACTTCCTCGTCCATAGTCCAAGAGCGGTGCCTAAGCGAGATGCTTGTGCGGGAGCGAGGGTGTGTGTCAAGATATAGGATTTGAGGTGTGTGGAAGAGGGGAAGTCGGTATAGATCTGAGTGTTGGTTGTCGGGGAGAAGCGGTGCAGTTTGGGGGTTTGAATAGTGACTGATGGATTGGTGGGAATTGAGGGGAGGGCTTGGAGTGAGGTGAGGATTTCTTGTTCGTAGGTCTGGGTGTCGTTAGGGAAGAGTTGTGTTAAAGAAGAAGCGTTTGAGTGATATTAATGAGAAGACTTACACAGCGGTCTATGGTGAGCTTGAAGCCTGGATGCAGGGCAACATATCCTTCTGTGTGTTTGATAATGATCGTCGTTGCGCCATCTTCAAGAGGACTCGCGAGAACCCCACGATAGACGAAATTCGCGGTCCCTCCGGATAGTACCTCAAGTGAGATACACGCGTAAATGCCCCCTTCGAGGCTCTTTTGGACTTGGTGTAACATTTCCTTAACGTTCATTGGTTCAGTCATTGTGCACTCTTTCTTTCTATGACGAGGACAGGAGCAGAGATTTTGCTGGGTTATTCTCGACCCGATATCTGAAAGTAACTAAAAAAATTGAGCGTCAAAAAGGTTCAGATTGTTAGATGGTACTTATGGAAAGAGTAAGTGCTACCAGCAGTTCTACTATTCCAGATGCAGGACAAGAAATGAGTCACCCCGAATCATATAAATCGCCAATTTCTGCATGGGCTCGGAGATCCTATCTTTTACGCTGAATGGAAGCTCTAATTCAAATATAAAATTTTGCCTCGAGACTGATAGAAGAAGCGAGATTGAGTTGACGTTATGGATGCAGGTGTGGATCCTATGCTATATCACGTGAAGGGTTGGAGAATTACGAAAACATTGTAGGCTAGAAGTAATGTTGTGTGATGATACGTTCACAAGCAATATGAAGTCTACTGCTTGGGATTCAAGAGAAACTCCCATGGTAAAGCAACGATTTATTGAGCGAATGAGAAAACCCTAGGGTCGTCATAACAGTCACGTGACAAGACAATATCTGAATCTCAACTTCCACAAGGCAACTGGAAATTCCCCCTAAACAAACAAGACAACTAGCAGCTAAACAACTTTTCCTGTACAGTCTCCATCCAATCCCTCTCCTCCCAACCAGAAGTTTCCTCCAAACCCAGGGCGTAATCCAGTGTCCCCTCTAACATTGGTCACAGCATAGAATCGTGTCACCTTCGGGATGTCCAGTACAATTGATTCTTCCATTCCAGCAACCGTGCTTTAGGGTAGACCAATTGCAATTTAGCATGGCCTGGACTTGGACAGTCCCCACGAGCAAGACTGCAAAGATAGTAATGACGTGCTTGGAGAACATATTTTCGAGTACCGTGGTTGACTTTGTGGATCGGATAGGATTGTTGGTGTATTGGTATATTGTTCGAGGAGAACAAACAATCAATGAGATTGGACTAAGAGGTAGATGATGCTTCCCCCTTGGTCGTTGGTATATTGGTATGTTGGACTGGTAGTATATGAGATTGGACTGAGATATGAGTGGATGTCCCTTTTCCCATGGGGGTGAAAAGGTCGTCCTTTATATACAACAGATGAAGCCCTGTACGGACCGATTTTCTCGGCACAATTCGGATTTATACTCTGTTTAGCTTAAAGTACACAGTAAATTTACTTCATCCCATGCACAAAAAACTTTAAAAACCAATGGGATCACACGAGACTTTCCAGTGCAATAACGAGACATGAAGGGCTACTGTGGTAAATCGACTTTCCTAGTGGGAGCGGGGTCCATGACGGGGGTCAATTGTTGCCGATTTCTCTATGTCAATTAACAAAATTTCACCTAATATAAATCTCTGTCTACAACTTACAAGCCGATTACGCCCCTCCTCTGCCTGTCGCTTTGCGCAGAGGAGGGACAGAACCGGCTATTACTACAGTACTACGAATATTTACGTAATTACCTAGAGGGGCCTACAGGGGGTATAGGGGGTATATGTAGAAGAAATAGGACTTACAGGTAGAGAGAGTACCTACGTAAGGAGGGACAGGAGGGAGGGAGACTTACAGCGACAGGAAGGAGGAACAGGGAGACTTACGAGTATAGACAGGTAGATAGACGACCGATAGATAGATAGACAGCTAGGTAGACATATGTAGACGGTACGTATAGTTACGCTAATTAGCTTGAAACGATAGTAAAAGTATCCTAGTAAGGTTACTAATAGTCGAACTATACCCTATAGCGCGCTTAGGTATTATTTCAACTAGTTCGACTAAGCGAGAAAGTTAAAAATTTAACTCTTTTTTTTATAAAGAGAGCTCGAAAGAGGAATTTTTAAAAGTTAACTAGAATAAAATTATTTATAGCTAACGCTATAGTACTAGAAATACTATAATATTTTAAGGGTATATATAATTAGGTATTCTTAGTATTATAAGAGAGTTTTCTAAAATTTTATATTTTTTAAGTTTCTACTAAATGTATAAGAGTTTATACCCTATAAACCGGGGGTCTATAGTATTATAGACTCTTATACTTCTACTAGGTCTAAGGAGGAGATGAGTGTCACGAATCACGTGCCCACGTGATAATTGTCATAATAGGAGGCGCAACCCTCGACAGTGCACACCCAGGTTTCTCATGATAGGGATCGCTTAGAGTAGCTAAGCGATCCAAGGATTTCCATTGGTTACTGTCACGTGATGGACCCGGATAGATCCCGAAGGGATCCAAGGGATCTGATGGATCCAGGAGAGGACGAAGGTTCTATATAAGACTGGCACGTCTGCCATTAGATAGGAGCTTCGTGCTCAACTTAGTTTAGCAATCTAGTTATTAAGTTATTACTTCTTTGTTAACAAGTGAAGAGTTTACCTCCGAGTAAACAACCCGGCGCATCTGTACTTCTTACCCGCATACCAACCGTCGAAACGATTACCTTTGTCATCTTAGAGTAGCTAAGCGATCCAAGGATTTCCATTGGTTACTGTCACGTGATGGACCCGGATAGATCCCGAAGGGATCCAAGGGATCTGATGGATCCAGGAGAGGACGAAGGTTCTATATAAGACTGGCACGTCTGCCATTAGATAGGAGCTTCGTGCTCAACTTAGTTTAGCAATCTAGTTATTAAGTTATTACTTCTTTGTTAACAAGTGAAGAGTTTACCTCCGAGTAAACAACCCGGCGCATCTGTACTTCTTACCCGCATACCAACCGTCGAAACGATTACCTTTGTCAGATAGTTTGAGTTTCGTCACAATAAGGGGTTATAGGTAGAGTATAGTACTTATAGCCTCTTCTACGCTTAAATATACTTAATTCCTATATATAAACCTAGGTATTAATATATTAATATTATATTAGAAGGGTTACTCGATATATATTATATTAGAAATATGTAGATAATATAATATTACTAAGAATTCGATATTCGATTTAATATTAATTATTAGTATATATAATATAGAAGAATCTATAAATCTAACTCTAGACTAATAAAACCTTAAGAGTACTTCGATCTTAGACCTACTAACGAAACTACTGTAACGAATACTCAAACTGGCTAACTAAACTTGGCTGGGTGTTCGCTGGTTGGTATGCTATGATAAGAAGAAGACTATCGGGTTGTTCACTTGGAAGTGAACTCGTTACTTGTATCAAAGATGTCAAACTAATATGATAAGATTGATAACTAAGTTGAGCACGAAGCTCCTATCTAATGGCAGACGTGCCAGTCTTATATAGAACCTTCGTTCTCTGTCGATCATCGGAGAGCGACTCGATCGCCTGTCGCTCAGAGCGACTCGATCGCCTGTCGCTCAGAGCGACAGTCGGCTCGACCGACACCAACAATGGTAGCTCGGTCACGTGACTACAATACAATGAAATCCCTGGATCGCTTAGCTACTCCAAACGATCCCTATTTGCTATAAGAAACCTGGATGTGCCTTTCGAGGGTTGCGCCTCTTATTATGACAAGTATCACGTGAACACGTGATTCGTGACATCTAGCTATTAAGGGTAAAGTTACGTTCTAGTTATATAACCTAACTATAAGTTCTTTTCTTTAATAATTTACCTTAAAATACCCTTAAAATACCTACCCCTAAAATCCTTTTTAAAACCGCCCTAAAATATCGATATTTATTAATATCGTATAAATAAGGGATAAATATCGCGATAATCCGATATATATCGTATCGACGCCTAGGTCTACTTATACGAACTAGATTGCGATAAGTAGCAGCTTGTCACGAATCACGTGCTCACGTGATACTTGTCATAATAAAGAGGCGCAACCCTCGACAGGCACATCCAGGTTTCTTATAGCAAATAGGGATGCTTAGACTAGCTAAGCGATCCAGGGATTTCCTTCGTATATTATCACGTGACTAGTTGGATCGACTGGACCGACAATCGGTCTGAACTTCTGGAACGACAGGACCGACCAGCGGTCCTGGCAAAGTACAGGAAAGTGAAGGTTCTATATAAGACTGGCATGTCTGCCATTAGATAGGAGCTTCGTGCTCAACTTAGTTATCAATCTTATCATATT